GCCTATGTAAGCTGTCCCGAGTTCCCCTTTTGGGGTAGAGAAGAGACGGGATATAATTACCATAAATAAATAAATAGTATATACATATAATATTTATAATATTATAATGTAATACAGTATAATAATGATATGATACTATAACTATACATTTTATATTACATGTAATATTACTAATATTACAATATAATTGTATAGTACAATATAGCACTGATATTGTACTGTGCTCATTGTATCATGTATTGTATGTATGTATGTATCTATCTTGTAAGTTGCTCTGAGTCCCCTTTGGGGTGAGAAGGGTGGCATATAAATGTCACAAATAAATAAATTCCGGCCATGAAAGCTTTCAACAACACTTTATATGGTATGTTTATTGTTATATACATGATGTGGCATTGAATTTTTGCCGTGGTTTGTAAGCCGCCCCGAGTCCCTTTCGGGGTGAGAAGGGTGGGGTATAAATATAGGAAATAATAATAGTAAATATTAAATAAAATAATAATTGTTTCTATTGTAACTATATGTATGGTAGCAATTAATTGTTCTTGTTGATTAACAGTTAAAGTAAAACCACAGAGGATCAAGTTCTCTTTTACCCCCACAAAATATCATTTATTGATATTTGACGGAGACGTGTGCAACATCTGTGTGCAACAATCCTATCTCATCAGCCAAAGAAGGCCCACACTTCCCGCTGAAATACTAATAAGTTATTTATTTGTCGTGTCAGGGCAACCAGTCATTTATATTACATATCTAACATTTCTAATAAGTTTATATTTGTTAAAATTATTCTTCAGTTTAATTATTGTATTGTTTTTAAGTATTTTTTGCACTACAAATATGATATGTGCACTGTGCATAGGAATTCATTCATGCTTTTTTCAAATTATAATCTGGCCCTCCAACAGTTTGAGGGACTGTCACCTGGCCCTCTGTTTAAAATGTTTGGGGACCCCTGGTCTAAACATTAGAAAGAACTTCCTGACGTCTGGAGCTATTCGGCTGGGGAATACACTGAATTGGAGCATGACGAGTTCTCCTTCTCCGAGACATTGAATGAGAATTAGCTTCCAGTTTTGTTTTGCCAGGAGCCCATTTCTGAGAGATACTGACAAGCTGGAATGTGTCCAGAAGAGAGTGACTAAAATGATCAAGGGTCTGGAGAACAAGCCCTATGAGGAGCGGCTTAAAGAGCTGGGCATGTTTCGCCTGAAGAAGGGAAGGCTGAGAGGAATTATGTATAAATATGTGAGAGGAAATCATAGGGAGGAGGGAGCAAGCTTGTTTTCTGCTGCCCTGGAGACTAGGCCGCGGAAAGGGTCCGAGGCTGTTAGGAACTGTGGGAGTTGAAGTCCAAAACACCTGGAGGGCCCAAGTTTGCCCCTGCCTGCTCTACATTGAATGCATTGAATGAAACTGTACATAGAATGAATGCAGTTTGGCTTAATGTTATGGAATCCTGGTCTTCAGCCTTGCCTGACAAAGAGTATTGGTGCCTCTCCAAACTATAATTCCTACGGTTCCATAGCACTGAGTGGTGTCACCCTGCCCTCAGCCCAACCTCTCCGTCTTCCTCTCTCCCTGCCTCACGAGGTGGGCCCCTGCTCGGCTCACCAGTGCCAGTTGTTGACGTTGGTGGCGTCGGCGCGTTGCTCCACAATCCAGCGCGGGTCGCCTTCCCCCCACTTCGCCATCGGCGCCTCAGAAGCAGAAGCCTCCGCTCCTCCTCCTCCGCCGCCCGCTCCTTCCTTCCCCAACGCCCGACTCCGCGCGCCTAGAAGCTACTAGAAGCGCCGGCAACGACGACGACGACGACGCCTCCCGGCTTCCGTCACCGGCACCACTTCCTTCCGGTTCTCCTCCTCCCACCATCTATCAAAACCTTGGGCAAACTTCGGCCTTCCCTCTTTGTCTTTAGACTTCAATTCCCACAATGCTTTACTATTTACTACAATGGTTGAGGCTCCTGGGAGTTGAAGTCTGCGCGCGCCGACGAGGCGCGCCGGCTGAGACTCCGCCTCCCGTTTTACGTCACTGGCAGAGATTACTTCCGGTTTTCCCTTTCCATCCATGAATATCATAGAATCTTCATAGAATCATAGAGTTGGAAGAGACCTCGTGGGCCATCCAGTCCAACCCCCTGCCAAGATGCAGGAAAATCGCATTCAAACCACCCCCGACAGATGGCCATCCAGCCTCTTTTTAAAAGCTCCAAAGAAGGAGCCTGCACCACACTCCGGGGCAGAGAGTTCCACTGCTGAACAGCTCTCACGACTTAAATCTAGAAATAGTTTTCTAAGATCTACAGAGACACTCGCTGGAACACCTCAGCAAGCAAGAGTCCAAAAGTGGCAGGCTCAAACCCAGAACCTCAACCAATGGCTGATACCAAATGAGAGACTCCCCTCTGGGCACACAGAAGACGCCAGAGCACAGTGTTGCAAGAAAATAGCCCAGACTGACTATATTGAACGTCTCAACAGGCTAGCAGCAATGGTGCACTGGAACACTTTTTGCAAGAAGTATGACCCTGCAGTAAAATCTGGCATGAGCACCCACTGGAAAAGACCACAGAAAACAAAGAACTAAAAATACTCTGGGGTTTTAGAATCCAAATAGATAAACACCTGCCACATAATACACCAGTTGTGAAATAAAAACATGTTTTTATAATAGACATTGCAGTAGCAGGAGACAACAAGAGCTGGAAAAGATCATGAAATACAAGGACTTACAAATTGGAATTGGATGACTATGGCAAAGGAAAACAACAGTGGTACTAATAGTAGTTGGTGCAATTGGGGGCATTTCCAGAACCCTTGAAAAGCACTGGAAAAGCCTTACTTTGGACAAAACACCAACCCACATGTGTGCACTTCTTAGAAGTGCACACATTCTGCAAAAATACCTCTAATATCCTAGGCCCTTGGGAAGAGCCTGATATTCAGAGACTAATCCCAAACACTTGGACCTAATGTGCATGTGTGCTGTGATGTTATATACATGTAAATAATAATAATAATAATAATAAGTAAAGGTAAAGGTTTCCCCTTATTAAGTCTAGTTGATTCCAACTCTGGGGGTTGGTGCTCATCTCCATTTCTAAGCTGAAGAGCCGGCATTGTCCGTAGAAGTCTCCAAGGTCATGTGGCTGGCATGACTGCACAGAGCACCATTACCTTCCCACCAAAGCAGTACCTATTGATCTACTCGAATTTACATGTTTTTGAACTGTTAGGTTGGCAGAAGCTGGAGCTAACAGCAGGAGCTCACTCTGATCCCTGGATTCGAACAGCCGACCTTTCAGTCAGCAAGTTCAGCAGCTCAGTGGTTTAACCCGCTGCACCACTAACGGCTCAATCAAAGTGTAGTTTCTTAAAACCAGTTCACTTTTTTGGAGATAGGAGACATTAAATGCAAAAACTACCTCTCTGTCTTCTTGGCAGTAAAATTACAGTAACCAGAAATTAAACAACACTCAGCTGCTCTTTCAAGACAGCTCATATCTTAAACTTGAGGCAGTTTTATTACTTTTTGTCTAAAGATTGTGAGTTGGGGGGGGGGGGGAGATTTAGCTCAATGGGTTGCAAATTAAATTGTTTTGCCTCCTCCAAAGGCCACATGCAATATGTATGATGTGTCTCAGTATCTCTTGCAGTGGTGGAAAAAAAGATTGGACTTGCAGTCCTAGAGTTCTGTGATTGGCACTATGTCTAATGATTGGGCTGATTGGTTCTGATTTGCTGATGGTTCTTTCTTTTCTGCTATAGTTCTCCTTTTTATAATTTTCCTCATGTGCATCCCATTTCTTGTGATGCCTACATAACCTCTCAGTTTGTGGAAGCTAAGCAGGGGCAGGCCTGGCTAATATCTGGGGGGAAGACCACCACAGAATACTCGGTGGTCTGTTTTCAGAGAAAGGCAATTGCAAATCTATATAAATAAAAATGTAATGTTCGTTTGTGGGATTAACATAACTCAAAAACCACTGGACAAATTAACACAAAATTTTGGACACAATGCACCTATCATGCCAACGAGTGACCATGACTCATAGAAATACTAAGAAACATAACAGGAGTAACTTAAAAAGCCAAAAAAGCCAAAAGATGCTACAGTGCATGCACAAAAACAACTCCCCCTGGCAAACAAAACACACTATAGCATATAGAATCATAGAATCAAAGAGTTGGAAGAGACCTCATGGGCCATCCAGTCCAATCTCCTGCCAAGAAGCAGGAATATTGCATTCAAAGCATCCCTGACAGATGGCCATCCAGCCTCTGTTTAAAGGCTTCCAAAGAAAGAGCCTCCACCACACTCCGGGGCAGAGAGTTCCACTGCTGAACGGCTCTCACAGTCGGGAAGTTCTTCCTCATGTTCAGATGGAATCTCCTTTCTTGTAGTTTGAAGCCATTGTTTAGCGTCCTAGTCTCCAGGGAAGCAGAAAAAAGTGCATATCTACACTCTCTTTTGGACTACAGCATCCCCTAGACTAGGCCCTTTAGGGGAGGAGAATGATTCAAATGCACTGCTTCCAAGCTGCAAACTTTCTTCTCCTTAGATTTCTGCATATTTCCAATTTCCTATTCCTGGACTGCAACTCCCAGCAATCCTCCAGATAGATACGATAGTTAGATAGGTAGGTAGATAGATTGATCAGGAGGAGTGTTGGGAGTTGCAGTGAAAGAATAGGTAAAGGAGGAAGGAAAAGAGAAGGGAGGGAAGGGGAAGAGAAGGATGGAGAGAATAAAAAAAGGAAAGAAGGAGAGAAAGAAAGGAAAAGAAAAAGAAGGAGGGAAGATTGGCCATAGCAGTGGCTGGTACAGCTAGTCTCTGAATAAATATTGTCATGAAAATCCCACGGCTGTTAGGAATTGTGGGAGTTGAAGTCCAAAGCACCTGGAGGGAGGGGCCAAGTTTGCCTAGTAGGCTTGGTTGACTCCCACCGCTGGGGAACTACACTTCCCGTGATGCCTTTCGAAGGCGGTTGTGTTTCTCACTTCCTGGCTACAGCGGTGGTTGAGAGGCGACGGAGCTCCTAGGCAGGAGAAGGGCGGCATGGGCTGGGACCTCGCCTGGGCCTCTCTCTGCCCGCGGGGAGCCTCCACTCGAGGCCAGGCGGCTCTGCTCTGGCAAGGGTAGGCCTCACGGGCCCTTTCTCTTTGGGGGAGTAGGGGAGGGCGGAGCGGGCATTGGCGGGGCAGCCACACTGCAGAGTTAGTGCAGTTTGGCACCACTTTCACAGCCATTGCTCATTGCTAGGGATACCTGGGAGCTGTAGTCTTACAAGGCCTCTCTGCCAAAGAAGGCTGGTGCCTCTCCAGATTTGTGAATCAAAACAGCTTGAATGTATTCTTGTGATCCTTCCAGTGGCTGTTTGTCATAAATGCAGTGTCATCATCATCACCCTCACATTGCAATAGACTTAGGGCCCTTCCAAATGGCTCAATAATTATCTGCTATATTATTTATTTATGACATTTATATGCCGCCCTTCACACCCCGAAGAGGACTCAGAGTGACTTACAAGATATACATGCAATATATTATGCTTTTTTTTTTGTCGTGTCAGGAGCGACTTGAGAAACTGCAAGTCGCTTCTGGTGTGAGAGAATTGGCTGTCTGTAAGGACGTTGCCCGGGGACGTCCAGATGAATTGATATTTTTATCATCCTTGTGGGAGGCTTCTCTCATGTCCCCGCATGAGGAGCTGGAGCTGATAGAGGGAGCTCATCCACCTCTCCCCAGATTCGAACCTGCGACCTGTCAGTCTTCAGTCCTGCCGGCACAGGGGTTTAACTAATACTATGCTAGTATTATCTGGTGCTTTTTAGAGCAGGCCTGGGCAAACTTCGGCCCACCAGATGTTTTGGACTCCAACTTCCACCATTCCTAACAGCCTCAGGCCCTTTCCTTTTCCCCCTCAGCCGCTTAGTCGTGCCTGATCTGGGGCGTGGTGCTCATCTCCATTTCTAAGCCGAAGAGTTGGCATTGTCCGTAGACACCTCAAAGGTCATCTGGCCAGCATGACTGCATGGAGTGCCACTACCTTCCCACAGAAGCGATACCTATTGATCTACTAACATTTGCTTGTTTTCGAACTGCTAGGTTGGCAGAAGCTGAGGCTAACAGTGGGAGCTCACTCCGCTCCCAGGATTCGAACCACCAACCTTTCAGTCAGCAAGTTCAGCAGCTCAGCGGTTTAATGTGGCTCTAGCCACATTACAAATATAAATAACAAATAAACACATGCAGTTATAAAACAGATAAAATATATAAATACAATTAAAATATTTAAAACATTAAAAGTTTTAAAACATAATGCCTAGACCTGTAGTCATCATTTGTGCTTCCTTCCATATTGCACTATTCCTATGCAGTTCATGTAGATAATAGTACTATCCATGCATAATTTTCAGAGAATTTTCTCAGTTGTGCTGAAATTGATATATATGGCTGGATTTTCCAAATCGAGTTCCATTATTTCTCATCTAATGTTCCAAATGGTGTCTTATCTTGATCCAAATGTTCAGTGGTACAATAAAGTGATTTCTGTGTGCAATGGCTTATCAAATGTTTTTGCAGGTGGTTCAAATGTATTCTGAAGTCAACACACTGATTTCTAGTTCTCTGCAATGTATTCTGTGTTTAAATATAGCCACAGAGAAACAAATGCTCTAGCAGCTCTGAGGCTATAGTTGAAATTAAAAGTTGATATTAATTACTGCTCACTGAAATTATCAGATATTGTTTCTGAAGTGGCCACAGCAAATATATATTCAATTAAAGCATTTTTTTTGTTCCAGATGAACAGAATGAAGGTTGATGAGGAAGAATATTGGCACAGTTCCAAATGTAAGGCTTTCACTTTTGATGATGAGGATGATGAGCTCTTTCAGGTACAGTTGCTTCTCTTAATCAAGCTGATTGAGCACTATATGTATATTTAATTTTTAATTATTAAAATATTACGTTGTATGCCTTCAAGTTTGTTTCGCATCAATGGCAACGCTCTCCTGTGGTTTTCGTGACAGGTTTGTTCGGAGGAGTTTTGCCATCGCCTTCCTCCCTCCCTTTCTTCCTTCCTGCCTTCCTTTGAGAAACTGAGAAAGTGTGACTTGCCCAAGGTTACCCAATGGATTTCTTGGCAGAGAAAGGATTTGAACCCTGGTTTCCAGAGTCATAGTCCAATGCTTACAAATAAATTCAAAAGAGATTAAATGTTTAAAACAATAAAATAATTTAAGATAGGCTTAAAACATATGCTTTGGTCAAGATACCCAGGGAAAGAAGAAATACACCCAGCACAATCCTTTTATGTCTTTCATTAATTTAGATAGATTAGGAAAATATCCCAAAATTTATATGAACAGAACCCAGATCTTTTCATGGTATATGATTGAATTATTGACACTTCACATGACAGCTGGCACAGAACATATAATCTTAATCCATTAAAAGGACACATTTCTAGCTATTATTAAAAGTGAGTTTGCTTTTGCAAGATTTAAAGTTTCAGTGCCATGCAAAAGCCCCTATGTTATAACACCCAGTAGTCTGGGTGCATGTCCTCCATGCAATCATGCTGGCTACATGGCCAAAGAGGTGCCTATGGACAATGCCAGCTCTTTGGTTTAGAAATGGAGATGAGTGCCACCTCCCAGTTGGACTTGACTAATGTCAAGGGGAAGCATTTACCTTTAGTCTTTATTTCAAAGACCTCTTTTGTTACTGCTTATTTCCTTCTGTTATCAAAACACTTGACAAAACATTTGAAAGATTATAAAAACATGTGTCAGGTTAAACATTATAATTGGATTCTAGGATAGATATCATGCCTTTTTTGTTTCAAAAATACACCAACACCATATAAACAAATTTTACAGGAATCAGTGGAAAAAATCATGCTGGGTCTTGCATTCTTTTGTTATAAAATGCAGTTTTCCAAATCCTGTACCAAAGTAATTTGATACATTTTGATAGTTTGGTCGATGCATAATATTCTATCTCTAACCAACAATGTGTAACAAACTCCACAAGTGCATACATTTAATCTTTTGATTTTTCCCCCATCCTTTTCATCCGGCAGATAGTTTTGTATTTTAATTGCTAATAGTTTGTGATTGCTGTGTAGGCAAAGAAAAGATATCAGATTGGGCCATTTTAGTTTGTACACAAAGAATCACGTGCATCTATTCCTGGGTCATCATCCCTTCAGTCTTTATTGACTAAATAGGCCTTGCTATTCCTCTAATTTTATTTCTGTTCACAGCTGAAGGAATCCAAGCGAGCAGTGAACAGCCTCCGAGATATTGTAGATGATGATGATGATCTTGAGAAGATCACCTGGAGTGGGGAGCCTGTGGGCAGTAAGTGAATCAGGACTTCATATGAACTTTGCAGAGAGAATGTAATTTTTGACCACACAGCCCAGAAAGCACACACCACCCCAAGATAGTGATTCTTTTGCTTCAGCCTCAAACTGAATTATTATTACACTGTAAATCTTGGCTTGTTTTTAAAAATGGCATCATGAACGGCATTCACATTTGACTTTCATTAATTGATTGACAGAAAAAGTCCAATTTTCCTCTCGCATTGTTGTAGCTCAGATAGAAATAGACTGCACAGAATTATTAATCTGAGTCCTCTATTTTCCAAATAATTTAATTTACCTCCCAAAATGATAGCTACTTTAAATAAATAAAAAATAGATTAAAATGGTCTTCTGTGATGTTATTTAGAAAAACAGGAACAAAGGAAGTAGGCCCAAAATGCTATTAACTGATATTCCAAAACATTGCCCTAGAGTAGTAATGATGTTGTCCTTGTTAAGAGAATTTATCATAATTTTTCTTTCTTTCCTGCTCGATAGGCATTTCTTGGTCCATCAAAGAGACTGCCTCTAGCAACAGTATTACCTCTGAAGGAAGAGATGTAAGTCTACAAAAGGGCTCCTCTGGTGTTCCCAAACAAGCCTCCTCTTACTCACTGAGCAGCTTTTTCAAAGGTGAGAAGATATTTATCAAAAACCTAATGAACAGATTATCCCTTAAAACTATTTATTTATTACCCATCTTTCTTTCAGAATGGGAGGCACAACTTTGATGGGAATGTTACGTTTTTATTGATTGATTTTAATGCTATTGTTTTTACTGTGATTTGGACTTGTCACCATGTAAGCAGTCCCAAGTCCCCTTGGGGAGATGGTGGCAGGGTATAAAAAAGTTATTATTTATTATTATGTCTCTGTGTCTACTCTAATAATATCATAGCTATGTGCAGAAAATAGTTTCTTGAGAGAACAGTGGAGCTTGCAGAGTCTGTACTCATTCTCAGAAGTATAGTTTGTTCCCCAGTGTTTATTGTTCTTTTGTTTTAGGAAGGAACAAACATGGAAGCTTTCAGTCACTTTCAGATGGTAAGAATTCAGGATTTTTTGTCCCTTCTTTGTATTAATGGAAGGATATTTCTTGTTCCATCTACTGAGAATTGGCCCCACCTTCTGCAAGCCTATGCCCATCCCTACAGATGACTTCTCTAGTGTTCAGTATGACTTATAGACTTATAGTGAAAATTGATAGAGCTGATTTTCTTGTTGGCTTCCATGAGGTATTTAGATAGGAGCTAAATAGTTCAATACATTTTCATAAATAGAACTCTGATATATATCAATCTCTTCCTGTAACCCTCCTCGAGCTGTGAGAAGAGGCGGGTAAGAAATAAAATTATTATTATGATTATGATTATTATTATTATTATTATTACTTGATACACAACAAGATTGGTACACAACAAACAAGATCACTATTCTGGCTTTTGAATTGGATCACATTTGAGTCGGACACTTCCCAAGTGTCTAGGACTATGTGATGTATCGGCGAATAATGTGTGCAAATCTGAGTAGGATGGCCTTTTGCAGCTGACAGATGATAATTTTGTTAGTGCCAGTTGTTTTTAAGTACAGGTCAAAGTCTTTAGGTACTGCACCCAGTGTGCCGATCACCACTGAAACCTTATTATTTACCCTAGTAGTTTTCTCCTCACTGGCCTTCTCTTTCCGCCTCAGCCTTTTCATCTCTGTCCATACATCCATTTATCTAACAAAAGATATGGGGATGTTTGCTGTCTTGAAACAATCTCAGCAATTCACAACTCAACAATTAATACATATAGGAGGCAGAGTGAGGTATCTGTCTTAGGCAGCAGATGCTTGTGGGTGATATATTCAGTTGTACCCATTCTGATCATGTAGCAAAATATAACAAAATTCACAGAAGGTAAAAAAAAAAACAAGAAGAAGCAAAAATGGCAAATAAAAAAGTAAAAATGTGTAAGCTTTCAAAGCTTCACTGACTTCTTCGTCAGGTAAAGATATTGATATACAGGGGAAATAAATAATAATGTTGGAGTCATGGGCCTAGTTTTCATCTTGTCATTATTTTATTGTGCTGTTATCCTTTTGATACTGCCTCTGTTTCAAAAGCGATTTTCAGCAATGTGCACCAAAATGGTATGGGAAGGAGAGGGAGAAACATATTAAATAAATAAAATCCACCTTTTTTACTTCAGCTCTTACAGACACAGGATTTAAAAATTATGCCCCAGAACTGCGCAGGCCAAAAGCAGATTACAAGGTAGGTGTGTTTTTGAGAGCTTCATTTAAGAACAAAATTGTGAAGTGCAGAGCTTTGGAGTTGAATTAAGTCCTTCTTCGGACTGTGGATGCTTGCTTCACTGCTATTTGTCAAAGGACTGTTAACTGGCTTCTCATAAAATGTTCTAAGTGAATGCACAGGTTACAAACAATAAGCTAAGATTCTCTGGAATGCCTGTTTATTTATGCATGTGAATAAACCTCATTGTAAGTGTTGACATCAGTGAAGAAGTAGATCAGCGATAGTTAACTTTTGCTTTAGGATAGATTATGCCCACCCCACCCACACTCTCAGAGTTGCACTCTTTACTTCCCGAAGCCACGGTGGTGCAATGGGTTAAACCCTTGTGCCAGCTGGACTGCTGACCTGAAGGTTGAATTGCTGACCTGAAGGCTTCTGGTTCGAATCCGTGAAATGGGGTGAGCTCCTGTCTGTCAGCTCTAGCTTGTGGGAACATGAGAGAATCCTCTCATGTAACACATCTGGGTGTCCCCTGGGCAATGTCTCTTTAGACAACCAATTTTCTCACACCAGAAGCAACTTGCATTATGTTCTCAAGGGGCTTCTGACATGATTAAAAAAACCCCAAAACTTCCTGAGTATGTCTCATACTCTCAAACATACATCTCTTTCTCACAAAACGTTCCCAGATCTGCATTTCCAAGCGGTTGCGGTTGTTATGCTGCATTTTTGGAAGAAGACAGCCATGCATGCTTTCACATGGAATAATAGATCTAGAGTGTCCTCGAAGTTATTCGACTTGTCACTTCTTCTTTTTCAACTTTCCTATTATCTAAAATGGAGGCACATTGTAAGGATAAGAAGGTCATTTCAAAATACTGTAAACTTTAATGGAACATTAACAGTTGTTGTATATATCCATTTCAGGATTATAGCAGTGACTGGAGTCCTAAAGACACAGTAAGACGACTGCAGAGAGGAAAGGTAAGGAGTGTCCATCCATGATACTGAAAAGGAAACCCTTTTATATTGTGTGTTGGTGCAATTTTAGAGTTCTGGGAATCTGTAGGTAGACAGTGTTTTCCTCAGGAAATTGATTGTATCCTTCACATAATTTGAACTATGCCCCAAGAACTTGATCCATATACCCCAACAGTGAAGATTTGAATACAATAGGATAATGTTTTTCCTGAATTACATAATTTGGATAATACATAGAAAAATGTGTTTAGCCTCCTAGAGTGTGTCCATTCAAATTTTGTTCTGAACGTGAGTGGAAAATTCTCTGAGTAATTTGTGTAATTCCTTCACATATTCATCAGTGGGGATTCAATAAAATGTCGTATTGGATAGTTGTCTCTCAGCCTCTTAAATGTAGTTTGACTTGTTCCTGGTGGCCATAGCTATTGCATAATAATGTTAAGATTGTTTCTGAGACTGTGGGTGGCATTTTGTTCCATATGGCTGAGATTGTGTGGTAAATTGTATCTCTTGCTGATTTTCTCCATTTGAGCATGATGGCAAAAGCATTCTATGTAGAAATCCAGTTCCATGTTCCACTCTTCTGGATTGCAGAATTCTTCTGTTTATTCCACTGAGAAACATTTTATTGTGTGTTGGTGCAATGGTCTTTGTCAAATAATGATGGTAGCTGGGCTTGTGAGCTATTGCCGTGGTTGGTGAAATATTCTTTGAGTTGCAGATGGCTAAAGAAAGTCTTCAAGTCACCATAAAACTTAATCATGCATTTAGATTTTAAGGGCCACAAGAATAATTTTATATATACTTGGATGGCTCATGTTGTCTTTACCCACATGTATCTGTACCAAAATATGGCTGCTTATAGCTTTCTCAAGTACTTTACTGGAAAAACAACTGGCATTTCCCTGTTTACACAAATTGGATTGAGATTCTACAGATGTTAGGAATTATAGTAGCAGATTCTGATCAATTGAAACCTGTCTCAAATAGTAGCAAATGCATTCTTTCACTGCCAGCAATTCCATACATCATATTCTAGGCCCTTCATGTTCTTTGTTAGATAAAGGGGGAAATAAGAGTTTTGTTTTATTTTTGGTGGCTATAGAGACAATACAGAATGATAGCTAAGCTTCCTTAGAATTGGGGAAGAAGGAATGAACTTGTGTAGCAAACTTTCTGTCCACGTGTCTTGAGATTCAGGGAAATTTTAAATCCCCATGCATTACTGTAGCATAGTTTCACAGCTACAGGGAGAGCCGGTCATGCAAGTGGCTATCAGTCCTGGCTCCATTTGAAGATACATTACAAGCAGCCACAACCTGATTATTGTGAATGAAGAGAGCTTTTGTTCAGACACTACATTTATTTTATTAATCTTGTCCTATTCTAGGTCTGCTCCCTCGAAAGGTTTCGCTCTTTGCAGGACAAGTTGCTGCTGCTGGATGAAGCTGTTGCAGTACACGATGGGAACGTTATTACAGCCGTGAGTGTTACTGTGATTGTAAACTAGGACAGAGAGGGGGTTGCAACTCAACCAGGTCTCATTCTGGGATCATTTGCATCAAGATAATTTGTGCCATGTTCCCCTTTTGCTGTGAATTTTGAATATAATCAACTTATGATTTATGTGTGGGAAGGCTCAGCGTTTGATGCCAGATTCACTCAGCATTTTAATCAGCAAGATGCTTTGTCAGCTGACCTTGCTTTCAAGGATGCGGCATGTAAATGGATCCTGTGAAATCCCTTGAGTGTTTTCTAAATTGTTCTTGATATATCCCAAGATCTATGTACTGTGGAAGTTCCCCTTAGAAAATGGCATACATTCTTTGCATATAGGACTATGGTTGACTTCCAGTTGAGATAGTTTGAGCAGGTAGAATGGAAAAGGTATTTTCTTGAGATATTTGAAAGCTGCTGCTGCTGCTGCATCCTTAACTACTTGGGCCACTAGCTTTCCCGACCATAACAGGTCATTCAGCCCAAAGTTCTGAGCAGATAAGTGCAATGTAAATATAAACTGACTGTAACTTCCAGTCAGTATTTTGTGCCTACTGCACATGTTCAGTGCCTGTGATGGCCAGGGGTTTACATAGAGCTCCAGCTAAGAGTAGTGGAGGCAACATGGAGGAGGTAAGATGTACACTACCCTACAGTTTGGCTGCACTCCTTGGCCATGTGAAAAGTAGCCGTAGATTTGGCATGAATATGCCAGATCCAGGTCTGTTCCAGGGCACATTAACAGTTGGCTAAACTGTATGGCGTAGATGCGTCCCAAGCGTGCTTATATTTTGCCAAATCTAAACATGTGAAAATTTGAGCTGTTTTAGAAAGAATGATCCCAACCATATATTGACCTACGAAAGGTTCACGTGAATTTTGTAGCATTTCCTCAAAGTACTCAGTCTTGGAAGTATAAAACAACCTCTTTCTTGTTTAGTTGATAGCTTTGAAGGCATCCTTTTTCTAGACTTTTGAGTGTTAATAAAATATTCCTCACTGCTATTCAGTTCCTTCGGATTTTACAAGGTTACTACTTAAATATGTAGCTAAATGTTATAAAGTATTCTATATGGCATAAAGAAAATTATAATGCTTTGTAAGTACTCTGTTTCAGCTCAAATTGAGGAAGCTTATCTATTATGTTGCAGATTTTAGTATTTCTGAAGAGGACCTTGAAGAAAGGTATGTGAGGCTCCAGAAATAATTGGGGTCCCTTTAATTTTGTTCCTTTAAAGCAGTTATATCCTTCACTTTTCTCACTTAGGTGAAATTGATGCAGAGTCACTGTACCTTTCATAGAATCGGGACTTATTTGTAGCTTTTGAAAACCAATACTACTGCCACCTTCTCTCCTTAGCACCGATCCAAACTTTAGTATCAGCAATATAATATTGTCTGTTCCCATGAATTAGATAGACATAGTTTCATTTCAGATGAGAAAAAAAATTGTTAATAGGCAGTAGTTTTCAATCTGGGGTCTCATATTCTTGGATGCCAATGGCAAGAATTCTTGACCTTTAGTCCTGCTTATTGGGGTTTTTGAGAGTCGACATCCAACAGCATATGCAACTTAAAATTGTGAACCACGGTTGGAAAGGATGGCTATAGTTGCATTTGCTGAGCATTAAATTGTTTTGACTTGTCATCAGAGATATCATGGGTATTATCCATGCATCTGTTGTAGTTTATATTGCACATAGGTTATTGTTGGAAGGGGGCTCTAGTTTCTCTGTAACAATGGTGAGGTTATGCTATTTCCTCACCATACCTATCTATCTATACAATTTTAACCAGAATCTCTACATCCAGTTCACTGAGTTAACACCAGTACTATTTTCTGGGGAATTAGGTGGAGGATGCTCTTTATGTGACTTATATATGGATAGTGTATGGATAATTCAGGCTGAACTTGACTTGTTAAGCCTTCCTTGTCTTTGCATACAGAGATCTTATTTAGAGAGCTGGAGCTACGGCAGGTGGCTTTGCGCCATTTAATACATTTTCTGAAGGAAACGGGGGACCAAAAACTTCTCTTGGACTTGTTAAGGTAAGAATCCACTTGAGCAATGAAGCTAAATTCTGAAATGTCTATACTGAGCAATTTTAAATTGTGCTTTTTTTCTTCTGCAGGTTCCTGGACAGGACTGAGGAAGTTGCTGTGAGTAGACCTCCTCTCTCTCTTTGGTGGGGAAAGCAAGATTGTCCTCACAAACTCAATGTGGGACATGTATTGTGTTCCTTTTGCTCATGCTACTGAGCAGATAGGTTAGATGCAATATTATTTCTTGAGTCTCTTCTTTACATCAGTTTCTGCTATTTCCAGCTGACACAATATCGTGAACACTTGAATATTGCAGATGCAGAGAAACGAAAAGATTTTCTGAAAGGCTGCATTGGGTAAGTATAGGTTGTGTGAATACATGGTTCTTGCACATTAATTGAGTTTAAGCCTTAGCCAGGAGGCAACTACTGGTTTAAGGAACCTTTAGTATCAATAGAACCTGGGAAATGAGTAACTATGAGGAGAGGACCTTTTACTTAGAGCAGTGTTTCTCAACCTTTCTGATGCCATGACCCCTTAATACAGTTCCTCATGTGGTGGTATCCCCCAATCATAATATTATTTTTGTTGCTACTTCATAACTGTAATTTTGCTACTGTTATGAATTGTAATGTAAATATCTGATATGCAGGATGTATTTTCATTCACTAGACCAAATTTGGCACAAATACCCAGTACTCCCAAATGTGAATATTGGTGAGGTTTGGGGGGATTTTGTCATTTGGGAGTTGTAGTTGCCGGGATTTATAGTTCACCTGCAATTAAGGAGCATTCTGAATTCCACCAATGGTGGAATTGAACCAGACTTCCCACATAGAACCCCCATGATCCTCCAGGTTAAGAAACACTGAGGATGGGGAAAAGATAAAAAATGGTGCATGTTTGAATAAGTAGGCATTTTTTTCTCATTTTCTTTTAATACTAGAATCTGAGGCCATGCAAAGAAGGTGAATGATAGGAGGTTTGAGACAAATAAAAGGAAGCACATGTTCACACAACATAAAACTGAATTGTTGAATGTAGTGCTGCCTCTCAACTTGGACAGCTTTCTTGAAAGGAGATTAGACAAATTTATCGAAGAAATCCTAGCAAGGCTTACCAGTTATGACAGTTGCCCCAAAATTGAAAGCAACATGCCTCTGAGCATGGAATAATAGAATTATACAGTTTGAAGAGACAACGTCCAACCTCCTGCCATGCAGGAATACACAATCAAACACTCCCAACAGATGGCTGTCCGGCCTGTAAAACCTTCAGAGAAGGAGATCTGCACCAATTGTTGAGGAATAATAGCAAAAGGATGTTCTTTTCACACATGTCCTACTTGTGGGTTTCAGATGCCTGAGATAGTTTGTTCCGTATTCAATAACTTTCAGAGTAAGGGGGTTCTTCCTAATGTTTAGCCACAATTCACTTCTTTGCTCTTTCTATCCATTGATTTTAATTGAGTTCTTTGGAGCAGCATCTTCTGCATGGTGGTCTTTTAGATATGTAGTTAAAGATACCATTATCTCTTAGTCTCCTCTTCTCAACCTTACACCATTTAGGTGAGAAAGAGTCAAGGGAATATGCTTCAGATGTATAATAGCGGCAGTGAGAACTGCCCTTTTTGCCTTTATTGTTCAGCATTGGAACTCTCTGCCCTGGAGTGTGGTGGAGGCTCCTTTGGAGTCTTTGAAACAGAGTATGGATGGCCATCTGTTGGGGGTGCTTTGAATGTGATTTTCCTGCTTCTTGGCAGGGGGTTGGTCTGGATGGCCCACGAGGTCTCTTCTAATTCTATGATTCTATGAATACAAAATATTAAAGAGTTCACTGAGGTGCAGTTGTCAAAATGCACTTAAAAGTGAATAACAGACATTCAATAAATAAATAAGTAAATGATTATTATTTATTGCATTGTTTACATTTGTTTATTATTAAATAAGTAGATCTAATTGCTGAATAGTGAATATGGATAAATTACCTGAGGGTGAGAATCCATAAGTGAAGAGACTTTTCTGCAATCTAGGTTGTCATTTTCATCTGATGATGCTGCTCATGTACAAGATCATTATACACTCCTAGAGAGGCAAATCATTATTGAGGTAAGGCATCTACTATGTCTTTTAAGACGCCGTGGTTGTGGCTGTGAATGGATTTTAATTGGTTTTAAGGGTTTTAACTGTTGATTTTTATTACAATTCATATTTAATGCTATTCTAATGTTTGTGTTTTTTTGGAGTTTTATCTTCTATTGTATCGGTTTTACTGTATTCTGCTTTGACTCTAGTTTTTGGGTCACTTTGTTCCAGTTGCTCTCTGAGCTTATCCTACCTTATAGGATTGTAAAGGATTGTCAAGGGTATGAGAGAATACCACTTTGAACTCCTTGATATACTAGGATAGCATTTACCCTACCTTATAGGATTGTCAAGGGTATGAGAGAATACCACCTTGAACTTCTTGATATACTAGGATATACATTTACCTGCCTTTTAACAATATGTTTCAAGTTTTGTATTTTACGTGATATGTTACTGTTGCTGGATGCCTTCAGTGATAGCTGCAATTTTAAGAAGGTGAACTATAAATAAAGACAATTATAGTGATAGAAAGGCAGGATACAGATTTAACAAACAAATCAATAGTAGAGTTAGCACTCCACATTTGCGGGTTTGAATTTTGCAGATTTGATTAAAATAGATCCACACCTGGAAATTCCTGAAGAGGTATTCTCTCAGGAGAAAATACCATTTTTTAATTTGTGTTCTTCCCCCCACTTTCATGAGGGCCCTATGCCCCTTATCCTAGTGAATATGGAGGCCTGACTATATTATAGTTGCTCACACCCTAACTTCAGGGTGCTCAAGGTGGTGCCATTTTCCCCTTCAAAACAGCATTGTAAGGTAGGTTAGATGGAAAGATAATTAGATGAAGGTCATGAAGGTTACAGCCCTAGGTGGACATTTACTTAGGTAACTGAATACAGTGGAACTTCTGAATCAGTGTGTGCAGCATTTAATGCTGGCTTCTCTGTGATTTGAGCTGAGATATAAACATGGGTCTAAGTAATTACCTATATACTTGAGTATAAGCCGATCCGAATATAAGCCGAGGCATCTAATTTTACCACAAAAAACTGGTAAAAAAAACCTTTCCCACCCTTGAGTATAAGCTGAGGGTGGGTAATGCAGCAAGTAGTGGTAAACTTGAAAATAAAAATAGATACCAATAAAATTGCATTAATTGAGGCATCAGTAGGTTAAATGTTTTTGAATATTTACATAAAACTGTAATTTAAGATAAGACTGCTCAACTCTAATTAAACCATTATTCTAACCTTCAATGTAAATGTGCTTATGTATCCTTCCAATAATAATAAAGAGAGTAAAATAATAAATGTAATAATCAGCTGGCACAACAAAGCATTGCATGGGCAGTTCATTGACTGAATTGAAGAAAAAGTTGACAGGGAGAAGACCTGGTTATGAATGGAACATTTAAGAAGGAGACAGAAGGCCTGATTCTTGCAGCCCAGGAGCAAGCCATCAGAACAAATGCAATTAAGGCCAGGACTGAAAAATCAGCTGATGACCCAAAATGCAGACTGTGCAAGGAAGCTGGTGAAACTATGGATCATATCCTCAGCTGTTGCAAGAAAATCACACAGACGGACTACAAAGACACAACTCTGTGGCCCAGATGATTCACTGGAACTTATGTCACAAGTACCACCTGCCAGCAGTAAAGAATTGGTGGGATCATAAACCTGCAAAAGTCGTGGAAAATGAACATGCAAAAATACTGTGGGACTTTGGAATCCAGACTGACAAAGTTTTGGAACACAATACACCAGACATCACAATTGTGGAAAAGAAAAAAGTCTGGATTATTGATGTTGCCATACTTGGTGACAGCCACATTGAGGAAAAACAACAAGAAAAACTCAGCCGCTATCAAGACCTCAAAATCAAACTGCAAAGGCTCTGGCATAAACCAGTACAGGTGGTCCCAGTGGTCATTGGCGCACTGGGTGCCATGCCAAAAGATCTCAGCCGGCATTTGGAAACAATAAACATTGACAAAATCACGATCTGTCAACTTCAAAAGGCCACCTTACTTGGATCTGTGCTCATCATTCGAAAATACATCACATAATCCTAGACGCTTGGGAAGTGTTCGACTTGTGATTTTTGGATACAAAATCCAGCATATAGATCTTGTTAGCTGTGACATACTGTGCTTTTGTGTCAGTAAAATAATAATAATAATAATAATAATAGAGTAAAATAATGGAAATATAATAACAATAATAGAGAAAAATAATGTAAATGTAATTATAATAAATATAGTAAAATAATAAATGTAATTAAAATAGTAATAATAACAGAGTAAAACAATAAATAACCTTGACTTGAGTATAAGCTGAGGGGTCTTTATCAGCCTAAAAAAGGGCTGAAAAACTTTGTTTAAACTCAAGTATATAGGGTATGCTGAGGAACAATGTAGGAACAGTATTTTGAAGAAAAATGAATGCAAAGTAATACTGATCTCATGCTTAATTATCATTTGTGAACCACCTTAGGTCTCCCTCCAGGAGAAAACTTTCTCGTGGCTACCTTTTATTGAATTTACGTGCAGTCTTCCATCTCCTTTTTTCAGGCGAATGATAAGCATTTAGAGTCAGTTGGACAGACGGAGATATTTCGAAAATACCCTCGCAAGGCCTCAATCCTAAACATGCCGCTGGTCACCACGCTGTTCTACTCCTGTTTCTACCATTATACGGAGGCAGAGGTTAGGATAACAATAGGGGTGGGTGGGAAGGGGTCCTTTGTATTGGTCTATAAGATTTGATACCACGTGAAACAAAGTGAAGCCAGACTTCACTTTCCATTTGACAGCCATCTGAAAAAAGCAACCATCACTAGTTAGATATTGTGATTTTTCACATATAGCAGGATTTATGAGGAAAGGAATTTAAAACAGGGACATTTTCCTTTATGTGTGATGTGCTATGTTCAAGAAATTTGTATTGTGATAAGGTATTGATCCATCAGGATTCCCATGTATCTGTTGAAAAATGAAGTTATTTTAAATACTGTACCACTGGAGTGGGGAAGCCATGTTTCATCTGAGGACTAGTTGCAGTTCTGTCATGTGGGGAGGCAGGACAGAAAGGGAAGTGTTTTCCTGTTCCTTTAGGGTACACCTTTTCATTTCATTAGGCCTTTGAAGGCAATAGTTCAGGGCCTGAAGCTGAAAATGGAGAAAATAATATCTTTTGGAGGCTGATTTAAGAAAATTGTTTCTGCTATTGCAGTTTCTGGGGTAGGTTTGGTCTAGGGAAGCATGTCCTGCACCAAAGCCCCATAAAATGCATCAGATTAACTTGGTGTATTGGAACTTGAAAGCAAAGTTTAATTTACCATATCCAATCTGGAGAATATTTTTTTCAAAGTTGACAGCACTTGGTGTAGATAACTGTTTGGATATTGTGACTTCCTGGTACAAGTTAATTCAGCTTCTCATTTTTTTGTCATTGGTTTATGTAGATTAATTAGGTTTTATTTGTATGCCTATATATTGTATATCTAAAACTCTTTAAATAAATAATACATGTAACTGAAGAGAAGTTGACACAAACTCTCACTTAGTTGTGGAAAGTTTGTGAGGAAACTAGATTTTGAAGATATAATAATGGTAATGAGGGACAGAACAGAGCTAGAAGTAGCCAGAAATCTTTCCTATTGGAAATACTTCTAACAATAATACTTCATATCAGAAAATCATCTCCACTCTCTACTCACACACTCCCACCCCGACCTGATCTCCTTCACTGACCTTACCATGTCTTACTTTCCCAGGGCACCTTCAGTAGTCCTGCAAACTTGAAGAAAACCTTTAAGGTATGTATACTACGAGACAGTAATTGTGCTAGATACATATATGCACATTAGAAGTGAGTCAGTAACAAGCCAACTTCATAAAATCTGCAGACAGAGGGAGATGGTTGACTTCTGACCTGAGGCTCACACGAGCTAGTTGTTCCAATATCATAGTTAGTGTTACATTCAAAGATTTCCGGATATGGATATTGATCTAATATTCTGGGAGGTTTGGCTACAAGTATTCTAAAAAGCTCCATGGAACTGCCAGAGCCCTAAGTCAGAAGTATGTGCTAAGTTTTGACCAAAGAGAAATTCCAAGTTGAGTAGACCCCGAGAGCTGAATTTAATCCATTCAGAATGGAAAAATTAGGATTCTGAATCGGGGGCATGAAATTAGAGTTTGTTAACAAAGACTACTTGTCGCTTAAGTCACAAGGCCACTTGCTGCTTGAAGTTGCCCTAAGACACAAAAAGTCTTCGATAATAAATTATTCTTGGAGCCTCTTGATATTCAGCTGGGATGTTATGCTGTTTTGCTTTGGGATTGCAACAGCTGTAGCTATGCTGTAGAGTTTCTCCTAGTTTTTCTTCAGAAAGAAGTGGTGGGAAGTGATTCACTAAGTTTGGAGACCATGTGTGCATTGTCTTGTAGTAGATGATTTGGCTCTCTATGGAAATTGATCAGTATAGTTTCTATTGTTCTGTGATTAAGGAGTTTGATTTTTCTGCCTTGCAGATTCCAGACAAACAATTTGTGCTGACCGCCCTGGCGGCTCGTGCCAAACTGCGAGCTTGGCATGATGTGGATGCTTTGTTCACCACTAAGGTGAGTTGGATTGGATTTCTCAGAACGTGGAGCAAGTTCATAGTCTCATGAGCATGTATAAATAATTTGGCTTTTTATAAAACCTTTCTGTTCTGTTTCTTTCATTCATTGAGGTTCCTACTTTTGTGCAATGCATTGGGGACTAGGGAAAATGGTTTCATGCTTATCTTCCTCTTATTTTGGATCCACCACATACTGAATGCATTGATAAGAATAGGAAAATCTGTAACGTTGTACAGATAAAAAATCCATCAGAAAAGGACAGCACCATTTACCAAAGGAAGGTTATTTCTGCTCTTTGGGTACATAAGGAGGATCATATAGGTAGAAGAGGAGAACATTCTTGGCATCTCCAAGAATGTTTGCAGCACTGCTTCCCCTCTCCAAGCATGTTTAGGATGACTCTTTTACAAGGTCGGATGTTAATGGGATTTTTTTTACTCTGATTTCAGAACTGGCTGGGTTACACCAAAAAAAGAGCTCCTATTGGTTTCCACCGGGTGGTGGAGATCTTACAGCGAAACAATGCTCCAGTTCAGGTGAGTAGGAAAGCTGTCTCATTGTAAAGTAATAGTAGCCTGCCTCTGGAAATAGTCTATTGGGCAGTAGTTATTTAACTCTACCCTGCAATGTGCAAAGTATATGTATGTTGTTGTCATTCATTGGGCATAGAAAAGGAATGTTCCTTGGGTTGCACTTGCTTTCCAAACAATGACAGTTGTTTGATCAAGTTTACCTTTGAATGGGCTATTTGGTTGTTGATTTTATGAAGGGAGACTAATGCTGGGCAGCATGATTTACATATGAGATAAGGAGCATGGAGGAGAGATGCTAACCTTTGGATAGTTCTGTTCTGCTGATACTGCCTTTCCTCCTCATATAGGTTCTACAGGAATATGTGCGCCTAGTGGAAGACGTAGAGATGAAACTGAACCTTGCTGTAAAATACAAGTGCCATGATGTGGTTATAGATGTGAGTCTCGGCTGTATATATTGAGGAGGGGTGGCTCTTGCACTTCTATTTATATTGGCAACCTGTTGCTGTGTTCAGGAGAGTGGAGAGCATAGATCCTCCTCCTAAACACCAGCCTCTCAATCTAATGTACCACATGCTACTCTTGAGAACAGTGTGGGTAACAGTGGGCCAGTTAACTCTCTCTGAGAACTAAACAACCATACAGGAATGTTGAGAAGATGAAGACTCAGTTCTTCTACCTTGAAGTTATTGGAGGAAAGGCCAAATTAGTTAGTTAGTAATAATAATAAAAGTATTGGGTTGCTGTGAGTCTTTCTGGGCTATATGGCCATGTTCCAGAAGCATTCTCTCCTTTGGCCCACATCTATGGCAGGCATCCTCAGAGGTTGTGAGGTATATTGGAAACTAGACAAGTGAGGTTTATATATCTGTTGAAGGTCCAGGGTGGGAGAAAGAACTCTTGTCTGTTAGAGGCAAGTGTGAATGTTGCAATTAATCACCTTGATTAGCATTGCAAACCCTTGCAGCTTCAAGGCCTGGCTGATTCCTGCCTGGGGGAAATCCTTTATTGGGAGGTGTTATCTGGCCCTGATTGTTTCATGTCTGGAATTCCCCTGCTCTTTGAGTGTTGCTTTTTTATTTACTGTCTCTTTTATAGGCAGCCTGTGCAAGAAGCAGTCTTGTAACTGGGAAAGGGGAGGATTTATTGTTTTAAAACATTTCTAGCCATCTTTCCCCAAGCAGCATCTCAGGAACATGTGTCAAATTCAAGACCCACAAGCTGAATGTCATTTTATGTGCCCCTCCAGATGATGGATTACAATTTCTGTATTCCTTCTCATTAGACATCATGACTATAGCTGATGGGAGTTGTGATACAGTAACATCTGGAAAACTGAAGTTTGTCCTGTTTAGTCAGTGTAGTTGGGTTTGAATTTGGATGCAAAGCTGGCAGATATGTCTGACTTTAGTATGTGCTTTAACCTTTCCCTGACCTCAATGGCACAAGTGCTGTTGGGTTGCAATTTCCATGGTAGATAATGAAAAGTGATGGGAGCTGTCATTCAGTAACATCTGGGGACCCAAATTGGGTAAAAACCAATGAGCAGTAACTACTATGTAAAAAAAAAAAAAGAACAGTTGGTCCTCTTTATCCATGGATTTTTGTCCCTAGATTCAGCGGTCCTTTGAAAACAACCATACGGCTGATGTGGCCCTAAATGAAAATGAGTTTGATACCCCTAATCTAAGGCAACAATAGAAACAAGGGCAGAAAAACAGAAATAACCCACTAGAATTAAGGTTTTCTGTAGTTTCAAGGCCAATGATTTTCCAGTACATTTGAAAACACTGAATTTTCTTTTAAGGAAAGCCCTTTCTTGAAAAGGATGTATGGTAGAAGTCTGCAAGGTGGATTTCCCATGGAAGGAAATTAAATAGTCTAAGTACAGTCACTGAGAAGGCCTTACTGCCAAATTGACCTCTTGATAAATGTTGCTGATGTACTTTCATTCCATTAGACATACAGAGACCTGAAGGACCGTCTCCAGTTGATGGCATATAGATGTAAAGTTGAGCGAGGGTCTCCAGCAGAGGAGAAAATTGATAATATCCTCAGCAACCTGGTAAGAAAGAGCTACTTATGCATGTAGTTCAGCTAAGTCATCAGTGCAAGCTAGCAGTATGATTGTTCATTGATATATGGTTGCAAAATGGAGTTTCAGGGATTATAGATGAGCAGAAGTGACATTGAAAAGACCAGTATCTTCCCAGTTATTAGATGCTGAATGATGTTATTGTTGGCTTTGTCATACAATTTTCTCATGGATGCATGCCATAACCCAACTAATTTTGTATATTGTATTGTTGAAATCAAAGTCATGCACTGTAATAGTAAAGGCAGGCACTCTCTTAAGAGAACTTAAAAAAATAATATGTGATATGAAGTTATTGGAGAATTGTTCCTTTTCTGTGCCTTGATTTGGAATTCTTCTCCCTTGTCTCTGAAACTCTGATGTTGCCCTTTGTCTTCCATTTGGTTTCTAGGTTTACAGTGTAATCATGGCGTTAACTACATACCATATATAGAGAAGTTAATAAAGTTCAGGGCCAAGTTTTCTGCTTTATTGTTTACACAATCCTTCCAGATATATTGGCCTATATTTTCCATCACCCTATCCAGTGTGCTGGGAGATCTGGAAGACACTAGGCTGGTAAATACAGTCCTAAACCTTTCAGTGCCTTGTAATACTTTCGGAAATAAAACTAATTTCCTATTTTTCAACAATGGTTTTTGCAAGTTTATTTCTCTGTGTTCAGTATTATCCTATAACTCATCCAGCTTGTGAGAGTAAATGAAAAGTGCCATTTGATCAGTGTATTTCAGTAATAACTCAAGATTTCTGGCTTTGATTTGGCTGTTTAGCGTTTAGTGGATTGCCGCTTCTTTCACTGAAAGGGAAAACCTATTCTTTTCCTTGTCTGGTGAACAGATGTTTTTTTCATTCAGCTTCTTTCTCTTATATATGCAGCTGTGTATGAGTGCCTCTGCCTCCATCTGTTTCCATAATCAGGGTTCACTGACTCTCTTCCCGCACAGGAAGATAGAGATCTGATTATATTTTATAGCAGCTACATCCCATTCTTGTTCTCTTTTTCAGCAAATCCGATGGAAGAATTGAAAGATGCTTTTTGAGCTCAGGCCCAGCCTGATTTCCTGTGGCACAACAAAGCCAAAGAGGACAACTGCCAGGAACAGCTTGCCATTGCTTTCAAGTCTCTGTTTGGTCTGCCTCTTGCCAGCCGGCACTGCCTTTGGATCCTGGGACAGAAGCAGACAAAACCACATGTTGAATCAATGGAATACAAGGCTAAAAAGTTGATGTCAATATTCCTTCTTGACAGCGTGGCTTCATAATGAATGTACAATCTTGTACATATGACACACAACAATTGAATTATTCTACTATGCGAAGATTATTTATCTGTTCATCTGCAAAGATAAGGGCAGCTAGTAATGGAAGAATCGTACATGTACAATAATTGTTTCCAGTCCCTCCACCGCATCCAGGTTGAAAGCTGAGGACAATGGCTGCTCTTTCAGGATGAAAAACTCTGGACTGGACAGTGTTGTTGCCTTTAGTACAAATTTAACAAGATTATTGGGATTCTTATTTAACCTGGGAAATACCATGGAGATAATCCTGCTCATGTTTCCCTGTTCAAAGACATCCTGCTCAAATTTCTTTAGATCTATGTACATTAACAACATAATCTTTTAGCCAATAAGAACTTAAAATCACTTCCAATTAGAGACTTCTTTGCGTATTGAGCAACTGAAACAATATTACTCCCAAAAAAGAACTGATATCCCTTGATATTAATGCCCCAAGCTATGCTCCGAGTCTAGATCCTTTTTCTAGGCTCATTTCTGTTAATGGGGTTCATTACTGGACCCTTTTTATCCTGTTTTTCATATTTGTAAATAAAGCTTTGCATCCCGTGTCTGTAGCCACACTGTTTCCTCATTCTTCTCTTGTGTTTGACTATGAAAATTACCTTCTTCAAGATAAAAACGGCTGGTGTTTTCCACAGTATAATCTTGGAAAAGACTGTAAGGATGACAAAGAATATAATTTTGTTTTGTTTTATGAAATGCTTTTTTCTTCTGAGGCTCCTCAAGCGAGAACTGCAGCAAATTTCACAGGGCATCTTACAATCAGTGGTTCTTGAAGGGTCAAATCCCAAATAGTGCAAGTAGACTGTCATTGGCACAGTAAGAACGTTCTCCTTCTCCTTTGGTTCCCAATCTGCCGCCAATCCCTTTAACTACATTATTAGTTAAAGGGATTTTTTGTAAACCATTTTGAATCTCATCTCCGTAGAAAGAGTAGAAGTTAAATCAATCAATTATAAAAATATAAACTTGGACTCAGGTTCAAAAAGGGATTCTATGAACCAGAAATTTCACCTCGTCAATATTATTTTAGGGACAGTAGGGCATCATTTGCAGCAGCATTCACCAAACCGGATGTCTCCCAAATGAGTTAGAACTCCCATCACACTTAGCCAGCATTACCAGTGGGCAAAAATTATACAATTTGTCATCTAAAGCATATGGGAAGCATTATGTTAAGGAAGATGGAATTTTCCATGAAATTCCATGTTAATGGGATTTTGGCCTTAATAAATAGGAGTCTAATGTCTAGATCCAGGGAAGTCATGCTACCTCTCTATTCTGCCTTGGTGAGACCACACGTGGAATACTGTGTCCAATTCTGGGCACCGCAATTGAAGGGAGATGTCAACAGGTTGGAATGTGTCCAGAGTAAAGCGACTAAAATTATCAAAGGGCTGGAGAACAAGCTCTATGAGGAGTGGCATAAAGAGCTGGGCATGCTTTGCCTGCAGAAGAGAAGGCTAAGAGGAGACAAGATAGCCATGTATAAAAATGTGAGGGAAGTCCAAGGGAGGAGGGAGCCAGCTTGTTTTCTGTTGCCCTGGAGACTACGATGCAGAACAATGTCTTTAAACTACAAGAAAGAAGATTCCACCTGAACATTAGGAAGAACTTCCTGACTCTGAGAGCTGTTCAGCAGTGGAACTCTCTGCCCTGCAGTGTGGTGGAGGCTCCTTCTTTGGAGGTTTTTAAACCGAGGCTGGATGGCCATCTGTCGGGGGTGCTTTGACGCGATTTTCCTGCTTCTTGGCAGGGGGTTGGTCCATGAGGTCTCTTCCAACTCTATGATTCTAAGATTGCTATGCAGTATTGGAAGAGAACAGCTTTGGCGCAGCCCTAGACTGAGAGTTACACTTGAACCAGAACTGTGTTTAGATTACTGTTCCAGTAAAACTGTTTTGAGGGCAACTGCAGTTTGTTTACTAAAGGATGAAGAGTAAAGACAAAATGCTGTCATACTGCAATAAGATTTGGAAATATGTTTACACTGAATGGCAAGTCATTTATTCGTAAAATAGATAGCAATGGCTATAAATGTTCTGAAGGCAGATGATATCCTAATGCATGCTGGGGACAATTTAGCCTGGATTCAATAGTTTTGTGTCTTCACTTATGGTGACCATAAGCAGAATCTGTCACTGGGCAAGGTTTGTTCAGAGGGGTTTCTTTATGCTCTCTTCAGAGGCTGAGATTGTGTGACTTACCCAAAGTCATCCAATGGGGTTTCGTGGCTAGATGTAGATTTGAACCCTGGATCCAGAGTTGCAGCCTAACATTCATATTGGGGCACCATATTGACTTTCTAGATTACATATATTTAAAAAATTATATATATTTGGTTTCTATCTTGCCGTTTCTCAAAGTGGGACCCAAGGTGGTTCATAATTTAAATTAAAACAAAATTGGGATGTAACAATGAATAATGCAGATGTAATCATAAGGATAAAAACATATACTGGTGGTTTTAGTTGATATCCCCCTCCCCACCCCCCGAAAATGGCTTTTTGTGATTTGGGGATTTTGTTGTGGTTTGCTGCATGTCCAACATTGCTTCATGTATTTATTTTGATGGTATTTTTGCTTCTTGTATTTTATTTTATTTTGCTGTACTGTAATTTTGAGCTTGGCCTCATGTTAACCGCCCTGAGTCCCCTTTGGGGAGATGGTGGCGGGGTATAAATAAAGTTGCTTTATTATTATTATTATTATTATTATTATTATTATTATTATTATTAATACCCCTGAATAAGTATATAGATTATATATATAGATCTGCCTATTTTTTTGCCTTTAGGACAGTTCAAAACATTAGCTTTCTGGCACTCGGTAAGTCTGGAAAAGAGTAGAGAGCCCTTTCAAAGGCTGCAACTGTGAAGTCACCTGGTTCAAAAAGAATTCTAGAAATCCAGTAACTAGGCATTTGTCATGGCGACAGCACTTTGTTTGGACTGCGATCTTGGCAGTTGATGGAGAAAACCTGGAAGCTCTTTTGCAGATGGGAAATGTGGGGACTGCCTGAATATTTTTGTTTTGTTTTCTGGTACAGACCGTTTGCTTCTCTCAACCATGAGTATATTTTAGAAGGAAGGGTTTGGTCTACATATTCAAATGTATTTCTCTATTTAAAGGAATTCTACACGTTTCGGTTGTAGTAAACTGAGAAACACAGGAATTTATACCATCCTTTCCCAACCTCTAATCCTCAGACATATCAGACTGCAACTTTAGCTCACTGGGGATGACGGGGTTAGCAGTCCAACACATCTAGCAGGGCCCTGGTTGAAAAGATCTGGTTATATTTGTCCTTGGACAGGGCTAGAGGATTAGCAATGCTAGCTTTTCCTTTTGATGGAGCTCTGCAGCCTTTTCTTTAGTTGAAAAGCAGCAAAGACATTATCAGGGGACTTTCCTTGTCTGTACTTCCACAGTTTCTGCTGATGCTCATTGTTGTGATGTACCTTTAGATTATTTCCAAACTATGGAGAAATCTTCTTGGCAAGACTTGTTCAGAGGGGTTTGCCATTGCCTTTCTTTTAGACTGAGAGAGTATGATTGCCTGAAACCATACATGGATTTCCACAGCTAAGCAAAGATTTGAATCTTAATCTGTCCAACATTCAAACTACTATCAAACACTGGCCTCTCAGAGCAGCATTGGAACCCTTTCCCCATGTTTTTTCTCATGATAGAGAAAAGCAGCACTGGCACGGAGAAATGAGACGACAGGGCCTTTGGGTCCAAGTTATTTTATTTTGTGTCAAAAGCATTGCATAAATAAATATAAAACTGATAAAAATAGAGAGAACACAAGTGGTCAAATAATTTTTGACCAAAAACGAGCAACAGCAACCACATTGTCTGTAGATTTAAACAATTCTTCCTCTGTGCATGAGGTAGGGCATTGTGGACAAGCATATGTATGCGGAGTTGTTCTGCTCCAGTCACACAAAGTGGAGGATTCTTCTGGGTGGTGACATTTTTGCCAGCTTGTCTTTTGATCTGCCAACTCCACTTCTGAGTCTGTTCAGGGACCTCCACATTGCCCGTTTCTGGTTTTCTGGGATCCATTCCATCTTTTCCTGATAGTATTTACATGATTTTGATAGTGAGGCAAGTAACATGAACCTGCTTCTGCTTTAATGACAAACTTTGTGCTTTAAACACTCATAGAAAGATGTGGACTACATTAACTCAAAATTCTGTACCACAGAAAGACATTCAATAAGGTGATTAAACTATGTCCGTTAGACTATATGTGCAGTTTAATGGAAGTTACTTACATTTTGTTATTTCTGTTACCCATGCAACATGGGAACTAATTATGCAGAGAATTGACGTATGAAAAAAAGAATTGTTCAAGGACAAGATGGCAGATATTATGGTGAACCTGAAAGCATTTCAGCCAGATTATGGAGCAGAGAGTAGTGACCTTGCGCTGCGTCTGAAATGCCGTGCCAAAGGCCTGACCGTCAACGCTTGTGCCCATGCACTCTTCTTCTGCAAATTGCTACAAGCCACCAGGTCTCCCAAGTAAGGCCTAAATCACTACCTTTTTTTTATTTAGATTAAAATTATGGGCTTTTTCAGACAAGCAAACAAGCCTGGAGTTGTGGTATTTGTTGCTGAATATATTGGTGTTTTAGTTCTTAAGCAAACTGACCTTAAGAGTATATTGCCCTAGAGATATCACAATATAATAAAATTTCAGTTTGTATGTCTTCATCCTTTTTTATGATTGAACGTCTATTTACTAAGATGGATCATAACCTGGTGATTTTTCATTGGAGTAGGAATTTTGCATATTCTTCAATTGTCCCAACTTGGTAGTAACAGTCCAGGTTAATTTTCTGTTGTCCATTTACTAGGTCCTGTTAAAATCTCACAGGTTATTTTCCCTCTTGACACTTTCCTGTTTTCTCCTGACACAAACTGAGTTCAAAGTGAAAAAGTAGTTTGCAGAGGAGTAGAGGGAGTGGAGAGCAAAAGCAATCTGATATTTTAAATTCTTCTGGCAGATATATATCTTCACCTTTTCTGTAACTCATCATGTAATTGCCCTGATTTTTCATTACAGCCACCTTGAGTCCCGAATTTGTAGATAGGTGGGATAAAAATTAAGAAAGTAAATATATAAACAATTTGTTGTAAAAGTAAGCAGGGGTCAAACGAAGTGTGATTAGCCTTGTTTTTAATAAAATAAATTATTTTTGGTATATCTACACTGTAAAATTAATGTAGCTTGATAACTGCAATGGCTCAATGCCATAGGATTTACAAATCATAGGATTTGTAGTTTGGTGAGGATTGGCACTGATTGGCAGAGAAGGCTACAATTCTTGTGAAATTACAACTCTCATGATTCCATAGCACAGAGCCATGGCAGTTAATTAATTAACTATATTTATACCCCTCCCTACTCAACCTGAAGGGGACTCAGAGTGGCTTACAAGTAGGCAAGAATTCAATGCCACATAAAACATATATACAAATAAAATTAACATATGCATTAAAATCCATAACATTAAAAACATCTAAGTATTAAAACCAATTAATAAGTTCACACTGCATCAATTCAATAGAGTAGATGCATCCTTAGTATCTGTGGTTCCATGACACCCACATGGATACCAAAATCCATAGATGCTCATTATATACAATAGCATAGTAAAATGGCATCTATTATATAAATTACAGTTGTTGAAGGCACCTAAGAAACTGAATTAACTATGCTGTCAATTGAATAACAAAATGGGCTATTAATGCAGATCCATTCTATTGCAGGCATATTCTATTATTTTATTATAATAATAATAATAATAATAATAATAATAATAATAATAATAATAATAATATATTTAATATATATATAATATTTGTAATAATACCATTTTAATACTATTATTGTTATTATTCTATTATTTGTTTCCAGTATTCTTGAATGGCCACATCCCTAAGGAAAAAGTCTGAGTTTTTTCACAAAAGCGGATTTTATTAGCAGGATAACTTATGAAAATCAGATGTATTATTTATCATCTATTTTATCTATAGTATTTCATGCTGCAGAACAAAGAAATTTCTGACATAGAACTCAGAGTAGGATGGCTCTTTCCCGGTGCCTGTCTCCATCCCCATGGCGTTGTCTTCTGATTTTGAGACCTTACAGTCCAAAGTAGGTGCTTGCAAAAACAGATTATGGGAAGGCAGTTGTTTCCAGCGCTAGTAAGGATTTAAACAAATATATTATTTGTTCATAAATAAAAAGTCCTCTAAGGAAGAATCCTAGGTCTGCATGTGACCCCTTGGCCTAATTTCAAAGCCCTCCTCAAGAGAACAGCATTGTATTGTGCCTCCTTTATGAATTTCTCCCAGAGGGATGTGGATTTCAACTGGAGAAAAGGTTGAGCATCCTTTCTTCTATGCAATTTAATATATTACTGTTTTCTTTACAAGTATGACAACACTTTTTTTTGTGTCTTTCCTAAGGCAGAAGGAGGAGAAAAAGGAGGATGTATCTGCTTTCCTTCAAGAACCTAAGGACAACCAAAGCTTGAATCTTGGGATTATTGGTGGAGGCCATATTGGGAAACAGCTTGCCAAGACCTTCCTACAGTTGGGTGGCATTTCAGAGAAGAACATTCAGATCTCTACAAGGCGGCCAGAAACTCTGTGTAAGAGTCAGCCACTTAATCATCACTGGTATATCCACATGTACAATTAAAAAAAACTCCTGCTGCAGATTGCACTCCTATTGTACTATATACTTTATAGTAAAAGTAGGGAGCCCCCGGTGGCACAATGGGTTAAACACTTGTGCCAGCAGGACTAAAGACCAGCAGGTCGCAGGTTCGAATCCACACAGGGTGTGAATGAGTTCCCTCTGTCAGTTCCACCTCCCCAGGCAGGGACATGAGAGAAGCCTCCCACAAGGATGGTAAAACATCAAGGCGTCTCCGGGCAATGTCCTTGCAGATGGCCAATTCTCTCATACCAGAAGCAACTTGCAGTTTCTCAAGTCGCTTCTGACATGGAAAAAATATATAGTAAAAGTTCATTTCTGTCAATGCTTTTCATGACACTCCATCTCCAGGCTTTCAGCATGAGAATATTCTTACACATCCTTCTTTCTTACTCTCCTTCTTTCTTTGTTTGTTTTTACCCCAGATAGTTTCCAGCACTGAATTGCTAAAGCAAACAACAATTTGTCCATATTAATTAAAAATAATGTGTTGGCTCAAATGTTGGATCTGGAACAGAGAATATCGCACTGTACATGCAACATTAGCCTAATTGAAACATGCCTCCCAGTCATTCTTGGGTTGAATAATTGTGTGTTGAATGTAGATTATAGCGTAGTGTATAGTATCAATCTCAGAGGAAGGCTGTGGAAAACTGAACAACAATGGCTGGGGAAATCCCATGATAGGGTTATTTTAAGGTCAACATAAATAAAAAATGGCACGAAGGCATGCAACAACAGTCAATGCAATTTGCACCAAATTTTGACTAGTCTGGATGACCCTGTTCAGTTTATTACGAATAGATAAAAGACTCACTTTCCAAACTGTGTTTAAAAATGGTTAAAAGTGGGAGCTAGAGACTAGTTATCCCATGGTGGTGCAATAATTATATTCAAAACAGCTAGATATAAGGATCAAATGAGGTATACACTCAGTCAGAGTGATTTGAAAGTAGATGGATGCTTAGAACAATAAATTTATTTTTACTAATAATCCCTGATAAGAGAGAAAGGGAGGATTAAAAGGGTTTTTAAAATAGTGTTTGAATCCTGGCCAGTTTCTGGGGTTTGACCCTTTTGAGTGATGGGTTTTAAATCAGAAGTTTTTGAAATAGTGACAGGTGATTATTTTCCTGCTTTTAAAAAAATAAAGTCTACACTTATTCATAACCCAAATTACTGTGTTGTGTTACTACCATACCTGTTCCAGATTTTTACCTGTCACTGAGTAAGAGGCAATACATATGTTGAAACCATCTAAATAATGTTGTCACCTATATTCTTTCAGACTAACATATTTAAAGTGAGAATACATAGTATCTGAGCACACACAACTTCCACAATTAGGGGAATAATTTTCGCAGTATATGCATTAAGTGTGATGTTCTGCAGATTCAGGAAATGTTGGAAATTATTTAATAAAGTTGATTATGACAGGAGTAATATGGAAATATAATGATTGGGATAGAATAATTCATACATTGTTACCAGATCTATGTAACTAAATTAAGAAATAAATATTGAATTTGGAGTCTTGAGGACTTGAAATCAAAACCAACCATGTTAATCTGAAAGATTTGTACTTGGGATTTATGTTCCCAGATAAATCTGCACAAGATCACAACCTCAAACTATTAATTTGCTTCTGTTCGATGAATGCAAGGTTAACGTTTTCCCTTTTCTTTGATCTTTTCTAGCAGAATTTCATATGGTGGGAGTTAAGTGCTATTACAACAATAGGCAACTTGTCTGCTGGGCAGATGTTATATTTCTCTGCTGTCTTCCATCTCACCTTCAACAGATTTGCTCAGAAATTCATGATGCACTCCAAGACCACTGTATTGTATACAGTCTCATCACAGGGATCCCTCTAACCAGGTATTGCACACTGGCATTGCAACTAACTTCATTTGAGCAGGGAGGATGGGGGAATACTTGCTACTTGCTGCGTTTCTTCCAGGAAATTGTAACATAAAAACAAATTGTAAAATGTGGTTACTGGACAGGTTTTGTATGTCAGTCAAATAAAATATTGCTTATGTGTAAGAGAACCTATAAAGTTTTCAGGTGAGCCAAGTCCTTCAGAATTGTTTTCATATACATCTTGGAATTTAGGGACTGGAAATGTAATCCCATGTTTTTAACTGCAGTCCTCTCTAGACTTAGCTCTTTTGACTAAAAGAGATACAAAGCTGTTTGGCAGAGTGGGGAGGAGCACAACTGTTATGGGAGAATATATATATATATACAGAGTCAGACAGACAGAGAGGGAAGAAACCTGAAAGACAAATGTAATGAGTCCCAAATTGCGGGAAAGGCAAGATATACATTAAATAAGTTGCGCATTCCAATGTATAAAATGGTATTGCTAATATTTCGAGTGAGATGTGTGACAAAAATATCAGTGGTGACTTGCAAGTCAGGGAGTTGATGGCTCCACCACAGATTTTAGTCAAAATTTTACATGATTATTCAAAGAGTTAGCTTATTTTGGAGGCAGGATTGTTGTCGAGCAATTTAGAATGGCTGTGGATAGTGAGATCCAAGCCACTGTGGGTTTAGCCTGGTGAGAAAAAGAAGCCCGTATTCCAGAATAAATCTCACCAAGTTGAAGAGAAGGCCACCGAGGTTTTATTTCATTCCAGCTGGAAAAGATGACGATTGCAGTAATCTGCTAACAAATTGACATGTCTGCTAGGCAGATAAATATAGAATATATAGCTTTCAGATTCAAAAGTTTCCATGCCCAACCCCCTGAGCTGGCTTCGTTGTGATTGGCTGTGACGTCAGCAAGCCAGGAGGAGATCCAATGAGGGCTCTGGCCCTGCTTTGGTCGCTCAGCCAATGAGGTGGAAGGGAGGCGGGCAACAGGGAAACAATGAAGAAATGGCTAGGCGACTGGATTAAGAATGACTGGTGTTTGCCAAGCGGCCAAGCGATAGCTTTAGGCTCTCAAGCCTGGCCAGAGTTATTGTTCTGATCTTTTGAAATCACATTTTTGTCTGGCCCCTAGCAGCCAGGTCCTTTGTCTTTACTGTCCTGCAATATGGGTTTAATTTATGAAGCTGAGATTGGTTTCAGAGATCGGGATGTGGCACAGCAGGGAGGCAGTGACAAATCCCCAGTTCCTCACAGAAGGGGAAATGTCCTTTGTGTCGGTTATCCAGTATGTCCATAGACTCCATTATTCTGGATGGCCTGGCTATCAGCCCTCCGAAGTCCAGAATAAAAAAGCCATTTTCTTATTGTCCATGCAAATGGTTTTGGTTAAGTCCTTTGTTTGGGGATTATTGGCTCAGGAAGTTTGGAAACTCCAAGAACCATGAGTTGCTGGTTTATGAAAAGGTCGCTTTGCTTCATATTTTTCATATACACATACATACATATAATGAATGGAACATGGGGCATACACAGAGTTCGTAGGGAAAGGGGAAGGYATGCAGGGTCAAAGGGGAATTAATTTCAGCCATCCCGAAGTCCATTAAAGTTCATGAAAGTTGGCAATGAGTCCATAAAAGTTCCTAAAAGTTCCTAAAAAGTTCATGAGAGTTCATAAAAGCACTGAGTAGCCAAAGTCCATTCATAAAAACAGGAGGAGAGACAGTGGATTATGGGATCATTCCAGCCTGATGTCCTTGGCAAAACTATGAATTTCCTGATTTTGAACGATATTTACAGAGTCCYTGGGGGGGGGGGGGGTCACTTCGATCACAGGATTCATTATTCTGATTAAAACTTAATGTGAATCCTCTATTCCATTGATATGAAAGTTATCAGCTGCCATTGTTTAATTTGTGCATAAATGTAAAAAAAAAAAAAGCACAATACTTTGTGGACTGTAAATAAAAAGCATTTTTGATTAAAAGATAATGTTGGCACAATCCCAAAGTAAGTTTGTTTATATAGTTGACTCCTGGTTCCGTATTTGCACAAAACTTCAAAACAGAATTCAATTACAACTAAGGAGATAATATTTGTATGTTGTACACCACAAATCAAGGTTAAGAAGTCCCACATCACACATCTCCATGACTGGAAAATTGTCCCTTCAATATGACTATAAAAAATCCAATCAATATAGCATTTTTTGCCCGACCCATTCTGTCCTTGATCTATCAAATGTAATGCAGAACTAAACATCAGGTAAGTTACATTTAGTTATTTATTATTGTATATATTCTTTACTCAATGTAAAAAAATGTATATGCATATTTTGCAGTTCTAATTTATGCATAACTCCTTAGTCCATATGGAAATTGCTAGAACTATTTGGAGACCATTTTCCATACAGTAGGATTTGTGTTATTCTACATGTGTACATCATTCCTCTTCTATCTGCATCCTTGGCAGAAATGAACCATGTGAATTACTTAGCTCTTGTTTACTTTCAGGCTGAAGCAACTTCTTTCTTTTAACTCGATCTTAAGGCCACAATACAAGTTTGTGGAAACTGATCTTTTTGACATCTGGCTAGCAAGCAGGACAGTTGTGGATGCCCTCAAAGACCCAGCTGTTATCCAGGCTACATGTCCCTGTAACCCAATAAGTAGGTGAATTATTTTCTTAACTTTGCAACTTACGTACAGAAAACATCAACAATAATAATAGCCGTCCTGAGTCCCTCTGCGGAGGTTGAGATAGGATATAAAAGCCCGAAATAGATAATAACAGTTCTCTGTGCATAGATAACATTTACTTTTCCAACGTTATTTTTTCCAATCTTTAATACTTTTTTTGTCTTTTGAGCTCGAAACATAAATTCTTCTGTTTCCTTTTTTTCGTGTTTTATTCTACTGATGTCAGTGCTCTATCTGCCAGAGTTCTAGTAAAACTCTTAAAATACTTTATCATGCTAATTCCTACTTTTTTTTCTATATTCATTTCCAAATATTCCTTTCTCTGTTTTCCTTCCACACTTTTAATAAATTCACCAGGTAATAGTTTATTTTACCAGGTTTCAGGATCTTCAGTGTTCAATAAATTCTCTCCTGACATCTCTGAGCATGCTGTCTGTGATATACTTGCTGAAGGATCTTTTCCCTTAATCCACGGTTTGTTTCACGTATGGTCCATCAGTGTTATATAGTCCATACAGCCAATTAGTGTCACTTCAAGAGCATAAAGCATACTTTTCTGGATTTTTCTAATTAGCTTTCAATGATGATGGCATCGATCTTACTGTTTTATTTAGCAGGAAGCAGTTGAAAAATGTTCACTCACAAACTCTGTATTAAGGTGCACCAATTAAATAATGCAGACTTTCATACAGATTTGAATTAGAGTCCCATATTAGAATTTCTGACACAATGGGACATTTCTATTGTAATTTGTGTCTATTTTTTTTCTTTTTTGTTATCTGTTAATTCCTTTTCATTTTATGTACTTCATAGACTATGTTCTTGTCTCTCCAGATCCCACTGTCTTTTAATTTTCATTTTTCTTCACTGTAAATATTCTTTTTCTCAGCTTATCACCTGCATCCCTATCCTAAGCAGTTATTTCCTCCTCTGTAACTCAGAAAGACAGAATCTCAATGATTTGAAAAAGACTGCCTCTAAAAATATATGCCTCTGGGATGTATTGTTGTGACCGATATACACAAAACAAAGAGATTGTAGGGATGGTGAAAGAAACCATATTTTGTAATACCACTTCTTTCCTCCAAAAAAAACAAACAAAAACCAAACAAAAAACTTCCTACACTTAAAGAACTTGCATAGTAGCTGTGGCAGCTTTTTATATGCAAAGAGCTGTTTATGTAAAGAAGCATTAAAATTTGTGGTTGTGAAGTAGCAACTTACTCAGAACTCAAATTCTTTGTTTTGTTTTGCTACACAAATTTATTGGATTCTGAGACGTGCTTCCTTCCCCATATACATAGCTTTAAAAATGGGTGTGTCTTACAATCACAGATACTTTTAAATATATATATATATATATATAAAGTGGGGTTTTTTCTGTTGGTGACGCTGAAATTAGTGTCTTACAATCAACAATTTCTTAGAATACAAAAAAAAAATTATAGAAAATGAACATTGTGTTGTCGAAGGCTTTCATTGCCGGAATCACTGGGTTGCTGTGAGCTTTCTAAGCTGTATGGCCATTGGGTTGCTGTAATCTTCTCAGGCTGCATGGCAATGTTCCAGAAACATTCTCTCCTGGTGTTTCACCAGCATCTATGGCAGGCATCCTCAGAGGTATTCCTGCCATAGATGCAGGCAAAATGTCAGGGGAGAATGCTTCTGGAACATGGCCATACAGCCCGAAAAACTTACAGCAACCCAATGATTCTGGCCATGGAAGCGTTTGACAATGCACTGTATGGCTATGTTCCAGAACATCAGGAGACAATGCTTCTGGAACATGGCCATACAGCCCAGAAAACTCATAGCAACTAAATGAACATTAATTCAAGGAGAAGGCAAGGGCTGCCAAACTTCTTGTGCCATTACCATTTTCAATGGGCTTGAACAACCATCACATCTGTGTGGCAAACAGCTTCAACAGCTTTGTTGTAAACTGCCTTGAGTCCCCCCAGGGGTGAGAAAGGCGGTATATAAATACAGTAAACAAATAAATAATAAATTCAAGCAATTGGTATTTGGCATTTCACAAAGGGAGGTTCAGAGGTTAACAGGAAAAAGATTGCATTTGGAACATGGCTTATCTTGAGCAGGCGTAGAGAGTATGTGGCCCTCTACTGGATTGCACTTTATTTCAGCTCTACATAGCGAAAGGGATGGGATGATGGCAGTTGTAGTCTAAGAATATAGAATCATAGAGTTGGAAGAGACCTCATGGGCCATCCAGTCCAACACCCTGCCAAGAAGCAGGAAAATTGCATTCAAAGTACCCCTGACAGATGGCCGTCCAGCCCGCTTACAAGCCTCCAAAGAAGGTGCCTCCACCTCACTCCAGGGCGAAGAGTTCCACTGCTGAACAACACTCCGGGGCAGAGAGTTCCACTACTGAACACATGAAGGGTCACACATTCTCTACCCATGCCTTAAAGGTGTGGTAAACTGGAAATATTTTGTAAATCTTGTATACATTTTCTTTTACAGGGGAAGTTGTTGTCAATAGGGAATGGCTGGCAGCGACATTCTATGCAGCTCTGAACAGCTACACAAAGCAGGGTTTGTCCTATGCAAAGACCCTGCTTTTATTTACTGAGGTGTGCTTTCCTGATGATGATACATACGGAGAAGATAAATCACCGCCATTGCTGTTTTGTGAAAACTTTATCAACCCAACCTTTGCCTCCTCCCTGGAACCTGATGAGTAAGTTGAGTCAAGCTGAAAATTGTAGAGTTTCATCTCCTTCCCCCTCTATATTTATTTGTACTCTGCTTTTCTCAAACGACTCGTGTGGAGACTACCGAGAATAGGCTATTGAGGCAATTCCATAATACTCTGAAATTTCACATATGGATATTCTTGATTGCATGAGTAGATGTTGTTAGTAATGTCTTGGTTACTAACTATTAGCAGTAATAATGTGGAAATACCCTATGCAATTGGAGCTATTTATTAAATGAGCAATCTTCAAACACTACACCCCTTCCTGGAAATTACAAAAAAGTAATGTTTGAAGTGGCCTTGAGGCCCTTATGTTCTCGTTTAGAAATCTTCTCTCTTCCTCTTTGGGCCGAAACAGACATGGAACGATATATTTGAATATATGCTTGCCATTTCATTTAACAATGGGTATTATGGGGGAAGAGAGCAAGCATGCAACATAGGCATATGTGTTTAGTAGTATGGTTATGCTGAATGCCCTTGTTGCAGTATAAAAATAATGTAAATAAGTCAAGAGAGTATGCTGTCATACCTATTTTATATTTTTAGGGGACAGTTTTCACCATTAAGAATTGCACTTAAATGGAAAAAGAGTTTATCTAGTTAACTGCTACTTCTACTTTATTTAATACTTCCATAACTAAAAATGACAGGAATAGACACAATTGCACGGCACAGCTTAAGGAATGCAGTAATAGCAGCCTTTTTTTTTTTTTTACTCATAGTTCCTTCCCTTGGTTTGACTTGACAACTGTTCAGCGAAAAGATTCACCTTTTAGCCACCTTCTTGCAACAGATAAATCTTTCCAGGACAACATTGCTTCATTGTATTGTAACATGCTGAAAGTCAAATTCTCCAAAACTAAGGAAGATTCCGTATCAGTTTCCTTCAAAAAGCCTTCTCTTTCAGCTCTCTTGTTGAATCCCACCAAACCTTTGACCTGGGGAGTCGCTGCGACTTGTAAAAGCAAAGTAGAAGAGGCATCAAGTACTGATTCTGAAGATACTTAGATCTTTTTATCCAAATCTCTGGAAACAGCAAGAGTTTTATTTTTCAGTACTACTAAAAATATATTTCTTTCTAAAAATAATACAGTCAAATCATTATTTTGGAATAATAATCAGCATGCCCCGTTTAACTATGTGCAGAGTAGCAACCCAATAGTCATTTTCAATCAAAACCAGTGGAGGAATGTATTTTGCAATAAAATAGCAGGAATAACAAATGCCAAGCAGAAATAAATTCCAACAAAATGAACAACATACGGTAATTGTTTTTTGTTTTGTTTTTTAAATTTTAGAGGGGATTAGATTGATCTGTATATTATGGAAAAAGTAACCAAATATTAATGCAGAGATTTGAATCAACTCATAAAAGAATATCAAAAGGTTAGGAGAAATAATCATTTTTTTCAGTAGTTGCATTACCATCAGAGAGAAAGAAAGAATGGGTAACATCTACCTCACATGGAGAATACTCCAACCACTGGGCTAATTTGTTCTGCAGAGGCTGTAACTGCAGCCTGCACTTCCTCGTATGGTGCATCCACTGTAGAATTAATGCAGTTTGTCTACATCAGGCATGGGCAAACTTCGGCCCTCCAGGTGTTTTGAACTTCCAACTCCCACAATTCCTATGTCTGGTCTACATTCTATCTGTTATAGCTCGATGCTATTGAATCACGGGAGCTGTAATTTTAAAAGATTCTTAGCCTTCTCTGTTGGTGCCTCACCAAACTACAACTCCCGTGGTTCTACAGTATTCAGTCATGACAGTAAATGTGGATATACCCTTAGCTCCACCTCCTAAAAACTAGCTAGGAAAGGAATATTGAATATTAATTGCAATATTTTGTTGAAGATAACAGTGACGGTGCTATTAAAGTGCCATCCCCACTCACAATCATTAAAAGTCCATAAATCCTGATCTGCACCCAATCAGCAATTAATCCTCTTCCATAGGGGAAGAGTGAGGGAGGGCAAAGTTAGATTACTGGCCAAAGTGTCCAATATCTTTTTGGTCAGTGAACCAAATACTTTGGCTGCAGCCACATATGTGGCATTATTAGCTCCTGTTTCCAGATCCCCAATCTAACCTAATAAAACTTAATGACTTGTAGAACTCCTTGCAAAAACAAAATCACATGAAGTTCAACCATGGGGAAAAGACTGGGAATTAATAAAGAAAACAACAAATGGTGAATTTGACAGTTATATGAAGATAAAAATGAACTTCTAGAATGGTAGGTTTGCTTTGTTTGAAAGATGTCACAAGATAACAACTCTGGTTCAGCTGGATGCTCAGTGAGTAGGATACACTGGATATTAAAGTGCAAGTTTTGACACATGTAAAAACAATGTATTTTTATTGCAAAGGAACTGAATTATGTTGTTGTGGACTTTCAGGCTTCGAACCTACACATTGTGATATTTGTTGTGAACTCTCAAGCTCCAAACCTTCACTTTGTGATAGTTGCAGTGGACTTTCAAGCTCCATTTCTTCACACTGTGAGACTTGCAGACTTTCAAGCTCCAAACCTTCACATTGTGATGCTGAAGGCTGTGGAGTTGGAGGCTTTGGCTCATAATCAAGCAATCCTTCATTAAGAATAAATTGAGAATAGGTCAGGGCATCACTTCGCGGTCCAGTTCGAGATTTTTGCTCTAGGAACAAACCCGTATTATCTCTGGGTGGAAGAGCGATGCTTCTGACAAAAAGAGGCTCCTCTATTTTCAGCAATTCACGAATATGCCGTGACACCACCTGAAAACCAAAAGGAAGCTTAACACAATATCTATTAGAAATAGAAAGTAGGACTAATGTCAGGCCTGACCTAGGACTACAAATATCTATTTCAGAGGAAGAAACTCAGGAAATGCTAGACTAGGACTTTCAATGACAACAGACTTGGAGTCACCCTTAGATGGGGGGCCTGAATTCCATGGCATTTATGGCAACCATCCAGCTGAAGTAATGGTAACCAAAATACAAAAGCAGGCAGTCTCCCATCACCAAAGTCCCAGGGCACCATATTTGTCAGGAGTGAAGGAAATCTTTTAGAATAGAAATTTGCAAGATGCTTCCAACTGGTCTTGGTGGGAATCTGACAGACCAGGCTACTTAAACCTTCTGTTGTAGTATCTCCACTGCTTGAAACACATAGTCTTTCCTTTGTGAAATTGAGCTGCTACTGTTGTGCAACAAGGCATCTTCTGTGGTTCCTCATTGTGTGTTGCTGTAATTCACAAGCATGGTTGTGTTACATGTCAGCAACAAAGCTTTGTTATCTTAAAAGTTATGCATCGAAGCCAGGATATGAACGCTAGGATAGTGCTCACTGACACTGGAAAAAAATATATCCAGAAAAGCTGACTGAAGGAATGGTATAAAATTCGGAGAGCATTTGCAACAGTCACATAACAATATAGTATGTCTTCTAACTACTAGGAACATGTAACTAAAACATGGGTCTCACCTTCATATCTTCAAAATCTGTTATCCCAATCTGTGGAAGATTTGAGCAATTCACATGGATTAATTTGCGACCAGAAATGAAATTTGCAGTAAAGCACTCCTGCTTAAGCAAAATAAGAAATATTGCGTAGTGAGAAGAAGCCATACTTTACTTTCCCCCTTTTCCTAGTTGAAACCAATTGCATGTGTAGATTTAAGAATTCACGGTGCTATGTATGATTATTCATCTTGGTCCCTTTTGTGGTGTGCGTGTGCTTTTGAATTATCTGTCAACTTATGGCAACCTCATGAATTTAAAAGCATTTTTATAAGGAATATGCAAGGCGCATTTGCACCCTTAGAATTAATGCTATTTGATTTAGGTGGTTTTGTCAGTTCCTTCCTCAATGTGTATTCCCCGCCCCCCTCTGAAAGAGACATCTTTATAACTTTTGGTGAAGTCAGCTCTCCATAGCCACAGATTCTATATCCATGGATTCAACCATCCACGACTTGAAAAAAAAATATTTTTAAATCCATATAATAAACCTTGATTTTGCCATTTCACATAAGGGTGCAAGATTTCACTATGCTATTGGCTGCATATAATGAGACTTGAGCAGCCATAGATTGTGGAACCCACGAGGGGTCCTGGAATTACAGGGAGAACACCACTCCGCTGTTACACCAGCTCCACTGGCTGCCAATTAGCTTCCGAGCACAATTCAAAGTGCTGGTGTTAACCTATAAAGCCCTAAACGACTCCGGCCTGGTTTACCTCTCCGAACGTATTCTTCCCTACGAACCATCAAGATTACTAAGATCATCTGGAGGGGCCCTGCTCTCGGTCCCACCGGCCTCACAAGCGTGGCTGGTGGGGACGAGGGACAGGGCCTTCTCGGTGGTGGCCCCGCGACTCTGGAACTCTCTCCCGCCAGAGGTTAGAACCGCCCCAACAATCCTGACATTCAGGAAAAGGTGAAGTCGTGGTTATGGAGACAGGCTTTCGAAGAATGAAACAATGATTTGGATGGAAGACGGTGTATATTCGATTTTAGTATGACGACTGACCACTGTAGTTTTAAATACATGTGCTTTTTAAATGTTTTAAATGTGTATTTTGATATTTTACCGATTGTTTGTGTTTTTATGGTTGGAAACCGGGCTGAGTCCTTCTTAGGAGGTGAGAAGCTCAGTATATAAAACTTTGAAATAAATAAATAAATAAATTCTGGGAGCTGTAGTTGTTATTTTTTGAGAATCATAGAATCAAAGAGTTGGAAGAGACCTCATGGGCCATCCAGTCCAACCCCTGCCAAGAAGCAGGAATATTGCATTGAAATCACCCCTGACAGATGGCCATCCAGCCTCTGTTTAAAAGCTTCCAAAGAAGGAGCCTCCACCACACTCCGGGGCAGAGAGTTCCACTGCTGAACGGCTCTCACAGTCAGGAAGCTTCCTCATGTTCAGATGGAATCTCCTCTCTTGTAGTTTGAAGCCATTGTTCCGCGTCCTAGTCTCCAGGGAAACAGAAAACAAGCTTGCTCCCTCCTCCCTGTGGCTTCCTCTCACATATTTATACATGGCTATCATATCTCCTCTCAGCCTTCTCTTCTTCAGGCTAAACATGCCCAGCTCCTTAAGCCGCTCCTCATAGGGCTTGTTCTCCAGTCCTGTAAGTAATAGAAAGAAAAGGTGTCACTATTCCTCTCACATATACCCCTCCTTACCCTCACCTTGTACTGAGGGAAGCCCCTGGCTGCGATCCACTCGGCCACTTCCTCGGGGCTCCAGGCCAAATGCGCGGGGCCCGTGGAGGCGGGCGGCTCTGGTTCCTCGGGGAGTTTCTGCTCCGACGCCTCCGAGCCAGGCCTCAGCTCGGCTTCGGCGGAGAGGCCGCGGTCAAGCTTGGCTTTGGCCCGAGAGACGGAGCGGCGCTTCCTCCGGAGGGCCCTCCAGTCGCCCCCTTCCTCCCCTTCTACCCCCTCCTCCTCCTCCTCCTTTTCTTCGTCCTCGTCGTCGTAGTAGTAATCCTCGTCGTCCTCTTCATCCTCGTCGTCGGCGTATTCTCCCCCCTCCGCCTTGTCGTCTTCGTCCTCCGTATCCATCTTGAAGAACGCCGGCGCCATGGCAACGCGTGCTTCCCTAGATACCGCCACTTCCGGGAAGTGTCTCCATCTTGCCCGTCCCCGGCAGAGGAAGGCGCTGCCGCAGCCCGCGCGAAGATTCCAACCTGACGGCGGGGGTCGGCTTTTCCCGGGAATTTTCGGCTCCGCTCGGGTCTCCTCGGCTCTTTTCGGCCGGCCCCGATGTCGGACGCGATAGCCACGGCCGCTGGCATCCACTTCGAACCCTCCGCGGCCGGGGGCTTCGGAAGCAGTGGCAGCATCAGTGACGGTGGCCCCGAAGGGACAAAAAGGGACGAGAAGCGGCTCTCACCTCCGCTTCCGCCTTCTCCAGGTCCATCAGAGGGGCAGTTGGGTCTCCTTAGCGCCTCAGGTGAGGAATGGGGGCTTTTTCAGGGTTCCTGCCATCATTTGTCATCACCACCATCGTTATCATAATCATATTAATAATGATACTTTGTTTGTAACCCGCCCTATCTCCCCAGGGTGGTTTCCAATAAAAAGAGGCAAACATTCAGTGCCAATAACAAAACAGATCATAGAATCATAGAGTTGGAAGAGACCTCATGGGCCATCCAGTCCAACCCCCTGCCAAGAAGCAGGAATATTGCATTCAAATCACCCCTGACAGATGGCCATCCAGCCTCTGTTTAAAAGCTTCCAAAGAAGGAGCCTCCACCACACTCCGGGGCAGAGAGTTCCACTACTGAACGGCTCTCACAGTCAGGAAGTTTTTCCTCATGTTCAGATGGAATCTCCTCTCTTGTAGTTTGAAGCCATTGTTCCGTGTCCTAGTCTCCAGGGAAGCAGAAAACAAGCTTGCTCCCTCCTCCCTGTGGCTTCCTCTCACATATTTGTACATGGCTATCATATCTCCTCTCAGCCTTCTCTTCTTCAGGCTAAACATGCCCAGCTCCTTAAGCCGCTCCTCATAGGGCTTGTTCTCCAGACCTTTGATCATTTTAGTCGCTCTCCTCTGGACACATTCCAGCTTGTCAATATCTCTCTTGAATTGTGGTGCCCAGAACTGGACACAATAATTCCAGATGTGGTCTAACCAAAACAGATCACAAATAAACTCAAAAAAGCAATAAATAAGAACCACCACTGTATGAAATAACGAAGTCACCACAACATGAGTAACTGTATTAAGGGGTCGCGGCATTAGAAAGGTTGAGAACCATTGATCTAAGTCGTTAATTTTAATAACTAATCCAAAAAGTAACAAAATATTATTAAAATTAACAACTTAGATCAATGGTTCTCAACCTTTCTAATGCCGCAACCCCTTAATACAGTTGCTCGTGTTGTGGTGACTTCGTTGCTACTTCATAACTGTCATTTTACTACTGTTATGAATCGTAATGTTAATATCTGATATACAGAATGTATTTTCATTCACTGGACCCAATTTGGTGCAAAATACCCGATATGCCCAAATTTGAACACTGATGGGGTTGGGGCGAGGGACTGATTTTGTCGTTTGGGAGTTGTAGTTGCTGGGATTTATAGTTCACCTGCAATCGAAGATCATCCTGAACTCCACCAACGATGGAACTGAACCAATCTTGACACACACAACTCCCATGACCAATAGAAAATATTGGAAAGGTTTGGTGTGCATTTACCTTGAGTTTTGGAGTTGTAGTTCACCTACATCTAGAGAGCACTGTGGACTCAAACAATGATGGGTCTGGACCAAACTTGGCACAAATACTCAATATGCCCAAATGTGAACAGTTTGGGGGAAACAGACCTTGACGTTTGGGAGTTGTAGTTGCTGGGATTTATAATTCACCTAAAATCAAAGAGCATTCTGAACCCCACCAACGATAGAATTGAGTCAGACTTTCCACACAGAACCCCCATGACCAACAGAAAATACTGTGTTTCCTGATGGTCGACTCCGCTGAAATTCTGACACCCCCTTGCGACACCCCCCCCCCCGACTCCCAGGTCAAGAAACACTGACTTAGATAAACAAAATATAACACACTACAAACATTTACCACACATTTAAACTAGCAGCTGAAAGGCAATAAAATATGGGATGAATCATCCCATCATTACCACCATCAATGTGCAAGGAAAACAAACCAAAAACTTTCTACAAAGAAAAGAACTTAAAATGTGTGCAGATTGAATATCACTTAGCTGAAATGCTTGGGCCAAAAGTGTTATGGATTTTGGAATATCTGTGTTTAAATTGTAATTTGTACTGTTCTTACTTCTAGGAGCCGCATTGAGTCTTCTTTAAGAGTAGAAAGTGGGGTTTACAAGAAGATAAATATAATAATGATGATTATAATGTGTTTGAATATAGATACATAATGAGATACCTTGGAGATGAGATCCAAGTCTGCACAGAATTAATTTATGTTTCAGAACATCCTTACCTGTCCAAATGTATCTCCCTTTATGAGCCAACTACAGCTTTAAGATCTGTTGGGGCGGCCCTACTCTTGGTCCCACCCCCCTTGCAAGTGTAATTGGTGGGAATGAGAGATAGGGCCGTAATGGCTCCTTGGTTGTGCAACACCTTCCCCAGTGACATTACGCTGGCCCCATCCCTCCTGGTCTTCAGGAAAAGACTGAACACCTGGCTCTCTTCAGAGAATAGGATAATACAGAATTGTTCCCAACAACTTGAATAATTATCATAAGAAAGTCATTATGTATGGAAACTAAGACTTGTCACTTTATCATGTTTTAATCGGCGATTTAAAATTGTTTTATTGCTTTTATGTGTGTTAATTTATTTACATGTTTTAATTGTTTTATCTTTTGATATGGCTTGTTTTATGCTTGTTTTATGATGCGGCATTGAATTTTTGCCGGAGTTTGTAAGTCACTTTGAGTCTCCTGTGAGGTGAGAAAGGTGGGGTATAAATAAAGTAAATAAATAAATATCTTAAACATATGTTCACATCCAACTGGTTCAAAATATTGGTTTACGGGAACATCTAGGAGTGAGCATATCACACCTATCCTAAAATCACTCCAATGGGTGCCAATTAGTTTTCAGGCAAAGTACAAGGTGATGGTTTCGACCTTTAAAGCCCTACGTGGTTTGGGTCAAGGTTACCTAAAGGACAGCCTTCTCCCATACAATCCGCCCTGCACACTTCGGTCTTCTGGGGGGGCATCTGCTCCAACCAGCCAGAACTCAATTGGCAACCACCACCCAGAGGACCTTTTCATCAGCTGTGGAATGGCCTACCCGTAGAGCTCCTACAGCTAAATCAGCTGCTGGAGTTTAAGACACAAGGGAAGTGCTGATTGTGAGAAGTGCTTGCTGATGCAGTTGTAGGGTAGAACCGATGCATTAATAAAATCCTTGTTTACTTACCTTCTCCCCCCATCCACTTTCCAACCCCCCCCCTCTCTACCCCTCCCCTCACAATCCAAAATCCCAAACCTTAACCCACACCTCCCTTTCCCCCCTTTTATTTCTTTTTATTTTATTTTATTGGAAACTTTAATATAAATTATTTTTTAATAAAATCCTTGATGAATTCTTGCTATGTCCAGAATAGGTAGTTTCTGTATTGAAGGAGATGCTGGGGCTTATTCTGAGACCCAAAGTCTGTCCCCCATTAATTAAAAATCTTTCGTATCTAAATAACCAAAGATCAAAGAGTTTTCATTATAATGCCACAATCAACATTAAAAGACAGCAAAAATTAACAGAATGTTCTCATCAAGTACAAAGTTTTAAAAAGAGCTTAATAAAAGTAAAGCAATTTAAATAGTAGTGAGAACCAAATTCTAATACTGTACTGTATAAGATGCTTGCAACGTATCTTGATGTAGAATTACCACTCAAGCAACAATCTTTAATTTATCAACTTACATATGCTATAACACTGTTTTGATGAAGTTGTTTGTCAGGAGCTAGCATCTAATAACATCCCTTGAGGCATTGTCGTTAGATATTGCCTTGTCTTATTTTCCCTAGCACATCAGCTATTTGTAATTAAAGCACTGTGTGTTGGTGTAACTGTTGCATCAGGTAACCTAGAACAGTAAGCTGACAACTCACCAAATTGTTTGGGCTACATAAGCAAACAAATTCTAGAAGTATCTCTTACTGGGAAGCAACATTCCATAATTAATAACAGTTTCCTGGGTCGGACATGGTGGGAAACTATGGTGAATTAAGGAATTTTTAGGTTAGCGATGGCTTACATTAAAGGAGGAACAGGAGAACTGTGTTCACAGACAAAAGGCTCTTTTATATATCATATTTTAGAGATGAGATATGATTACCCATTGTCATCATTATTTTTCAGTATTTTTTAAACACATAAATCTAGCTCCATTTATGTCAGTCTTAAGATTCTATTCCACTTGGGAGGACATACCCATATATACTCGAGTATAAGCAGACCAGAATATAAGCCGAGGCACCTAATTTTACCACAAAAAACTGGGAAAACATTGATTCGAGTATAAGCTAAGGGTGGGAAATGCAGCAGCTACTGGTTAATTTCAAAATAAAAATAGATACCAATAAAATTACATTGAGGCAACAGTAGGTTAAATGTTTTTGAATATTTACATAAAACTATAATTTAAGATATGACTGTCCAACTGTGATTAAACCATTGTTCTAACCTTCAATGTAAATGTGCTTATGTATCCTTCCAATAATAATAATAATAAATAATAAAAATAATAATAGAGTGAAATAATGAAAATATAATAACATTTATAACAGAGTAAAATAATAAATGTAATAAAATAATAATAATAAATAGAGTAAAATAATCAATGTAATAAAAATAAGAATAATAACAGATAATAAATAACGTTGACTCAAGTATAAGCTTAGGGGGGCTTTTTCAGCCTAAAAAAGAGTTGAAAAACTCAGCTTATACTTAACTTAGAACTACAGCCTGACTGTAGTATTTCTGTGTTTGAAAGGTTGCCATCTTTAATAAGAAATCATGTCTTTAAGCAGCCTAAATACAATTTAAAAAGGTGTTAGATCCCATCTGATCTTTGAAGTGAAGAAGGGTCAGCTTTGATTAATACTTGGATGGGAGACTGCTAACGAATACCAGGTGTTTTAGGCTGTATTTCAGAGGAAGGCACTGGCAAAACCAACTCTGAGAATTCCTTGTCTAAGAAAACCTTATGAAAATATGGGTTTGCTATAATCTAAATCAGCTTGCAGTTATGCACACATACACAGCGCTGGATTTATAAGTCCATAGAATTTGCATATTGTCAGCCCAGCTAATAGTGTTCTGCCTGCAGTGTAAACAGCTTTTAAGGAAGTAAGTTGTCGGCTTTAAGATATGCTGCTTACAGAACCCAAGGCTTATCTTATAAGCACAAATTATATTGTGGGTTGATTCTACCACAATAACCTATGTGCTGCGTCATCTATGGGCTACTGTTGGCTTCTTTTTTCCAACCACTTCTCCAGGATATTGTTACTCTAGTTTTAAATGCCATGCTTTAGTCACGTCTAGGGTTTCTTTCTGAAAAGCATGCTTACTGTCTTGAAACAGAAGCCTTCTTGATTCATGTGCTCACAATATTTTTTTTCATACTTTTTCCTGGAAGTAGCTACTTTCTCTGAATCCCACTAAGACAGGTATGACATGGAAAAACAATCTGACTGCAAGACTTTTTGTATTAAATATTGGAACTTAGGTAATGATGATTTCTGTTTTTTCAATACAGAGAATGAAGATATAACTCAGCGGCCAGAACCTACACCCCAGGCAGAAGTCAGTCTGGGAAATGATACCTCACTATGCAGGTAGGAAATATGTATTTTGGACAGAGATCTGTGTTACGTGGTGTTTAAGGAAAAAGAAAAGGAAGATATACTTAATTTCTCATATGAGGGAGGGATTTAGAAAGCAACTTTCACCTATCAAGATAAAATAGAATTTCTTTGAAGTGCTTCATTTTGGAGTTTTATTTGTTATTCTGGTAAACATAAAATCAGTGATGGTGATTTGTTTGGATTCAGAAGCAAACTTACAGATTGACACGTTGATTTTAAAATTCTGTATTAGGAAGGCAACGTTTATAATTCATATCATATGTAGTATCTGCAGGTGGGACTTACAGCAAATTAATTGGTTATGCATTATTCAAGCACTGACCTATAGGTGCTTACAATGATCAAATACTAAAGTACACTATACCTTTCAAAAAGAGAAGTAAATGGATGAGTCTTTGTTCCGTTATTGTGGGAACAAAATGTCAGATTTCAAAAGTGATCTGAGATAATCCTGTCATATGCAGCTGTAGCATAAAGGAGATAAATCCCCGGGGCCTCTGTAATTATATCCCCATCGGGGGATGCTGTGCAACAGTCCAATTGATGCCAAATAGGCTTTTGCTTTAATCTCTAGGTTAGCATGAACTCATGGTTACTCACTGTTTAAATGGCTGTGATTCTTCAAATCTTTGCCTTTGATTTCCTCATTGGTTCATAGGCAGTTTCTGAACACTGTCTCAAGGTATCGCTTCTTACCTGTAGACCAAGCGAAATAATTGCTTTGAACTCTCAAAGAATTAGATTGAACTAAGAGACACTCGCTAAATTCAATGGTTTATTGAAGGCTATGTGAATGGCTTTAAGGAACAAAGCTTTCTCGGTGATAGAACCCATTGTTAATTTACTTCCTAAGGAAGGTTGTCAGACCTTTCCCCAGGATTCTCCCAGGCAGGAAACAGCCAAGCTTTGAAGCTGCAAGGCTATGTAATGCGAATAACGGTGATTAACTGCAACATTCACACTTACCTCAAACAGACGAGAGTTCTTTCTTCCACCCCGGACAGTCCACAGATATATAAACCACACTTGCCTAGTTTCCAACAAATCTCATAACCTCCGAGGATGCCTGCCATAGATATGGGCGAACATGGCCATACAGGCTGGAAAACTCACAGCAACCCAGTGTTTCCGACCATGATAAGCCTTCGACAGCACATTGTCAGACTTGTTTGCTGTTAACCATAGCTAATTTCTTTGGACTCGAGGTTTTTGCATTGATAGTATTTCCATCTTTTCACTCCTTTTAATAATGAATGGAGTTTAGTGATTTGTTTTAATGCTTCAATACGTATCTTGTGTTTTCACCCCTGGGGGTTATTTTATGCATAAGATATAACAGTCTCTCTTGAACAAAAAAAAAAAGTTCAATAGAAGCCTAATTTATATTTTGAAAATGCAAGATATTTTAGTACCAGTGTTCCTGGAATTTTCTAGTTCATCCTGGAGTGTGGATCTTGCTAGATACCTTAAAAATTAAAGTGGACAGACCAACATTATAACATATTCAGATCTGTAAAGGCTGGATTCTTGATTCCACGGATAGTAAGAATATATAGAGATATGAAATGAGACTGGTAAAGCATTCATTTTTGGGACAGTCCTAATATAAAGGAACTGTGAAGTGAAATAATGGTAGTAAGGAAGCACTGGGTCACTGAAAAAAACACCTGATGTATATGAGCTCCTAGAATCAAGCTTATTTAGAGCATGGTGTTAACCTAATTAATTTCACTTTGCATTTTGTTACTATTGGTGACTCTAACTGATGAGTTTTATTTCCAGCAACCAATAGTTTTGGTAATCATATGGAAGTTATCTTTCTCTGTCAGTTTAAAATTTGCAGGATATTGGTTTGAGTTGCCCTTGTATCCACCCCTCTTCAACAGTGCTTGCACAATACTTTTTCATGCAGTGCTGAAAAAAGTGCTCCTCCTGCCTGAAAAGTACTCTGTGTGATTGGATCCTTACATCCCTGACTTATAGGCTACACAAGTCTCCCAGAGAATTGCTCAAGACTGGCAAGCTTTTGCAGAAAATTGCACCCACTTGCCTGTCATTTTTTAAGCTGGGAACTTTAAACAGTTGTGAAGGAAAAACATACAATAAACTTGCTTGGCTATCCTAAAGTTATCATGAAGGCTGAATGCGTGTTTAGCCATTGATTCCCATGTTTGCTGGTAGAACTTGTTTTTTCTTTTCTGAGTAAGTATGGCTTGAGTCATGTGATGGCTATACTTCAGGCTTCCTAATGTTATCTATATGGACACAACTATTTATGAATTACTACCAGTGATTAAATATTTCTAACCTTTTTTATTACTAGCACTAAAAGCAATGCAGCATAAAAATGCAGAACAGCAATAATCAATAGTACAGTATAAATGCATCAATAAATCAGCACCAAGTGGTGGTTAATAAGACCTAAAAGCTTGAGTAAATAGTCAAGCTTCCATGTGGTGCTAAAATGTTGATGGCATTCGACCTGTAGAGAAAGAGAATTGCATATGGAAAAGATACAGCTGAGAAAGCTGTAGTCGTTATCTGGTTACTAGCCCAGCAGTGACAAATACGGGGTATCAACATTTCCTCTGATGCTGTTACAGCCTCATCCAATCTACGTAAATGTATGACAGAACCAAAAATTCACTGAGCATCCAAATCCTTAGGACAGTCTTACATCCTTTAGGATTAGTGAGAATAGAGGAGACAGCTATCACTGTTGTGCCTCTAGCTATTTGTTTATTTATTTTTATATAATGTAAACCCACACTCATCAAACACTGTAAACTATTTTGTCAAATTGTGAAAGAGAAGACTCGCAGCTCAGTAATGCATACATGTCCCATAGTAAAGCAAGTACCTGGAAAATTGCTTTATTAAATTAGAGTAGGCAACTGCGAACTAGGTGAATCAATTAGGAGAAAATACCATAGCTTTAGAGATTTTTATGATTCTATATGTAGTGAGCAGTATCGGGAGGGTGAGTAGTTGGCAGGAACAGTAAGGTCTTAGGCAAGCTTCTTATGCCATTTCTTTGCTGTGACATCTGTGTACATAAAACAGATTTGGTATCTCTCTTTTACAAGATTTTACTTGTGAAAGTTGCATCTATCAACATAGAGACATGAGAACAAACTGTCAAATTGCTATACTATATTTGGGTGGTGTGGGGTGGTGGACAAATTAATTCTGTTAGATTGTTGGGTATTTTGTCAAAGTCGGTGTTTACAAAACATCCCAAGAGATTATTGGATGGGCTCAGCTGGATTGTTTTCTGCTACCTGTGGGATTACAATGCAGAACAATGATTAATTCCTGCTGTACTTTCACTTGTGTGTGACAGAATTCACTTCGATGTGTTAGACATATAGATGGTAAAGTTGTCATGTTTCTACAGTATCCCAAATCTTTCTGTTAGCCCTTTCTCCCACTTTCCCCTCAACTTACCAGAAAATTGGAAATTGTTGTTTGCTTCAGTTCATCATTACAGAGTGCTCTTAAAACATTGAATTTGAAATACTGTCTTTCTCTGAGAGGCTGCAGAATGGGTCCTCTCTAAATGAAGATATTGCAAAGGATTCTGAGTGTGGTCATGGAAATCAAGAAGAACAAGATGTAGCAGGAAAGGAGATCCTAACAGATCAAGTCCAGCAACAAAAGGAGGTGGGAGTTTGCCTCTTGGGTAATATCTTACATAGCATTATAATGCTGTATTCTTTTGTTTCCAAATGCAATATTCATATTTGCTATGCTAAGACAATATGCTTGGTGAGATTTGCTTGGGATACTCTTTTATAGTATATGTACATTTCTGCTTACATTATTGAATTCTTCTGTTCCTTTGATATGTTAGGGTTTGTAAACTTCATTAAATATATGTATTACATGCAAATTATTCATGACAGATATTAACTTTCAATTGCAATTTTTGAAAACAAAAATAAAAATGTAGATTGTAGCCCAACATATTAAAGTAAGAATAAAGTTTGATAGCGTGACAAAGTTGTAAAGACATTTCTCATGACTTCAAAAACAAATACGTATGCAATTAGATCTTCTATTTATTTTAATAATAATAATAATAATAATAATAATAATAATCCGTTATTTATACCCCACCACCATCTCCCCGACAGGGACTCGGGGCGGCTAACATGTGGCCAAGCCCGAACAATTACATCAAATCAAATTAAATACATATAGCAAATAATAATATCAAATGAAATATAAACAAACAAATTAGTACAAAATGAAATACAAGAAACAAAATAAAAGGAAGAAAAAAAATAAAAAATTAAAGTCCATGATAAGAGTAAGAGTGGTTTCAATAAAAGAAATTAGAAGGAGTTGTAAAATCAGATAGCTACTATCATTAAATTGTATCTTGACAAAGCTTTGGACAATATTTTAAGAGTCACCAAGTACAGGAAATGGATTTGGAGCAGTTTGTGATATGGAGTTAGCAGTATTTGCTAGAGCAAATTATGTTAAATTAAAATTAAAATACATACTGACTCTCCCACATTCTTGCAGGCTGAAGATTTCTAGAAGTTATCTAAACAAAGGAACCCCAATTGTTTTTGAAACAATATATAATGTCACTGGGAACCTTTCTATCAGTTGATGAGTCTGTCCTTATGGTGTTGAAAGCAATACCTGGGTGAACTTGTGAAAGTAAAATTTATAATAATTTGGTTTTACATTTGCTTTTTCTTAGTGTATGTGATTGGAGTCAAAAAGCAAGCTTTCGGAAAACAATTTTTTATCTTAGCTATTGGTATTAATCCACTCTGACATTGTACCATGATAAGAAAATGTCTATATATATAACCTACTATTAATCAAAGTAATTTTGATAGTCTTGACAAGGGTTGCAGATCTTCATCTAGGCATTACAACCATAACCATATAGTAAAGATAAAAATGGGGTACTAAAATAGCATCTATCTTAGCTACCTGGCTTCACCACTGATCCCTTTCTACTTTCTCCCTGATGGGCATTGATCTGCATGAATGTCCTCTCTGTCAACAGGCAGGAGAAGAGGGGAGGGTGAAAGAGAGAATGTGTAGAGGTCTTGGAGAGTGCCATTCTGTAGAGCAGTGGTTCTTAACCTGTGGGTCCCCAGGTGTTTTGGCCTACAACTCCTGGAAATCCCAGCCAGCTTACCAGCTGTTAGGATTTCTAGGAGTTGAAAGCCAAAACATCTGGGGACCCACAGGTTGAGAACCACTGCTGTAGAGGAAGGGCTGTATGATTCTTGTTCTTGCAACTTGAAGCTTTTAAAGGTACACGTTCAGTACTTGGTAATCTGGCCCCTATCTTCAGAGAATTGCTGAACAAACTGTATCAACAGGTTAAAAGGGCATAATAAAATGTAAAGCTTAATAATGAAATAGCTGGATCTTATTTGACAATCATACTGAGGAAACATTTTTCTCCATAGGAGGCTCTTGTGCAGGTGAGAAAATGCCCTACTCCAGAAGGGCCAGGTGATATAGTCATGATACAATCAGAGTACACTGGCGCCATAGATGTCCTCTCAGCAGAGCTCGAAACAACTGATCTGCTGGGAGAGCAGAAAAAAGGTGAGGATAAGATTGTATTGCTTTCTCCTAGTGTGACTTAGAAGCCATTGTTCTAAGCAATAAACATTTGTAATATTGGTGCTCTATTGTCATGGGGTATGCTAAGTGAAACTGATCTACAAGTCTGTAGAATAGAAGCCCTGAAGGTCATGTAGACTCTAGTATAACACATTTCTTATTCTCAATTTGGTGCCTTCTGAATATTCTGTTCCTCTCATTTAATTTTAAGCTGCATTATCAGCTTGTGGGTCATGTATAGTACATGACAGGAACAGAAGTGGAACCTACAAGGAAACAGGGAGACTCAAACATTGTCATCACATTTATTTCCCTGAGATGCGTTCTCAAAGCTATAGTTCTCTGAAGATGCAATGCAATCTGTTCTACTTAGCCAATCAGCTCAATACGCTTATGGTGGTAATTTCTTAAATCACAATCAAGCTACTTTCAGTAGCTATATGTGTAGTAAGCTATAGTTTGGTATGTTATTAATCAGCACAACTGTTTAACTGTAGAATAGCTTTTAAAATACATGTGCAGTACTTGGTAATCTGGTCGATATCTCCTGAAAATACTGTATTTCTTAGCTTAGAAACGGCATCAGTAGGTTAAAAAGGCCTAATAAAATATAGTAAAATATAATATTTAAAGAAATAGCTGGTTTTTCCTAGAAAATAATAGTATAAATTGAGTTAACATTGAAATAGCAGTCTCAATCAACCCAAAGTAAAGTTGGAATACGGTGTAGAGATCTAAAGGAGGGAAAAAAGTCATGATTTATTTTGATAACTCTTCCAGCACATAGAGGGGAATTATTATTCTTTCTGAAATATAGCAAAATTATTAGACTGCCTAGTTCTATTAAAAAAAAGTTCCAAGTCCATAATGCCATCCTTGTATCTTTCAGCTCGACCACCTCCTCTGATTCCACCAACCACTTGGACCAGCTCCAAAATAAGAGATTTCAAAGCAAAGATGGCCAAGGAAAAGAATACCCGAATGGTGGTCAAACGGGGTGAGGTGTTAACAGTCCGGGTGCCAACTCACCCAGATGGAAAGCGTGTCTGCTGGGAATTTGCCACAGAAGATTATGACGTTGGTTTTGGGGTCTATTTTGATTGGACTCCTGTTACTAGCACTGCCATTACTGTCCAGGTCAGTGAATCAAGTGATGAAGAAGATGAAGAGGAAGAGTTTGAAGGTCAGTACACAACTAGAAAAGTGGAATAACACTTGCTGTACCTCATATCTATTTATATTTATGGTTCTACAATTTTTGAATCCCAAATGAGATCACACAGATCATCTTTCCTTTCTGTTTTGCATTTCTTTTGTCTTGCACAGGCTTTGCCATTTTATCCATTGCACACTGAGAGTCAGAATAATGTAGTAACTTGAATGTTAGATCAGGAACTTGGGAAACCAAGGTTTGAATCTCCCTCATTCATGGAACTCAGTGGCCATGGGTGCATCTACACTGTTGAATTGATGCAATTTGACACCACTTACTTCCATGGCACAATGCTATGGACTTCTGAGATTTGTAGTTTCATGCAGTTCCAACACTATTTGGCAGAGAAAACCATAGCAACCATGATTCCATACCATTGAACCATGGCAGTTAGAGTGGTACCAAATTTCATTAATTCTACAGTAAAGATGTACCCAGTGTCACTTCAGTCAAACATACAACAATTTCTAAATTGAATTTTTTTCTCCCCACCGTGAATTTACAGCCCTCCGGCTGTTTGGTCCTTCAACTCCCAGAATTCCTGACAATTGAACAAGCTCGTTAGGACTTCTGGGAGTTGGGAGCCCAAACAGCTGGAGGGCCACAGTTTGAGGATGCCTGTCTTAATACAAAGCTCAAATCATGACTGCATGCTAGCCCTCTATGCAGACGATGCTTGCATTTTAACTCCAGCTATATGTACTTAATTTCATAGGTCCAAAAACACTGGATTGAGCAATGATGACAACTTCCTTAATTATTCTTTCTCCAGTCATTGAAAGTAGCTGTATGTTATCTTTAAGTTTTCATCACTGACTATAGTATGCAATATACAAACTTGTGGATACTGAGGAATATACCGGTATTAGTGTGATTAACTATTCTATAAGCATGTACAGCATCACATGATATTCTTGGTTTTTTAAAGAAATTACTAACATATAAGACTAAGGTGTTGAATTGCAAGAAGATACTTTTAGAGAGATGTAGAGCTTCAGGGGCATTGTGAATAGGAGCTGTCTTGAGAGCCACGTCCGGCATTTGGCTTTATGTCTTCTTCATATAGACTTCTTTGATCAGCCAGTCTTACCCTAATTTATTCTCTTGGCTGCTTGTGTGTTTTTCTTCTCAGGACCTATCCCTGTTGGTGATGTGGAAAGGGGTTCCAAAAGCTATTTGAGAAGCCGTTATGGGGAGATCATGCCAGTCTACCGAAGAGACAGCCACCATGAAGTGCAAATAGGCAGCCACGAGTATCCAGGCGAGGGCATCTATTTGCTCAAATTCGATAACTCTTACTCCCTCCTACGCAACAAGATTCTTTTCTTTCATGTCTATTATACCAGCTAAGCAAGGATGGAATGGGTGAGATGTAAAGAACTGGAGCCAGGTCTGTGACTAGAGGTACTGCTTGATAGCCAAATCTTATATGCATCTCTGTGCTTATGTGCAGATGACTCCTTTCAGTTGCGCTTCACTATGAAGGTGGGGCAAGCAATCACTGGCAGTTCCACTTTGTTTTATGCAGACACCATGCTGGATTTTTAGCCTCAGCAAAGCAAGTCACCGGACTTCAAGTGTTTGCCTTTCCTTTCTATTGCACTTGTATGAACTCAGAAATATGCCTTTTACTTTTTGGGTAAATATGTTCTCTTCTAATATGCTGGCTGCAAAAATTCACTTGGATCAACTGCCAAAGCAGCCTGTAGAACTAGTGCTATTACTGTGATGTAATGCGTTGTCGTTTGCCTGGTCCCTGAGAATCTCATGAAATTGAATGTAAGCCTTCCACACCACTGGAAGCGTGCCTTTCTTCTGCCTCCAACCACACTGGCATGTTCAGTGCAAGGCACAGCCGGGATTCAGTTTTTGACATACATATTTGGATAGCACAGCTTGACTTGAATCAAAGGTCAGAGTTGATTGAAGAGTCAAGACCTCATGAATTCTCTCTTAATCAAGGGAGTAAAAGATCTATGGGAGAAGGAAACATAAACCATAAAACTCTTGTTTTGGGGAAATAATTGAAAAAGCTGTCATCAACAGAAATTACTTCTGGTTCCTTCACACCTTTTAAGGCACAATGTGCTGATTGGCTTTTTTTCATAAATTTAGCACAGCGTTAGATATAATTGTCAAACTAGAATTGAGTAGGTAAAGGTAAAGGTTTTCCTTGACTTTAAGTCTAGTTGTGTCCGACTCTGGGAGGTGGTGCTCATCTCCATTTCTAAGCTGAAGAGCAGCCATTGTCCATAGATGCTTCCTAGGTCATGTGGCTGGCATGACTGCATGGAGCACCATTACCTTCCCGCAGAAACAGTATCTATTGATCTACTCACATTTGCCTGTTTTCGAACTGCTACATTGGCAGAAGCTGTGGCTGATAGCAGGAGCTCACTCCGCTCTCCAGATTTGAACTGCCAACCTTTCGGTCAGCAAGTTCAGCAGCTCAGTGGTTTAACCTGCTGTGCCACCAAGGGGCCCTTATATAGACTTGACTAAAAGGATATAAAATCCTCTAATAAGTGGAAGCTCAAGACTGACATGGGATATTCCGGGTATTTGTTTTTTAAAAAAATGCATCACCTTGACAGTCAAATTGAAGCAGTCTGTTCTCTGCTGCCTATCACTTCTTACATATCTATAGTCTGGATGTGGTTATATGATTGTTGTGCTTCTTACGTTTGCTATGCTTCACTTCAGCTCCCCGACAGTATGACATTTCAAACACGCAGGTCTAAGTGCACCTACCCAAACCCAACTCAAACAAAATAGTACAGGACACAAAGTGACAGTGAGGCAATCATTGACCCACACATTAGCCCTTTTCCATCTTCAATAAGGGCTTTGAGTTCTTAGTCCTGATAAGGATTCTGCAGTTTGTCCATGTTTTGTTATGATATGGTCTCCACCAGTGGGTCTAGGCCTTATTTTTGACATCCATCATTGAAGCTCTCAGGACTATCAGTAACCAATAAGAGTCTCTTTTCACACATACCATACAGAGTTCAGCTGCTATTGCCAGTTTTTAATTAGTAGCACAATTTCCTATTCCATATCGGAATTTGGCAATTGCATCATCTGTCGTTCACAGCTCAGGTCTTAGAGGATATATGTATGTAGCTTATGGTTGTCTCTGCAGCAGAGGATGTATAAATGTATACAAAGATTTCAGATGCAAATGTGAATATGCCTTTCAAAACAACTGCTGTCTGTGACATTTTGTCTAATGTGTTTTTACTTGGTTCTTTGCATGATTGCAGCAAACATTCATAGTTTATCATAGATTTTTGGAAACCCTTCTAGGGAAAGCCGTTGTTGTATCAGGTTTAGTGAGGGGAACACATAAAGCCAAAGAACCCATTTTCCAAAAATGCTTCATATTCTCTTTGCCATATTATGTACTTTGCTAAGTGAAGCTAATAATGTAACTAGAAAAGTAAATAGAACAAGGAAAGACCATTTTTGCAATCGATACATTTTTAACAGAAAAGGTTCATGGAATTATATCCTAGACTTTTTTTCATTTCTGCTCACTTTAAAAAAGGGAGTCAAGTGCAATTTATCTTTCATCAGGATGTGATGTGAGAAACAAATACACAACTTGTTGTAGACCAATAACATGAAAAGGAGAAATGAATACAGTACTTGGTTTAGGATGGGGAATCACAAACAATTTAGTACTAATTGAAAATGAAAAATCTTTGACGTAAAGGATAGCACATATATTTCTTTCTCTATAAATGAGCTGCATAGGAAGTGGTCTCAGACACTTCCCTCATTTATTTTGTCTCTTTTAATTACCCGTAGACAGCTTTTTAACAACTTGCCTTCCCCGAATGTAGATTTAAACTGTGGTTATTTGTAATTATTCAAGGTATTTCCCCTGAAACCTTAATCTATTTACTTTCCACACTATACATAGCTCATGTTTTATGTGTCCATTTTGAACACAAGGGCACTTTTTTCGTGTCAGGAGCGACTTGAGAAACTTCAAGTCACTTCTGGTGTGAGAGAATTGGCTGTCTGCAAGGACATTGCCCAGGGAATGCCTGGATGGTTGATGTTTTACCATCCTTGTGGGAGGCTTCTTTCATGTCCCTGCATGGGGAGCTGGAGCTGTCAGAGGGAGCTCAACCTGCTCTCCCCGGATTTGAACTGCGGACCTATCAGTCAGCAGTGCTGCTGGCACAAGGGTTTAACCCATTGTGACCCCAGGGGCTCCACAAGGGCACTGTTTTGTTAGACATTGGAGATGATGGGTAGTTGTTTTATTTAAAGTTCTTCCTGAATAAGGAGTATAGAAATAGAGGTTGTATATATTAAGTGTGCATGTTTGAGCTAATATTGTGCATGCCTAATTATAACATTTGCTTAAAGACTTTTTTTGCCAAGCAATAAGGACTGTGCTCTCCCAGATGATAGAAAACAGGATCTTATTTCTGGCTGTCAGGAACTAATTTGAAGATGAAGGACAGAATTTGAAATGGTTGCTTTTATTGTGTAATTCTATTCATGCTGCTGAGGTTTGCATCATGTGACAATGTCTGCCTGGTCACATCCTTCCCTCTTCAAAAATTTTCAAACTTTGTAGTGGCATCAGATTATATATCCTACCCAAATACTATCCAAAATATCTGATCCAAATACTTGCCAGACCAAGACTTGCTCAAGCATAGGGGTGGCACCAATCTATGCCATCATATGCCATAGGTTGGTATCTTCTCATCATAAACCTCTTACAAAATAAATAATGAAATAATTGAATCACAGACCGAAAAACTTTGGAGGCCTCTGTGAGAAACAGCTAAGAAAAATGTACATACTAGTTTTGAATTGATGCAGTTAATTTTTGTCATTTTTACATGCATTGGTGTAGATCACGCATGGGCTAGCTTTGGACCTCCAGGTGTTTTGGACTTCAACTCTCACGTTTCCTAAAAGCCTGAGACTCTTTCCTTTTATGTGGCTGAGGGGGAAAACAAAAGGGCCTAAGGCTGTTAGGAATGGTAGGAGTTGCAGTCCAAAACACCTGGAGGGCTGAAGTTTGCCCATGCCTGGTGTAGATGGAAGAGAAATGCAATTTCAGATAAATCAGCTATAGTTTCAGAATGGTTGAAACATAGGATAGACATTTTCTAAAATTATATGACTAACTTTATATTTGATGTACTTTGAGCATTGTTCTGCATGATAACTATTAACTATTGGCTAATTTATTTCTTTTCATCATGTACAGAAGTAACATGATGAAAGAATGAAAAATATATAGCAATTAAAGATAGGGAGGAACTATTCATGTCTACCATCCAATCTTGGTAGCTCTTAAAAAAGATTCTCTGAATGTTTTATGGCTTTTTATAACCTAATTTTGCCCTCTTTTAGTTCTTCCTCTTATTAAAAAACTCATGAATTACTGTTGTTAATTTTATTTATTTCTTCTATTTATTGCTGTAATAAAATTCCATTTGGTCAGGTTTCTGTGTACTTAGTATAATAAAGAAGGCTATTAGATAAATGATAATCTATGTGACAATCCATTCTAAGGAACTCTTAATGTTACTTGGAGAAAATTAAAACTGCCTTGACAATCGCCTTAAAACAGTTAAGGGTGTCAGAATTAAAAAGAACTATGGGATATAATGTGGTTATAGTGTTTTGAGTGTTGCATTATGACCCTGGAGACCAGAGTTTGAATCCCTACTCAGTCATGGAAGCCCATAGGGTAACTTTTAGAAAGTCAAATTTTCTCCAGCTCAGAGGAACCCATGATAAACCCCTATGATAGAGTCACGCTAAATCAGAAATGACCTAAAGGGACATAAGAACAATATGACATAAACCAAATCTATATTCCTGTTCAAATGCACCTGGGGGTAAGTACCATTTTAGTTCATTGGGGCTTACTTCTAAGTTGATATGCAGAAGATTGTACGTATTATTGAACTTATAGAAAGAATCCTATTGACTTGTGCCTTCAAAGCATGTTCTTGTTCTTCCTTTCTTGAATGACAAGTTTAAGACAGTTCATTGCAGTGATATAACCTGACTTCTGACTATGTTGTTTGGAGGAATAGACAGTGCCTGCTTTTAGTTGTTCATTCTCTACTGCTCAGACCATGACACCAAGATAGGAATCCATGCAGCAGAAGAGCCTGTGCATTGTTTGTTTTGTGGCCATGATTATCTGGGGGAAATCAGTTGGACAAATGCTCTGTTTAATCTTAAAGCATGCTGTGGCCTTAAGTGGCTCTTTTGTTTTGCAATATAGGCAGTCCTCGAGTTACAAACATCCAACTTACAAAAGATTCATAGTTAAGACTTGGGCTGAAGCAACAGGAAATGAGAGGAATCTACCTCTCAGAAGAGTAATTCATTATTAAAAGAGTTTTTATGGGGAAAAGGTGTTTCCACTAAAGCTTTATCACCAATACTTGTTTCCACAACAAGCCAAAAATTTCAAAATCCAATTATCACAGGGACAGAAAGTGAAGTGAAATCTTCTGAACAGACAGCAAAACATGTCTGTGCTATCCAAAATACTTGTTCAACTTAAGAACAAACCACAGAACCTATAACTTGGGGACTGCCTGTAGTTAGTTTGCCACTGATCATTTAGCAATGGTAAATCCTAGAAAGCAAGATTAATATGGGTTGAGTTTTGTTTATTTGTTCTTGTTTAAACAAAGGATGTGCGATTTCAGAATATTGTGTTTCCTTAAGAGGCAGACTTTTGAGAATTGCTAGTCTTGAACAGAGAGCAGTTACTTCCTTGTTCGTTCCTTTACCCATAATGTTTGAAAAATTTAAAACAGCAATCCTGTCCAATAAAACAGCTTAGGGGAATACATCACACTCTTGGTTCAACTCACATTGATATGTCTGAACGTTCATGGATGCATCTCTAAGCATATTTATTCTGGAGGACCCCTTAGTCATCTCTGGTAATTATTTCTGACTAGCAAGATGTATAAGGATGTAAAACTACTGTGTTTTGATTATGGCACACAACATGCCAGTTCCAATGTGAAGAGTTTGAGCTTGGTGAGAATCTTTGAATACCATTGCTCAGTGTCATATAAAAAAATCAAATTACATTTAGATTCATTTATCTTATATATTTCTGATGCATATAACAGTGTCTTCTGAACAGCATTGGCTTCCTTAGATATCAATCAAAAGTTATTCCCAACAGTGTAAATAACATAGTTTAATGAGGGACTGGTGAGCTTTCCCGCTGAGCTTCAAAATGTTTGGAACCTCTTCAAATTGTAGTAGTGATTTGTCATGCAGAGTGGGGGCTTATTTTTTAAAAAATGCAATGGACTTTTGACTGATAAACCAGTGATGGATGGATTTTTCCCTAGGACATCACTAGAATAGTCTTTTATTTATTTTTTGGACATTCAAGATAGAGATTTTGCATAATTCAAAGCTCACATCCAGCATTTTAAATAGGTAGTTGGCATCACATTACCAGCTAGGTGTTTCCTCTTGTGGTTGTTGTGTCATTAACCATTAATGGATATATAATTGGACAAGAAATCCAAGGCATTACATCTATGGCTACTACTCCTAAAATCCCTGCTCTTCAATGGCTGGAGAACATGTTGGCTGGAGGATTTGTAATCCAATTTTTGCCAAGTTCTAGAAACTGTTGGCTAAACCCTGCCCGAGAAAGGCTAAGTTTTGTATAATGTGGTGATGCATAGGATTAAATGGTAAAAAGATGAAGATGGGCATTGAAAGTCTTAACGTTTTGACAGAAACACATGGATATGCTGTGTTGTCTTCTGAAATGATCAGGCTCTGGCTGCAATATGCCTGCGAGTCAGAATACCAGTTTGGTGCTCTTTTTCGGCACCGCGTGAGGCTTTTGTTTCTGGTATTTTTTTTTGTAAGATTCCTCCTCTTAATCTGAAATCTTATGCACCAGATATGTATGTGTTTGTATCCTGCCGTGCATTCTTTTTTGTTATTTATGTTTTGGTACTGGCTTGGTACAGTCTTTCTAATGTGTATGCTGTTGAAACAGAATGTAATGTCTGTTACACTTTATGAAGTATCTGTTTTGTGACTGTATGTTTGATTTTTTAAAAAACTCATTAAACCTTTTCAGCATTCACCCAAGGAGCTTTGTTTTTCTTTTCTTTTGGTTAACAAGTCCTTTGTGTACAAAGGTTGTTCCTGGACCAATATGCCAGCCTGCACCTGTACCAAATTGAAGAACACATATTTTCTTGTGAAAATGTTGTATTTCTGTCTGCGTTGATAGCCATCCTGGAGCATGAAAACACAAGTCATTCACAGTAGATGTATTGAATAAGTACAAACAAGAAGTGCAAAATGTTTTTATGCTTACTTGTCCACTGTTTTATTAGAAAACAAAACAAATCAGTTTATTCCTTACATGCTTGGCTAAATATCCATGTTTGGATCAACATGGTAAAGAAAGTCAACTTCCTCTACCAACCTACCAACGTGCATCACAGTTCTGATTCTTTTAATCAGAAATATTCATGTAGTAATAGATATGAAGAAGAATAGTATTCTCCAAAGGATTTTCTTGCACAACTCTCCCTATCACAGTTAAAGTCTGGGAAAGTGTATGAATGCAAGACTGAGCAATTTCCCCAACTCCAATATGAAGACAAATAAATTACTATCTGATTATGAAAAACCAATCCAATTCTAGGCTGCCTCAATAGGAACATAATGTATAGATCAAGACACTCTATTTCGCTTTGGTAAAACTTCACCTCGAAGACTGTGTCCAGTTCTGGGTGCCACAACTCAAGAAGCATATTGACAAACTGGAAGGTGTCCAGAGGTGAGCGACAAAAGTTTTGGAAACCAGCTCTTATGAGAAGCATCTTAAAGAGAAGAAGATGCTTCGCTTTGAAAAGAAAACTAAGAGGGGACATGATAGCCATGTTTAAATATATGAAAGGATGTCCCATTGAGAAGGAGGCAAACTTGTTTTCTGCTGCTCTGAAGACTAGGACACAGAGAAATTGATTCAAATTGCAGGAAAAGAGATTCCACCTAAACACTAGAAAAAAACTTTCTGAATGGTAGCTGTTTGGCTGTGAAATCTACTGCCCCAGAGGTTGGTGGAGTCTCCTTCTCTGGAATTTTTTAAGCAGAGGGTAAATGGCTATCTGTCGGGAGTGCTTTGATAGTGTGTCCCTGCATGGCAGAATGAGGATGGACTGGATGGCCCCCGTGATCTTCCAACTCTATTATTCTATGATATATTGCAAAAACAAAATTATCTCTAACTGGGGTATATTTTGTTGCAGCAGTTGTCCTACTGTACGTGTCTTATCTGGAACTGTTTCTTGGCAATTTCCTTGGGACTTCTTTTAAATACAACTTTTGCATATTGTGTATCTCAGAACATCTCCCAGAAAAGATAGTAATACATATTCTATTCATCTGTTTCCTCCCTTCCCATAACATGACATAATAGAATGGATTTACAGCCCAAATTAATTGCTCCCAAGGAGCTATATACAGTATAAACATACAACGGAACTTGGAAGAGAATGGTGTAGGGCAGTGGTTCTCAACCTGTGGGTCCCCAGGTGTTTTGGCCTACAACTCCCAGAAATCCCACCCAGTTTACCAGCTGTTAGGATTTCTGGGAGCTGAAGGCCAAACTTCTAGGGACCCACAGGTTGAGAACCACTGGTGTAGGGCCTTTTCCTTCCATTTTTGGTGCAGTAGTTATGTGCCACACAATGAAGCAACATGCCTTGAAGAGGGACAAGTGTATTTCTTCAGCTATAAGAGCTTCTAGGATGAAAATGCTGAACCTATTGTTTGTAGCTGCATTAACGCTTGGAAGGTTGTGTTCTTTTATGTGCCATATTTTGAAATGTTAACCTCAATGAAGCAAGAGTGTCCAATAAAACTCTTCAAAAAGAAAGGCTGAAGTTGGAGATACTTCACATTTAAGCATACTTGACTTGCTTATTTAAATGTGTAATTGATATAACTTGAAATGGAACAGAGAGGTGTTTAATATCAACTGTAGTGATTGTATGAGAAACTAGAGTCTAGTGATATTACATAGGCCAATGTGCTTTCAAAGGCTGCAGTCTTCTACATTAGAGATATATCATAAAGAGGGCTACTGTCAGTGAAAGATTACGTGAAATAGAACTTGTCTTTAAGGCGGAGCTAGGCAAAGTCCTTCATTCTTTTGACTCCCTAGTTCACTTTTTTTATACTCAAAAAGGGGTAGATTTTCTGTCCCAGAAACTTCCAGGCAGATTGCCTTTTAAATAAGTTGCACTTCTCTTTCCCACATTCAACACTTGCTCAAAAATGAAATAGACTTTTAACTATTTTTGGCCATTTGTATGGCTTCCAGAGAGTCCTGGGGCAGAAATTTGATCCTCAGGCTCACTGCAGTTACCTACTGCTTTAAGGTGTCACTCGAAGGAGCTGCCATAATTGCATAACCACAGCATGCTAGTAACCATTGCAATTTATGACAAAAACAAATAAAAAACTGAGGAATCTAGTAATGCAATATGATTGTTTGGGATAGAGAGGGGAAGAAGATCCACAGTCACTCATGATTTCCAGAATACCAGCAGTGCAGGACAGAAATAGTAGTTGAACAGTAAATGGGAGCCACATCAGTGAAAAGATGCATTCCAGTAACAATGGAAATGCAATGTAACAATTGGAGAGTCACAACACAGTGATAAGGAAATATCAAATGGAGAACACAGTATAATCATGCAACAAATATAATGATGTAATACAGTCCTTAATAAGGAAGTATAGCTTCTAAGCATAGCAGCATGCGGTGTTTCTGTATTTCATACCTCCCCTTAGAAAAGTTGTTATCCTTTTATGTCATGGAGGATTCTTCACTTTTTTAAGCAAATGCTAATTTACTGCAGCCATATGGGGGCTGCTTGTAGGAGATGTCTGTCTGCTGTTTCTCCATATGTCAGCTACTGAACCATCATCTTTAAAATGTGAAGCTAATAGCATGTTTTAGCAATGATGTTATTTAAAAAGGAGCATCAAAGCACTTTTCATGCAGTCTTCTTCCACACTCCTAATTTCTCTTTTAACTGTACCAATGGAATTTTTAGTCTGTCCCACTAATAACAAGTGCCTAATGACAGTTTTACTTTTTACTTGGCATAGTAACAGCTACTACTCATGCCAGATTAAAGAAGACACAAATAGATGCCACTTCAAGTTTTCTTGAAGGTCATTGTCAAGATTTCATGAAGTGTCTTGAAGAAGTGTTCACTCTCCTTTGACCTTGCACTCTTTGTTGTTACAAACTGTAACTAAAATTGATTTAATTGGTATTATTTTTACTTGGTGTACACAACACAGTGATGAAAATGAGCCAGAAAAGTTAAATAAACACAAGCAAATATGTACTTGGGATCATCCTCTTGGAAGCCTTTTTTTTTACAGCACTTGAATTTTGGAATTTTAACTTTAAAATCAGAAGTGGACTTCCTGTCCTTTTTAACATAATGGAGTCACTCATCTCCTATTACAATGCAGTCTGAGTCCTGCCACATGTACAATGGAGGACCTTCTTATAGCAACACCAGAGGCACTCCAAGTGGCTATCTTCTGGTCAAAGGACATTTAGTATAATACCAAGATTTTAACTTTATTTGTGTTTTTAAATACATTACAACTGTACCCTCAATTTGCTTCTGACATGACAAATAAAACTTCCCTCCTGTGGCTGGTAAAGGCACCCCCCTCCCCATTATGATTAGGGCTCCAGGGATGAAATAGACAAGTGGAGGTTTAAACCCAAACTAGTTTGCCCTTCAGAAGCATTTGTCACTTAGTCTAACAATGGGCTTACTTCCCAGTAAGTAAATACGTTAAGTTTTTTCTCTTAAGCAACCCTGTACTTTACATCCAAGAATAGCTGTCAAGTCCAGATAAGATTTCAAAATTTAAGTGCTATAAAGACAAACATTTCTATTGACATTCAGTAACACTTTTCCTTCTCAGGACACTTAAAACAGGCTTGATTTTTCTTTATTTAGCTTGTTGCCCGATGCACACTTCAGGGTATATTCCACCGAACTCAAGGGGTGGCTTCTGAGTAAACAGAATAATTCAGGAAATTCATTTATAAGTCACCTTTAAGCAACACGTTGAGATTCCTTTGGCCTGTTTCAGATTTCACACTTGCTGTTCTGTACTAAGTATAATTTGGGGACCAAAATAAATTCAAAAAGCAGATGAGGTTTCCTTTATGTTCCAACTAGGAAAGTTTTTGCTTTAGCTTAAGCCACCCATCTGGAGTAAATGAATCACAATCAGGTTGGCCACACCTGCAGCTGCTCCAAACAGGGATGAGGAGCTTGTGAAGCTCTAAGAGTGTTTCTGAGCAGCTATAAAGTACTTTCCCCTTCTTACAACTAAGGCCAGCCATCACATATAGGAATGTTAAGGGGAGAGGTGTAATGGGCTTAAACTGTAACAGTCCTCTGTTTGAAGACAATTCATTTGAACTGGAACCATGAAAACTGATATTTCAGACAGCTAAAAAACCTCCCTGTTTATACTATTAGTCGTTCCTGTCTTCTGTTCTCTCAGCCATGCTCTCTGCTTCTAGTTTCCTGACAAGTGGACTGCGAACTCCCCGCCATAGATGGAGCTGGGCTCCTGGAGGCTTGTGGCATCGGGAAGCTGGTGTGGTCCCTCAGTGCCAAGGGACTGATTCTGTCCCAAAGGGAAGTAAACTTCAATTCTACGTTCTCTGGTCTCTGAATGAGCCCCCTCGGCAACTCAGTAGGTGAGCCTCTTGAGGGAGGCAGCCCTGTTTGCTTGGCACTGATAAGAAAAAGAGGCAGGGGAGTAGAATGATAATTCCTAAAAAGTCTTTACATAACTGCAGTTTTCTCACACTATTTGTGGTGTGTGCACCAGTTAGGATTGACCGTTATTTAACCTTTCACTATAGTTCTGCTTAACAACAGCTGCTCTAATGTTTTTGAACATACCCTGAAAAACTTTTGCTGTATGTCAATCTGTTGATAAATACTCAACAGCAGAAAAAACTTCTACCTCATCCAGTCTCTGTGTGCATAATATATTGCATCCTTCATTATTTCACAGTTGAACATAAGGATGTATAGGTGCTCCAGTGTCAGCACAACCCACTACAATTTTACATTTCTGAATGTTCTTTCTGGATTCTGCAATAGCTTTTCTTGCACAAGTTTATGAGTCAATGTGTTGGAGACCGACCTTAACCACTTCTTTAAAAATTGATTTGATATTTGTATCTTGCTATTCCATTTTCTGCGGTTTTTAGCCTTCTCGATAGTGGAATATCTAATTATCCTTACTACGGAATTGATCCATTGTAAACTTATTAAGCAATATTAACTCTCTGGAGAGGCAGTCATGAGGTCAAAGTTAGAGTCATAGACTATTCCACTTTAGTGCAGGTGTATGTATGCAAAAATTGAAAGTCATCTAAAAGGCAAAATAGTAACACCATAGTATGAAAGGGTTTATGTACTTTTGATGTAAATACTTTAAAGGTGAATATATGTATTGGGCAAGACAGGGTTTCTATTCCATTTAGGTTATATAGTACAGGTAGTCCCTGAGTTACAAACATCCAACTTTACAAATATTTCATTGTTAAGAACACGGGTGATATACCAGGAAGTGAGAGAAATCAGCTCCTCTGAGGGAATATTTACTCATGAAAGGGTTATTATGGGGAAAAGGTATCTCCACTGAAGCTTTCTCACCAAACCTTCTTTCTACAACAAATTAAATTTTTCAAAATCCAATTAACACAAGGACAGAAAGTGCGGGGTGAAATCTTCTGAACCGGGCACAGACAGCAAAACAAACACCACGGGGGTGTTAACCTTTCCCTATATTCTCAAAAGCTAAACTATATATATATATTTGGCTGGAGTTACACTTAGAAATGTACCTGCTCTGACATAAAAACAAATTCAACTTAAGAACAAACCTACAAAACCTAGCTTGATTGTAACTTGGGGACTGCCTGTATATGAGAAAAAAAAATACTTTCAGCTAGGTTCCTTCCTGGGAAGATTACTATTGCCAAACTTTCAAAGTAGATTGGGGAAAAGAGAAAAAAAACCCCTATGCTAAAGTATGTTTCAAATTGTATAAATCACTTCTTTCTCACACCAAATGTTCTTTATAAAATTGTGACAAATATTTAACTTAGAAGAACCATTTGGCATATTTCTCTAGAAATCTTTAAAATAGGAACAGGGACGACAAAACTGTTGCTTCTTGCATTTCCAAACTTCTTGTTTTTCTTTGCTATGTGTCCTTTGTGATGTTCCCCATGGAGATGACTATGCTTTTAATTCTTTCTAAGCAAAAGACATCGGAAATGTTACCAAACTTGGTTGCCACTTCCATTGCCAAAACAGCTAGTGATCTTTGGTTTAGGTGACTGGAACCTTTACTCTCAGAAGACAAGCATCACTGTGGACGTGTTGGTGAGTCCAGACATCAAGCCACAGAGGATTGGCAAACTAAGACCTGATGCAAGGTAAACATGAAATATGTAATGGGATTTAGTGCCAATATTATGGTGTTGCTGGAATGTTAAATGTTTTCCAAATGTATTATAAAGATTTTAAATGTCCAGTTCAAGGACAATAAGTTTATAGTAGAGGATGACTCTAAATAAAGATCTTCAGAGAGTTATATATCATTTGGTGCTGTTACATGACAAGTTCTGCAGCCTTTCCTGGATGTTATTCTCCTTACCTTTTGGACTGACTTTGTGTTCTGTGTCCAGTTCTATCAGTGCAGACTTTGAAGTTGAGGAATATGGTTACTGTAGTGCCTTTAACTGCTGAAGCAATTATCCCAGATCCTCCTTCTCATAGTGACTTGAGTCTGTGTTTGCTTGAGCAGATGTTTGGTGTGGGAAGGTGACTGGAGAGCAGATATTCTCCAGGCTTCACTTAAACAGGCAGACAGTGGCAATCCCATTAACCTTCTCTTGACTGTCAATGAACAGGTAAGAACTCCCTATCCAGGCATCTTATTTATGTGATCCTAACTGGCTCTTGGCCTTCTGTAGGATCATTTAAAACCTTGTTTTCTATACTCAGATTTTAAAAAGTTCTTAATTTGTTGTTACATTTATATGCTGCCTTTTCACATTTATATCTCCTCAGCTGCTCAACAGCACTCCCAGCCATCCATTTCAGGCACCAGAACCCAGTCAGTCACCTGTTCTTCCAGAAGATACTATTCCTGGGTTGGACGAACCTTCTGAGGTAGGTTTAATGAACAGGAGGCTTTTAAAGGTTATAGCTGGTAATTTATCTGTTTGCATCTGTATAAAGGTATTACAAACTTCTGTTTACATCACATATATAAACTTCTGTTTACATCACATGGTCTGACTTGGCCATGGTGGTACACGCTCTGGTCACATCCCGCCTTGACTACTGCAACGCTCTCTACGTGGGGCTGCCCTTAAAGACGGCCCGGAAGCTTCAGCTAGTCCAGCGCGTGGCAGCCATGTTACTAACAGGAGCGGGACGCAGGGAGCATACAACGCCCTTGCTGTTCCAGCTCCACTGGCTGCCGATTTGCTACCGGGCCCAATTTAAGGTGCTGGTGTTATCCTACAAAGCCCTAAACGGTTCCGGCCCAAAATACCTTTCGGACCGCATCTCGGCCTATGAGCCCACGAGGACCTTGAGATCGTCTGGGGAGGCCCTTCTCTCGATCCCGCCTGCTTCACAGGCACGTCTGGCGGGGACGAGAGAAAGGGCCTTCTCGGTGGTGGCCCCCCGGCTGTGGAACGACCTCCCTGCTGACATCAGACAGGCGCCCTCCCTTCTGTCCTTCTGTAAGAGCCTGAAGACCTGGCTATTTGAGAAGGCATTCAACTGAGCACTACGGTAACTGGTAATTGACAACTGGAACGGAATACGGATTACGATATTGGTTATGATTCTATGATGTGACGGAGCGGATTATTTAGTGTAACTAGATTATAGTGTATTATTGTTGTATTGATTTCCTGTTTTGCCCTTTTGTAAACTGTTTTTATATGTTGTGCACCGCCGCGAGTCGCCCTAGGGCTGAGAGCGGCGGTCAATAAATGCAGTAAATAAAATAAATAAATAAATAATAAATAAATATATAAGACCACCATGAACGCCTACAATATGGCCAGGACAGCAGCTAATTTCCGAGGCAGTTGCGCCCGTACCTTGGGAAGTCAGACTTGGTCACGATGGTCCATGCTCTCGTTACATCTCGTATAGACTACTGCAATGCGCTTTATGTGGGGTTGCCTTTGAAGACGGCCTGGAAGCTTCAATTAGTCCAACAGGCAGCAGATAGATTCCTAATTAGTGCAACATTATATCAGCTCCACTGGCTACTGGTTTGCTGCTGAGCCCCATTCAAAGTCCTGGTCTTGGCATATAAAGCCCTAAACGGTTCTGGTCCAACTTACCTGTCCAAACGCATCTCCTCCTATGAGCAAACAAGAGCTTTAAGATCAGCTGGGGAGGCCCTGCTCTCAGTCCTATCACCTTTGCAACCGTCATTGGTGGGGACGAGAGACAGGGCCTCCTCTGTGGTGTCCCCTTGGTTGTAGAATTCCCTCCCTAGTGAGGGCCCATCTCATCTGGTTTTCAGAAAAAAAGGTAAAGACATGGCTCTGTACACAAGCATTTTCAGAATGAATCATTACGGTGTAGACGTAGTCTGAATAAGGATTATGAGCAAGGATGATAGATAATTGGAATCGTGCACTTTGTATGTTTTAATCTTTTATTATTCTATGTGTTTTATTGTTTAACTGTTTTAACTATTTTTAGTGTATGAGATAGGTTTTTTGAATATGTTTTAAGTGGGATTGAATCTTGCTGGTGTTGCAAGCCGCCTTGAGTGCCCCTATGGGGGTGAGAAAGGTGGGGTATAAATGAAGCAAATAAATTATACAGATAGATGACAAATGTACGGATTGTGCTAATTCAGACTGTAGAAATGAGGGGGTGGGAAAGATGTCATATCTGTCATAACAAGAAGAATGTGATATAAGCCTTCCTGCGCTTATTCCCAGCATGTTAAGGTATATGTCTTATTTCGAGAGCAAAAAAAAGTGCTGGAACACCAGTAATCTGAAATATACCTCCTTCAATTCTACCTTTCCTGTCTGTTTGCAGGGTTGCTCAAATTAATAGAACTAGAACAGTTGCTCAAAGGCCGTGGCTTTGATGTTTCCACATATTAACTTTTAGAAGATTCTTGTAGTGAAAATGAATGCCCTGAGCTCCTTTGGACCATAGTAAAGGCCCATCTAGTTCACTGCCCTGCTTCCCACAGAGATCATTCATATGTTTTATGTAATTATGATGTTGTTGTTTATTGTTTGCGTTTTTGGTTTTATTCTGCTGTAATTTGTTGCTTGGGCTCGGCCTCATGTAAGCCGCCCTGAGCCCCCATTGGGGAGATGGTGGCGGGGTATAAATAAAGATCATCATCATCATCAGCTTCTGGGAAGCCCATGAACAGTGTAAAACAGTTTGGGTAACCCAGGCAAAACTCAAAATGTATTCCTCAGTGTGCCTCTTTTGATAGGACCATTCATTTTCCTTGAATGATTTCCAGACTAATTCTATTTTGTTTTCTATGTGGCAGTCTAAAAGTCATATTTCAGCAAAACCTCTTAAAGACATTGTGGTTGAAAAGAAGTTCTCTGCACTGGGAGAAGATCCAGAGGTGCTCCCTGTTCCAGAAGTACCTACAGTTCAGCTGGAATCTGAGACCGGGAATAAAACTTGTCTACCTAACTCAGTTCAGCTAAATAAGACTAGGAGAGCTCTCTTTGAACACTGTGCATCTGAAAGACATCAGGAATCTGAAGGTAAATCAGTCCAGAATAATAAGTATGAGAGCCACTTCTGAAGACCAAATTTAGTTTATTGCATATAGTAGAAGAAATGGGTTCTACAATCTTCTGTTCCATTGATGGGATACTTATATTCCAGTACATGTCCTGAGTTACAATTCATAGAATCAGAAAGTTGGAAGAGACCTCATGGGCCATCCAGTCCAACCCTCTGCCAAGAAGCAAGAAAATCACATTCAAAGCACCCCCAACAGATGGCCATCCAACCGCTGTTTAAAAGCCTCCAAAGAAGGAGACTCCACCACACTCTGGGACAGAGAGTTCCACTGCTGAACAGCTCTCGCCGTTAGGAAGTTCTTCCTCATGTTCAGGTGGAATCCCCTTTCCTGTTGTTTGAAGACATTATTCCGCGTCCTAGTCTCCAGGGAAGCAGAAAACAAGCTTGCTCCCTCCTCTCTATGACTTCCCCTCACAGATTTATACATGGCCATCATGTCTCCTCTCAGCCTTCTCTTCTGCAGGGTAAACATGCCCAGCTCTTTAAGCCGCTCCTCATAGGGCTTGTTCTCTAGACCCATGATCATTTTAGTTGACCTCCTCTGGACACATTCCAGCTTGTCAACATCTTCCTTCAATTGTGGTGCCCAGAACTGGACACAGTATGATTCCAAGTGTGACCTGACCAAAGCAGAATAGAGAGGTAGCATGACTTCCCAGGACCTAGACGCTATACTCCTATTTATGCAGGCCAAAATCCCATTGGCTTTTTAGCTGCCGTCTGACATTGTTGGCTCATGTTTAATTTGTTGTCCATGAGGACTCCAAGATCTTTTTCACACGTACTGCTGTCGAGCCAAGTGAGTGGAATATCTTGCATTTGTCCCTATTAAACACCATTTTGTTAGTTTTGGCCCATCGCTCTAATCTATTAAGATTGTTTTGAATTATGCTCCTGTCTTCTGGAGCTATCCCTCCCAATTTGGTGTCATCTGCAATTCATTTTGTATTATGTTATCACTTTGCCCACTTTTTTAAAATGTGGCACATAGTGGGATGTTTTGAATGATAATGCAGGTAGAATGCGGATTTTGCATTTAATTTATCTGCTCCCTTTTTCCTGCACCTATAAAATGAATTCAATAAAATAGCTGATGCATGCCATAACATCAATAGTGCTTATGTTTCACATATCCTTTATGGGGGCCTCCTCCAATTTGTTTTTAACATCCTGGCAGAGTATATTTAGAAATACATGGATCTGAAGTTAAGAGATACTGAATTAGTTTAAGATAAAGTAATAAATTTAATGTTTCTGAAGTGTTTATCTATTTTAGACTTTTTTGGTTTTTTGAATACCTCTATTTGCATATATGTACATAATGAAATATCTTGGAGATGAGATGCAACACTAAATTGGACATTCATTCACATTTTGTGTGCACTGAATCATCAGAAAGCAAAGGTGTCATGTGGCTGATTCTGGATTTTGGAATATTTTGGATTTTGGGTAAGAGATATTCAGCCTATATAAGTACATGGCTCTGAAAGGAAACTTGATACTGGAACAGTAATTTCTGCATGTTCTCTCCACAGATTTGGAGGTTAAAGAATTACAAGGTAAATGTGTATGCTGACCATTTTGTTGATTTTCAGTGGGCTCCTAGTACTCCCCAATCCCAATTTTTGGAAAGTTATGTGCAGAATTGCAACTCAGATTCCATGTTTGTTGTAAGTATTGTCCTTTCCAAGATATTTTAAAGACACTACTACACATGACATAGTATTGTGAACATGGAAAATAGAAGACATTTGATCAATGTTTTCTAAATAAATAATTTAATTTGTACTACAACATTGGCATTATGTGCAAATGTTGCTTTCGGGACTTAAGAAAAATGTTTAAAGGCATGATAAAATCTGTTCTGGGAATTTTTTAGATTACAAACATAGTGCTAAAATGGTAGCCATGGATAAGACGTTTCTTTTGCCTTTCCTTTCCTCTGGCACCAAGAGATTGTGACTTGCCTGAGTTCACCACTCATGGCTGAGTGGGGATTCAAATCATGGTCTCCAGGATCTGAGCACAATGCTCAAACAAATATACCATGCTGGCTGTCTCCTGAATTACTCATCCACAAGGGGTAGATTGAGATGATGTTTGTTTTGCTAACTTGTGTACTACTTTCCTTCTGTAGTGTGTCCAAGCCCTCGATGGTGTCATGCCATGTGCCTGAGTGATCCTGAAACTGCAGTTCTGTTTGGTGGAGAAGGGACCAATCAACAGTTTTGCAAAGATGCCTTCTGGAAATTGGAAATTGGTGAGGTGCTCTTGTTCTTACAGTGGTGTATTTGTGTCTGTATCTGCAAGATATGGATTAGAGGGGAAGTTAGTGGAATTTGTGAGATGGAAAAGGTACTCCTTAAGAGAGCATCTGTCATGTTTGTCAATTTTCATTGAAAAATAACTGGATTAAACTAGAGTTGCAGAATTTTTTAATCTGGTTGGTAGGGGAAGTGAATAATGTGTTGTCAGAATTTTATTTCTCACTTATGTCTTCTGCTCCTGATTTTGTAGACAACGACTTCTGGTTCCCCATGGATTTACGGCAACAAGACTCCCTGCCACGATGTTCCCGGGGTCACAGTGCAACCTTTGATCCAGACACAAAACGCATCTACATCTTTGGGGGGATGAGGGAAGGGAAGCGCTATAGCAGCATCTATATCCTGGACACAACCTCCTGGAAGTGGCTTCATGTGTCCGTGAGTTGCAAGAGAAACAAAGCACTGGGGACTAAAAAGAAGAGTTATTTGGTTTGCTGTGAGCATGTAGACCCCTCTTCTTTCTGTCCTTCCACCTTGGCCCTTTTCTTTTGTAAGTATGTATTGCACAAGTGTGGAATAGTACCTCACGTCCATGCAGATGAAGTGGGGATTACATTTGGAACAGGTGCCATCTGAGATCTATTGGGAAAGTTGGAGGAGCTGGTGGACTCCTTCTGTGAATGTCCTCCAGAGGAGAAATACACACTATCCTACCCCTTGCTTGCTATACTAAGTCAGTTTAATAGACCATGACTACTTTAAAACTGGAGATCTCTTTTTCAGGCTAAAGGGAAAGTGCCAATGTTGGTCCACCACAGTGCAACTATCTATCACAAAGAGCTGTTTGTCTTTGGAGGAGCCTTGCCTAAAATGTCATCCTTGGAGACTGGAGCCTGCAGTAATGCACTCTTCATTTTCAACCCAGAATATGAAATCTGGTATCAGCCCATTATTGAGGGGGAGAAGCCTCTGCACAGGTTTGGGTGAGGCACTTTTGCTTTCAAAATTCAGAAATAACTGGAAAAGAGAATGCTGGTTTAGATGCCGAGTTCTTGGTTTTTCCCCTCATCTGGAGATCTCTCTCCTGCTTTTTTCCTTTCTTTTTTATTTCTTTGACAGCTGGAAGTACCTAATGAGTGATTCCTTGGGCAGTTATTATTGCATCCTTTCTTTCCTGTAAGGGGACCCTAAGAAGACAGGCTGGTGTAAACTGCTGTTAAACCTTATCTGGAATTTGGAAATCCAAAATGGGTGACTGAGATAGTAGTGTTTCCACCTCTTTAGAATTTTCTATGGACATTGCATTCGAACCCAGCCATATGAAACTTGAAAATTATTATACAATATAAGTTAGGCCATATCCCTGTTCACCAAAAGAAGAGATTGCTATGGCTTGTTGTCTAATATAAGCAGCAGACAGTTCCAGCTTTATCATCAAATTTGTCGATTCTATCCATCTCCCTTTTCATCCCTTATATGTCATATCCCTCTTTTTTCATAATTTCTAGAATCACTTTTGGGGGCATGCAGTAGTGAAAAGGAAAGCAGCACTGGTTTTAGAATCAAAAGCATTATTGGTTAAAAATGAGTATTCTAGATCAGGAGGGTGGGTTGCAGAAAAAGATAACAATAGAAAAACCAGGTTACTTGAGCAACTTCCCTATAATGAACAAATACAATGTTGGTGGAGTGACAAGAGTTATTTAAGTGTGGTATGGGAAAAGTGCACATGGAGAAGTGTTCCTTGATCTCTCAAAAGATCTTCTAGGGAAGTTAAAACAATAAATGTGCAACACAGTGCACAGTTAAAATATGGAATTTGACACCACAAGATTTAGAGTTGGATGCCAATGTATGGGCATGTGCAGATTTAAAAGAAATTAGAAACATTCATTGAGAATAAGGTTAACAATTGTTGATGACCTTTCAATAAGAGTTACTGGAGTCAGAAGCAGAAGGCTGCAATTGCATTGCTGTCCTACTTGTGGGCAACTATTGCGCATTATGGGAACAGAACTCTAGACAAGACATACGGTGTAGTTTTTGATTTAGTTTTCTGAATCACCTTAAAAAGATGTGTGTTATGGTTGTTTTTAGAAGATAGAAGGTAGATTTGAAGTTTGTTGGTCCAAATTTATATGCTCCTAGTATTTATTATTATTATTATTATTTTAACAATAATAATAATATTCTATGTATTGTCGAAGGCTTTCATGGCTGGAATCACTAGGTTCTTGTGGGTTTTTTTCGGGCTATAGAGCCATGTTCTAGAGGCATTTCTCCTGATGTTTCGCCTGCATCTATGGCAAGCATCCTCAGAGGTAGTGAGGTCTCACTACCTCTGAGGATGCTTGCCATAGATGCAGGCGAAACGTCAGGAGAAATGCTTCTAGAACATGGCTCTATAGCACGAAAAAACCCACAAGAACCTAATAATATTCTACTTTCTCTCTCTAAAAAGAGTTATATACATTATTTAAATTAGACTTTGATAGGGGTAGAGGTACAAGGAAATCTGCTTCTTCTGATGACTTGTATCATTTTGCCTTAATCCAAAATAAATCTTCGAGCATCTATTCAGGCTATCATGTGTTGATTTCTTGTTGCATTTCTCCTTTCTACAGTAAATATTTTATTTCCAGGATGATCCTTCTGTTGGAGATAACAACTTTCTCAAGCCTCCTCTATTAGATGTTTTGTCTGCTTATAATGGGTTGTTTATTTCCCGAAGTGTATGTCTTATTTGGTTTGCAGTTTTCTTAGCTCTGTGTACTTGAGGCAGTGGGAGGGGCTGCAGACCATGTGACTGGTTCAGTGACTGTTTAAAATGCAGTTTAAAAGGATGACAGTTGAGGAATGACAGTTGAGACTTGAGTCAGTTTGAATAAGAAGTCAGTGTAAGAAGTTGAGGAATGCCTGTTAAGGCTTGAGTCCCTTGGAATTAGACTGTTATGAAAAGATAGCTGCACATTGCAATAGTTTTGGAGAGCCTGATAAAGACTATAAGTTAAAGATACAAACTGAAACATTTTAAAGTTTAACCTGACAAGAAATGTGCCTGTATATTTAAGTACATGAAGTTGTGAGTAAAACAAACATTTTATTTTAAAGAAGTATACTTGAATCTTTGTCTGCTTTGAGAACTTTGAATAGAAACAAGATACTTATGTGCCCAGTGATCATTCATTAGCCAATAAACTAAAGGAACATTTCTAAAACTTTGCTACCCAATAGGTTATGAGTCTAAGAGGTCATAATCCAAATCCCAATACCTTCAGATTAGAACCTTGTTCTCAAAAATTATCAGAACTAACAAGTTTGCCAAAAACTTTCACTAGAGTTTTACTGCTTGCATAGACTGGCCACTGGTCAAAGGACATTTAATAGAATGCCAAGTTTGCAAACTTTGTTTTTTTTTAATACTATACAACTGTTTGGTTCGTTCCTGACATGATAAATAAATAAAAAGGCTGGTCAGACACTTAGCATTTTTCCATCATAAGTCTTGCTAACTGAATGGATACTCATCAAAACTTATAAGATCATTCTGAGAGTTCTCCAACTGCTATTGCAATTGGTGCACCAGGGAAAACTGTAAAAAAATTGCCAGACCCAGATGAGCTATTTAGTTTTAACTGTAATGCTTCAGACTTTTATTCATTCTCTTCTACTTCCTAGCCATTCAGCTACTTTACTCAGGAGTAAACTGGTCATATTTGGGGGCCAGAGGACTTCTACATATCTGAATGACACCCACATCTTGGATCTAGGTAAGCACCCAATTGTGTTTGAATTCTTCAGCACTGCATAGATTTGGAAGAGTTTTGAATCCAGTTTGGTAGGCAAATATATTCTAGTGCAAACTAAGACTCATGGACTGTATGCGGCCCTCGGAGGTCACTGACCCAACCTCCGCCCTAAACTTTAGGCTTAGGGTTGCCTTAACTCTGAGATGACTTGAAAGCACATAAATACAACAACCCTAATTAACTAATAGTCATCTCATTAGCCAAAAGCAGCCCCATGTTTCCCATTGAAATATTAGTAAGTTTATGTTGGTGAAAACTGTTCTTCATTTTAAGCATTGCAATGTTTTTCCATTGTCTATGCACTACAAATAAAGTATGTGCAGTGTGAATAGGAATTTGGTCATGTTTTTTTCAAACTATAGTCCACCTCCCCCCTAAAAGTTTGAAGTATCATGAACTGGCCCTCTGCTTAAAAAGTTTGAGGTCCCCTGTTCTGGCACCTGATAGGGATAGAAAGAGAAGACTGATCCACAGCAACACATTGGATATTGATGTAAAGAAGGCCCTGTACAAAATAAGTGGAACAGTAAATGTATCAAGCTTTTGGAAAGGATAAGGAAAAATAGCTGCTATGAGATTACAGCAGTATTACAGAATTTATTGCTAGACAGAATATAATAAAAGACTTGGCATCTTTGAGTTGTAATAAAATGCTAGAGCTCCTTTCCAGAAAAGCAGCTGTTGCAGCCAACTTTGGTCCTTCAGATGTTTTGAACATCAACTCCCAGAATTTCTGATTATTGGCTAACCTGTTTGGGAGACCCTTTATTAACACTCAACACCAGGCAGAGTGATCCAGAGAATCTAAGGATCTTAAGACCTTTGGCACTTGGATAGTTTTCCAGTCAGTTTTTTGGGAAACATTTTTCTATCCTGACTTTTTTTTTCAAAGTTAAAATTAAGTGTTGGCAGCTGCTCCCAGACTCTGGAAGCCTGTCATGATCTCTGTCTCATGCCATCCAACAATCTGCCTTTCTGACACAGAGAACGTGGGCCCAATGGCCAAAAGGGAGGACAGGACATATGAACCAGCCATAAAAGTCAGTTGCCACAAGGTGGGGGAAAGTGGGCTCTGGAATATGTGGAAAAGGGCTAGCTCCCAGCACCAGGACTCTTGAGTAATTTATGATATTGTAGCTAGGCCTATAGACAGGCAGTAGTGTGAGAGTCTTGTATTCCGAACAATACAGACGTCGGTATCTGCAGCCCTTGTGCGTCTGTGTGTCTTTTAGAGAAGATTGATCCACAGCAACACAAGTTGGAACTGAGAAACCTTACAAAGTCCCTCCCTAAAGAAACCCTACTTGCCTTTAGCAGGCATATGAAAACATACCTCTGTCATCAGGCCTTTAGGGAATGATGAGAGGTGAACTACTGGGGATGGTGTGAGTGGGATTTTGGGGAGCCGTGCAGTTTTTAACTGCAATTTCATTTGTATTTTTACGGTAATTTTAATGTTTTTATGCTTCATGATATGGAAGATTTGATTATTTTAAATATTTTTATCCACTTGCCCTGTTTTTAATTTGCATTGTGTTGTGTTACTGTTAGCCACCTTGAGTCCCTATACCGGGAGAAATGCGGGATAGAAATAAAGTACATAAATAAATAGCAACAGATACAAGTATTATATTTGAAAAATAATAATAGATTTCTTGTGACTAAAAGTTAGCACACACTGATTGAAGAATAGGCTTTTATGGATTAAAATCTGCTTCATTAGAGACATGAAGTAACAACAGTTGGGTTTTATATGTGTACATGGGAGCATATATTTTTATTCAATGCTAATCAAGTTGGCCAGTTGCAACATTCACACTTGCCTCAAGCAGACAAGAATTCTTTCTCCCACCCTGGACATTCCAGATATATAAACCCCACTTGCCTAGTTTCCAACAGACTTCACAACCTCTGAGGATTTATTTGTCGTGTCAGGACAACCAGTCAAATTACCTCTGAGGGTGCCTGGCATAGATGTGTGTGAAATGTCAGGAGAGAATGCTTCTGGAACATGGCCATGCAGCCCACAAAACTCACAGCAACCCATATATTTTATCGCCATTTTACCTTCCTGCACTCCTGCTCATAACCTTACTATTTTAAATGCGAAAATCTTTTAATGCCTGTGATGCATTCTTTACATTTGAATTATGTCCCATTCTTTAAAAACTCCAATATCTTTCAGGTTTCATGGAGTACTCCTCAGTTCCTTTTCTGTCTGGACTACCATGTGCTCGCAGGTAAAAGTAGGTCATGGGATCTACGTGCTTTCTTGTACAGTGGATAATACTAGTTCTATAGGGAGAAGTTGTTCTTGATGTTGTCAGACATGGGGTGGCATCTCAGAGGTTTAGGCTGTTCTGGTGGTATAGCTTTCAAGTCAATGTACTGTTTTTATAAATGTCTGTTAGTTGCCAAGGGAAAATATAACAAGCATTTACTAAGTGGAACTTTAGCTATAGAGCTATTCTTCTCCAAAGGTTTCAAAATATTGGCCAAATGGCCATCTGTTGGCATTGCTTTGTCTTCCTGCAATGCAGAATGGGGTTGGATTGAATGCCTCTTGTGGTCAATTCCAACTCTATGATGTAATTACTTTTTCATAGGGCTTATCATAGAATCATAGAGTTGGCTTATCATAGAATCATAGAGCTGAAGAAGCACGGAAATTGCATTCAAAGTATTATGATGACACTCATATTACACTCTTCTTCCAGTTTCCATGCTGCCATTCCAGTATCGGATCAAAAAGTACTAATAAGCGGGGGCTGCAATGCTAAAGGTGCATTCCAGGATGCATTCATCTTTAACCTGGGTAAGGTAGTGGAGTCCTATCACAGTAGGTCTCTCTCAAACTCTGAAAGTGGTTTGCTGGCATCCACTAGCTGTTTCCCCTCGATTGGTTGCAGGTACTTTGACTTGGAACACAATCAAGCATGGAGACCTTTGCTCCGTCCCCCGGGCAGGCCACACACTTCTCAACTTGACCTACGCTCATCTGACGGATGTGGATAAGGAGAACCAGGTGAAGCATAACCTGTGTGCAGTATTGGTCTTTGGCGGGTCTGACTGTGCCGGCAAGTTCTACAACAGTACCAGTAAGCTCCAGCTAGACCTGGAGGAGGTGAAAGGGGTCCCTTAGTGTCCATTCTGAACTACTGGAAATTCTATAACAGGATGGAGAACAGGAAGAAGAGAAGGACTTTGGGCTTCTAAAGATGGAGGTAGGGGAAGGAAAGACTGAGATTGATAAAACAGTGATAATCACTTTGATAATCCTTATTGGAGACACAAAGTGAGTTACCAAAAGGTCTGACAGATTGAGCTTTTTTTTGAACTTATTGTCATTTTAATAGTTTTTTTGCAATCTCACTATTGCAAAGTATTTCATCTCTCTCTAATCATAGGTGTAGGATAGCAAAGGGCTAGGATCATGGCAAATTTGAAAGACCATTATCCAATCCTAGATTGATAATATCTCAGCTCTTCACTTTGTGTTTAAAAAAGGGAGAAGCCTCCAGAAAATGAATGGTAAATACTCCACACTAAATTTAAATAAAGGGAGAAGCCTTCAGAAAATGAATGGTAAATACGCCACACCAAATTTAAGAGGATCAAGGCTAGTAATATTGGACATAGCTAGGAAATCCTTAAGTCTGACTTTCTTTAATATGTGTCTGTTCTTCTTCATGTTCATCTTCTGTTTCTCCTTAGTCTCCTTTCCTAAGTCTTTACCACCTGCCAATTCAGAGATATCTGCATTTGCGTAAGATTGCAACCCAAATTGTTAATAAAGCATGCAAAGTATTGTTGATTTGATTATTAAATGGCAGCGAAGAATAGCAAGCACACTTTCAGAAACTACCATGATCTTGTAAATAAACAGAATTTACATAGGTCAATGGTTCATTTGATTTCTGTACATAACTTTTTCTTACAGTTCTGAAGAAAGGTGTGCTTGCCTTTCCAAAGGGAAAAAAAAGACTACAACTCTTGTTAATTTTTGAAAGATTTATAATTGCTGCCGTTTCTTTTTTGCTATACAAATAGAGTAAAAAAGGTATAGGCATTGTGTCTCTATATTGGGGGAAAAGCAGGATAAAATACAGTTAATAAAAATAATAGGCAGCTTGAACGGTGGTAGGCAGCAACACTGACTATGCAAAGCAATGAAAAACAAGCTGAAACAGAGGCAAATGGGAGAGGGCAAATGTAAAATAATTCACATGCCAGCTTTTTAAAGGCTAGTTCCTTTGAGATCACTATAGAATTTTAATGTCATACATAATTATAATTTAAGTCCACCTGTTCTTTACTTTAAAGGTGCAATATCTGATGGGTTTAGGCTTTCTTGTAATTAAGCTGCAAAATAGGAGAAGAGTCCAGCTATGGGATGAACTGATGTGAGTGCGATGGAGAATAAGTTTCATTCTTCTTCAACACTCCTCTCTCATAAATATTTTCCATACCCCCTGTTTTAAGAATGAGACTAAACATTCAACCCTCTGAAGTTTGGCCCTTCAAGGGAAAAACATCTCTTATGGTTTCAGTTCATGATGCTGAAGATGTCTCTCTCACACAAACACACATTAATACGTTCATGTTAATGGGGCATTGAGCTGGTTCCCTGGTAAACATTTTACAACAAGATGATTCAAGAGAATCTCTGTCAGAATAAATGTGAATTAGGCAAAATATCACTTACTGGTCCATAGAAAATTGGTTAAAGGGTGAAAAATTGCATATCTGCACAGTATATTGGCATGCAGCATGAAAGGCTATCTGTTCAAAGGCACAATTTGCCATCAACTGCACAGCATATTCAAAACTTTTTAATTTTTTTTTCATAATGGCATTTAAAAATTTCAAACATAATCAAGGTCATTTTTTCCTTGCATCTCCCCCCCCCCCCAAATCATCTTGCTTCTTTAAAAGATTTTAATAAAGCTTTCCTAAAATATTCTGCAGGGTGAGTGTATTCAAACTATAATAAAAACTAGCAACTTCAGGCTTTTAGGTCTGACGGGGTATCTGGCTGCCGAGATGGGTGGCTTGTCTGGAATGCTTCTAACTCCAGAAGAGCTTTGTTGATTCGTCTTATTGTGTGGTAGGGTGTAAGATCCACTTGATATCTGTTGAAAAGATTTGGCGTCAGTAACACTTAATACAGCAAGTTCTGAGAATAAACATCTAGCCCAGGCATGGGGTAAGTTTTTTGCCTTGGCAGCCAGCCACACACTGGGTGGGACAGGCCTGGGATGGAGAGGGAGAGGCCAGGAGGGGGCGGGGCAGGCCACGGGTCATCCTCAGGTGGTCCTCCTGGCATAAAGACAGGGATGTTCACTCCATCCTTATGCAGGGAGGAAAACAAGACATGCGGCAATTGCTCCGATCCTCCTCTCCAATCCTCCTCCCTCAATTTTTGGGTTGTCCTCTCAGCCTTATGCCAGGACGAGGGCGAGACAGGTGATGTCTGAGAGTGCTCCAGAGGACTCCCAACTGCTGTGTGCCTTCCTCAAGCTGTCCTCCCAGCATAAGTACAAGATCACTCGCACCATCCTTATGCTGGGAGGAGGGCAAGATACGTGCTGCTGCTGCGTTCCTTCCTCCCCATTCTTTCTGCATAAGGATATGGCAGGCCACTGCATCTTTATGCCAAGAAGACAGAGAAAATGAGGGCCTGAGGTAGGCACCCAGGGGGCCACATCTGGTCCCTGGGCCTTAGTTTGCCCATGCCTGTTATAGTATGTAAAGCCTACAGCTATAATCCAAGTGACAATTATTATAAAGAGGCTTCAGAACAGAAAAAGAGCCCTATCACTTAGGACCAAATACCAGTCTCATCCAGAATTTGGTTTCCTAGATGGACATGGGAAGCCCATAACCAGAAGATGTGCCTATAAGTTGCCTTTTCTTTTGCCTTAGATTGCCAAGAATGCATATTCAGAAATACACTACTCCTGATCATAAAGGTACCATACAGCATTCAAGTAGTCATTGAAAGTATTCATGTATTTTTTTTCCAGTTGACAGTCCTTTAAAACCACACATTCAACTACTATCTTGGCAGCTGAATGATATGACAATCTATCTGAAGAAACAGAGTTTACATTAGTATAAAAAGAAAACAGACCATGGATCGAGGAGGATCAAATGGCCATATAGTTCTGGATGATTCAGGAAAGACTAAATGTTTCCTTACATTGTATTTATTAAATATTACGGTAATATGAGGAAGAGGAGCCAACTGGCACAGGAAGTGATTAAGTTTGAAATTGTAGACTTATAAAATGGCTAAAGAAAGACCAAAGGCATACATGTATTTCTGGATATCAATCCTGCAAGGGTATCCTAGAGGAGGGTCACTTTGTACATGGAAGGGCGAAAGACAAATGAGAAATCTCAAATTTGCAGACTCCTCCACAGAATTGCTGTGAAAGGTAGTACCAGGTAATACATAGTATTCAAGACATGTTATTGTCCCATGACAAAATGTTCAGATGGGGAATGAAGAGTCAAAGTGCTAACACTACCATGCCACCCAAACTTTATATATGTTCAGATAACAGGGTGATGTTATTTTTACATTGGTTAGGATGGCTCAAGCACAAAGGAGAACATTACCATTTTTGTCACAGGAAAAAGAATATAGAAATAAAAAAATTCAAATATACATTCTCCAAGTTGTCTGCAGTTTCACTGGACTGTGATCTCTACACATGTACAAGTGCACCTGAGTATCTGCTTTGATCACATCAGTTGCCCTTCTGGGCCAAACGGTTTGCTAAGTTCAGCTTTGCTTACCTGTCAGCATTGTACACTTGGGGGACCAAGCACAAATCAGCCATGGTCACCTGCAGAGAAGCAGAAGCAACTGTCATTATAACTTAGGATCAATATAGTTGTTTTTAAGCTCAAGGGGACCATGAAACCTTGGCCCTTTGAAAATATGAAATGATGTTTATTTTGGGTTTTTTAGCGTGGTTGAAATTTACATTCAGAGCTTAATTAAATGTCCTTAGATAAGTTGGAAAAATCTTTCTTTTGTTGTCTTTGGAAAGCAAAACATTACTATTATATAGAAATATTTTTAAAAAAAACTTAAAGAAAAAGAGTAAATAAGAGGACTATGGTAGCCCAAGTAATAAAAGCAAAATACTGTAAAAATGCCAATGATATAAAACATACAAAATGCCATCAAAAGGCTTTCCTTTCCCTGTTAGATACCCAGGAATAGCAGAGTGTAATTAAACATTTGGGTGAGTCTAATCTTATGAATATGGGACAGTTTTTTATCAAGGCAAGCAGATCCAACAACACTCAGTAACGTGCTTCAAAAGCATATTGTCAGCAGGTGGTGCTGTTGCTTTGTTTGTAACCAACATAAAATTCATTTCATAGCTACAGGCTAGTAAAATAGGTGTGGCATGAATAAGAGAGAGAGAAAAAAAACTACCAAGGCAACAGCAATCTATTTCTGAATAAAGTGTGCCCCAAAACTTTAGGATAGGATTATCATTAAGTCAGCATCGACCTGATGGTTTGAGTTATACCAACAATAAAGAGCCCCCAGGGGCACAATGGGTTAAACCCTTGTGCTGGCAGGACTGCTGACTGAAAGGTTATTATTTTATTATTATTAAACTTTATTTGTATCCCGCTAGCATCTCCCGAAGGACTTGATGTGGCTTACAAAGGCCAAGGCCTCAACACACAATACAACAATACAAAACCTAAAGCAAATTAAAAACAATGAAAGCAATATAAACAATAAGCAATAAACAATACACTAAGACACAATAAAACTGGGCCGGGCCAGAGTAATGGGTACAGGATTAAAAGTGCTGATGTGGCAGGAGGCATGTACGATTATAGGGCAAGTGCAGTGGGTGGTTTGAATCTGGGGAATGGGTGGTTTGAATCTGGGGAATGGGGTGAGCTCCCATTTGTCTGCTCCAGCTTCTCATGAAGGGACATGAGAGACGCCTCCCATAGGATGGTAAAACATCTGGGCATCCTCTGGGCAATGTCATTGCAGACAGCCAATTCTCTCACGTCAGAAGCGACCTGAAGTTTCTCAAGTCGATCCTGACACACACACACACACACAAAAACCCCAACAAGAATATGTATGGTGAAATGAAAGCAATAAGTACACCATCTTAACATATAAATTCTCTTTAGTTGTAAATAGTCTAGCCCCAATAATGGATCTGTGGAAATAGGATCAGGCAATAACCATCCCCACATCATATACCCCACCCTCAACCAGTTTTTAACAGTCTTTGGAATTGATTTTAGGGTGATGCTGAGGAACTTTTGAAAGTTCTATAAACAAAATGTAGGCTTTTGTTCATGTACCAGTGTTCATTCTTATCTATGTATTTTTATACACCAGTGATAAAAATACAGACAAGAATTAACGTCTTTGCCAACTCTGAAAACTGGGACGTTCTCTGCTGGTACTCTGATTCATCATAACCTGAGTTTTTGAGTTCTCTTTCTAAGAAGAGCCCTTATTTACTTTACCTCATTCCCAACACAGTAGCGTCCAGCTGTTTCTTGCAGAATCCGCTCCAAAGCTGCAGGGAAAAAAAAGTGGCAACACAGCTGTAAAACAGGTCTTTTCTTTCAATGTAGGGCTTTTGTGGATATATTGTAAAGATACAGTCTTTTATAGTATCCTTAAAGATCAAGGTTGGGCAACTACACAGGTGTCTCTTTATGCCCCACCAGGCTGAAGCCTTGATATTGCTGCTGTTTTTGTTTTTTGCTGGTATCAGCTATTTAGCTATAATTTAGGGAGATTTGAGGAGCAAAACCACTGCATTTTGCAGCAAATAGAGAAAAATATTTTTGGATAACTACAGAATATATGGGGGAACTCCCCCCCCCACACCCCCAAAAAAGTCTTTACTTTCTCATCCATTATAAAGAATATGAAAGTATGTAATTATTCCACAAAATTCTGGGTATTTTTCATAAAGCAAAAGAATAGCAGCACCAGGCCCCAAAGAGGTTCATATTGCTGAGAAACGTATAACACGGACAAGATAAAATTGACCTACTGGAGGCCTATCTTTTCTACCATCCTGTTTTCCACAGTCATCAACCAGATGCTGATAAAAAAAAGCAGAAAATGAGGAAAACATCTCTTTTTTCTCACTGTGCTTCAGCAACAGACCTTCAGAGTCGAGGCTTTGAAGTAACTCTTCCAAATTCTGATTCAAAAGCATGCTGCCTAAGATCGTAGAGAGAGGACAGAACTATGGCAATAAATAGCTTGTTTTCTGTAAACCTATTTGTTGAATCTTCTTTTAAAACTGGAAGCCACCATCACATCTAGTGATAACAAATTCTCAAGTTCAACCTGTGCTGTGTGAATCAGTATGATTTTTTATCTGGACTAAATCCATCTTAACTGGATAAAGCCCAAGTTCTACAGTTGTAAAGGAAAGAGAAGATAGTGCTAGATGTTTGATGGCAAACAAGATGCCGAACCCCAGGTTTGCATTTGATGTGCTGCCCCTCAACTCTGAAACCAGCAGGCTAAAACCTTTTTATTCAGGCAGGCTTTTAAAGAAGGGTTTTAAGCACAAGCCAGGGGTGTGTGTGTGTTATGGTTTTAGCTATGAATAAGTTTTGAATCGGTTTTAACTGTTTATTTTTAATACCGCTAATATTTAATTGTATTTTTATGTTTGCATATTTTTAGGTTTTAAATTATATTTTATTGGTTTTACTTTAAACCGCTTTGAGGTTTTTTTAGAGAGAAAAAGCAGGATACAAAGGAAAATATTGTGACTGTTGGAAATAGCACCTTCTTCAAGCTTCCACTAGTAATTTGTTCTGTATATGATTCTGTTTGCTTACTGTATTATATATGTATGTCTTGGTATGTAGCTTTCCCTTTACTCTGTTTCTTGAGGTTGTGGAAGGGGCTGCAGACCACATGATCAGATCTGGGATTGCTCAGATTTCAGACTCAACTTTGGAACACAGAGATGCCATCAGATTTCAGACTGTTAAGAGCAAATCTATGTTGCTGTTGATTGTAAGAAAGATGTCCTGTATTATCCCCACAGAAAAACTACTCCAAATCCTATCTGTAACTGGATTGACAAGTTATATACCTGTATGCTGACTACATTAAGGTTATGAGAACACCAGATATGTTACTTTTAATGAAGTCTACTTTATTTTTGTTTTTTGAGAGCATGATATAGAAACAAGATACTTTATGGGAGAGTATACAATTTTTAGGCACTGAAAAGAACACTTCTAAAGAACTGCTATATTTTGTGCATTGGCATAACCTCTGTTCCTAACAGATCAGAGACATCTAGGTCATCAGTCTAAACACTGAAAACCAAATTGCCTTGCGTAAGTACATGTGGTTACATTCCACTGAAGAGAAGATTTCACTCAAACGAGGTTTTGGCTCTTTTCTGAAAGATCATACTTTTGCAAAAGATTATGATTTTCAAACGGTTGTGAATGCCATTTTTCTCCAAAATGTTATGGAGTTTCTGGTTTTCCAAAAGGTTATGATTTCTAGAAGGTCATGCCTTTCCAAAAGTGATTAATACTTCTTTCAACCAGCTAATTTCCCTTAATCAAGAATAGAAAAGTAGTTGCAGAGGAAAAGCTCACTGAAGAAAAAGACATAAGTACTATCCCCACTGCTATTTTCTATGATAAATCATATTGCATGTCAGCTGCTTTCAAACTCTCTCTCTCTCTCTCTCTCTCTCTCTCTCTCTCTCTATATATATATATATAAAACTGTACTATACTGCTATTAATAATAAAAAGCAACAGCAGCCATCTCTCATCTGATTTGCATTTTCTATTGCTAGTTTCTGGCTTTAGAATGGCTAGTTCCTCTAGCCTGCTCTAGATCTATTCCAAGCTGAGAACTGGCCTATATGTGTGCAGGATAGTGGCTACTCTCCTTAGACAGTGCAATAAATTGTATCATCTCAGGTTTCACGTGAATGTATGAGTATCACACAGTTACTTTATGTTCTTTTCCAAATGGAGGACTATTACAGAACAGAACAGTGTGGAATACAAAGATTCTCATTGCTGTGTGATTATGTAATTTGCATGGATTGTCTTACATTAAAAAGGCATCATAATCCTGTATACTGGCAAGACAAAATGTTCCCAATTGTTTGAATACGCCAAAACCAAATCTTCGGATGCCTTCCCCATGAGCCAGAGAGGCTCATGGGGAAGGGCCTCTTTGGCTCATGGGGAAGGCATCCGAAGATTCGAAATCACCCAATGGATTTTTATAGCTGAGAGTGAGACCAGGCTTCAAATCCCCACTCAGCTATAAAAATCCATTGGGTGATCTTGGGAAAGTCATGCTCTCTCAGTCTAGAACCGTTTTTAAAAATAAGGAAATGAATGAGAAATGTTGGGAAGACCAAACACATGGCTAAAGTGAATTCTACTCTCAAGAAACTTGGGGAGCATCTAGGGACAAAAATATAGTTGTAGGTGGTGGAGATCGCAGAAGTGGAGGGCAGGAGATGTTGGAAATAGCAACCTTCTTCAGGTCTCCTATACTAGTTATTTGTTGTGTATATAATTCAGATTGCTTACTGTATTGTATATGTGTGTATTGGTATGTAGTTTTCCTTAACTCTATGTTGTGGGAGGGGTTGCAGAACATGTGATCATATCTGGGATTGTTCAAACTCAGACTCCATTTTAGAAGTCAGTGTTTACATCAGAAGAAGTACAGTACAGTTTAGAAGTAAGTTGAAACCGAATGCTTTAGAGAAGAGAGAGACTCTTATTAGACTCTTAGACTAGAGAGATGCTTTAGGCTTTGGGCTGGTAAGATTTTAAGAAAGATGTCCTGTATTATCTGCACAGAGGAACTACTTCAAATCCTATCTGTAACTGGAATTATATGCAAAGTATCCGTATGCTGAATGCATTAAGTTTTTGAGTAAACCAACTATGTTACTTTTAAAGAAGTCTACTCATTTTTGTCTCTTGAGAGCATGATTTAAACCTAGATATTTTATGGGAGGGTAGATTTTTGGGGCAATAATAACAACAGCATCAACTTTATTTTTATACCCTGCCTCCATCTCCCCAAAGGGACAAGCCCAAAAAACACAGATTAAAGCATAGCATGCCTTTCCAAAAGATTCTTGGTATTCCCAAAAGATTATGGTTTTCCAAAAGGAGAGAGCTTATTGCCAAAAGTTTGCTATGACTGCCATATATGATTCAAAATGGCACCATTCACTCTAACATCTCGGTTTGCGGCAGTAATGTGTAGGGACTGAATGCAATTGTTTTTCCAGCCCATTTTCTTTCTCCCAGTTTCTATTGAAACTGTATCTGCAACAGCAGGTAAGCCTCAAATTTAACTGGTCTCCTTGACTGCAACAAACTGTCCTTTGTTCTCAGTTTTGGCAAGGTTAATTGTGACTTTTTAAAAATCCAGTACAACAATGGCCATTAAAGGTGCACTAGAGATCAATTTTCATTAGTTGCTGTTCTCAGGACACAGCTGTCAGCAATCTTCCTGTTTCAGGGGTTCCTGAACTATTTCATTTAGCCTAGCTGTTTACCTGAGTCCCATTACAATATAAAGCAGGGAGGACAGACTTCAAAAAGTTCATTCTCAGCAGATTATACTGTCCAAAAATGTCAATCTAGCGCTTACCTTCAAAGCCACTGGAAATGCAGCGCTGTGCCCAGTCTAGCTTCTTGTCTCCCATTTGCTGAAGGACACTCAGGTTCTGAGAAATGTAGGAAGAGGCTGCAGATTAGCTTGTATAGCAGTATGAAACACAACTTCGAGACCAGCTCTATTGAGTTACTTCTCCTGAGCCATTTCCACTACAATTGGCCATTATAAGAACTATGGTGGAACTTTGATGAACTGGTACCTGAGTGTGTGTCGTCTTTTCTTTTTATTCACATGTTCTTATATGTCTTTTAAGCCTGTACTATTCCGGACTGTATATCAGGTTGTAAACCTGTGAACAGTAGCTGTCTTGTTTGTATTAATCTTACATTAGAAGCTTTGGGAGCATTTTAGGGACAGTGGTTTAAGCATTGGATTGTGGCTCTAGAGACCAGAGTTCAAATCCCCGTTCAGCCATGGAAACTCCCTTGGTGACTTGGGCAAAGCACACTCTCTCTGCCTCTGAGAAAACCTTGTGATAGGTTCACCTTATGGTTATCTTAAGTCAGAACTGATGAAAGGCAATGCGTTACATCAGCCACAACCACCACTTATATATGTTGATGACCTTGGCCTAACAACACAAGCAAAAGACTTTGAAACAGTTGAAAACCAACTTACTAATGCCCTGAAAGATCTCTCCAGCTACTGCAAAGATCACCACCTGAAGCCTAACCCTGCCAAGACACAAGTGTGTGCTTTCTACCTACATAATCGTGAAGCCAACAGGAAACTGAAGGTTACCTGGGAAGGCCAAGAACTCGAACACTGTTCCCAACCTAAATATCTTGAGTGTTACCTTAGACCGAACGTTAACATTTAGGAAACACTGTGCGAACACCAAGCACTAAGTAGCTGAATACAATAACATCCTGCAGAAACTTACTAATAGCACATGGGATGCCCAAACAAAGCAGGTGAAAAGTGAGACAAACAACTCTGGCAATAGGACAATCACCTGCAAGGGTTGAATTCCAGACGTAATGTGCTCTGAAATCATCCGGACCTGAGCTCTCTTCTTAGGATCCTGAGGCAGAATCCTAGGATTTGGTCTTGTCTCCTCCAGATACTCTATTATGGCTAGCTGAAAGAGAAGAGATTCCTAAACAAGAATGATCCTGGGAAGTGGATAAAGGAGGAAGACAGTCATCTGATGCAGGTCAAGGAAACAATCTGTTTGTCTTGAACTAATCCAGAGCAAATGCCAGCAGTGTGGTTTTATGCACTGAATTCCATGCCTGATTATTGGTGTGGAGGGATTGTATTAATCAAACAACATCTTTTTAGTTGCATTAGATTTTTTCAAATGATGTCAGAAATGGAGATGCATTACATAAAGAAGAAGCAATTTCTTTAAAAGCATAGTTTTTTCCCATTCCACTTTAGATGATTTCTCTATCGATAGATGGAATCCTGATATTCCCATGGGTTACCCAATACTGAGTGCAAAGTCCTTAGTCTGACTAGCAGAGCTAAGTAAATATTTAATAGAAACTGCTTAGTTACCGACTGTGATAGAGTGATGCCATCAATTCTGAGAGCAGGGACTTGCTTCATTGGATTCACTGCTTGAAATTCTGGAGAAAGCTGTGGAGACAGAAAAGTTCCTGGGTATTCCTTAACTAAGGGCCTTCCACACAGCCATATAACCCAGAATATCAAGGCAGAAAATCTTACAGTATCTGCTTTGAACTGGGTTATTGAGTCCATACCGCCATATATTCCAGTTCAATGCAGAAAATGTGGGCTTTTATTTAGCTGTGTGGAAGGGGCCTAAGAAAATCATATAATTCATGCAGTCACCATGAGCTAACAGGCAATGTGGAAATAAATACACACAACGTAATAGAGTTGTATCTTTGGGACTAATTGATTTATTTACCTTCAGCGTGTAGTAGTTTGAGCACTGGACCGTGACTCTTGAGACCATGGTTTGAATCCTTGTTTGGCCATGAAACCCACTGGGTGACCTTGACCAGGTCACACACACTCGGCTTCAGAGAAAGGCAATGGTAAACCAAGAAAACCCCATGATAGGTTCATCTTAAAGTTTCCATAGGCTGGAAACAACGTGAAGGTACAGCACAACAATAACAATTAATGCAGTTACCTAATGGAGAGTGACAAATGAAACAGGAGATTCCAACAGTCACATCAAAGCATATTCATTTTAGTAATTGTTAGTTGTTGAAGAGGACTTCTATTTTGTAAGCTGTTAATGTGTTTTAGTCACAGGGTCTGAAAAATATTGATGCACTCTTTCCCCCTGGTTCTTCCTTTATTTTCATCCCAAAAATTAGCAAACACTGCTATATCTTTGATAGTTAATGTTTGTATCCTTTTAAGAATCCAAGACCTTACAGGACACAGATAGCCAGCCTTTAAAAGAGGTGCTATTTCAAAAGCCATCACCCTTAGAGAAAGTATAGATCCTATTCTCCATAATGGTGTCTGTGAAGAAAGTTGCCAAATCCTTACAGTAGTTTCCAATTCCTACAACCTCAGACTCCCTGTGACTCTCATCTTTCTTCCTATAAAGACTGACTGCAGTTCTTTCCTTACCTGCTGCCCTCCATCCTTCACAAGATTCACAGGGGATGGGTCATAGGCAATGCCTTTCAGAGCCAGTGCTGTCAACAGAAAAGTGACACAGTTACTAACTCCAATATTTATTTGTAACTTTTTCTTTATTTAAAAAAACACTGTTTCGCAGCAGTCTTCCTGTAAATGAATACATTATAGCAGTACAACAAAACAACCTGGAGGATAACATCACAAGAAATGTTTAAAAATATTAAGAATTATGCAAGAGGCAATAGAAATAAAAACCAGCATTTGTCTCAGAAGGAAACAAAGGCCCCCTTCCACACAGCTGAATAAAATCCCACATTATCTGCTTTGAACTGGAACATATGGCAGTGTGGACTCAGATAATCCAGTTCAAAGCAGATATTGTGGGAAAGGCTCGAGTAAAACAAGGGACATCTGTTCAGTACTGCTACAGTTATCAACCAAGGGCTTAATTGGTGTTGAAAGGGAAGACTTTTTTTCTTAATCAATTTTCTTCATCATGAATAAAGTAACCCAGGTGGGAGATTGAAATTCTTTTACAACAACCTTTCTCAGGCTGCTGTCCAGATATAGACTGAATTTTCTACCATCCCAAGCCAACATGGTAAAAGCTGAGCAGGAGAACAGTAGGGACATATCAACACTGTCCCTAGCCTGTTTTCCAAATTAGAAGTCTCACTTGCAGGAAATTGATAACTATCAGCATAGACAGGAAAAGCAAATGTTATACTACTTTGTTGTCAGGACTGAGAGGTTAACCACAGTTCATGATTTCTAAAGGTATTATATTTGAAAGTTAGGGCTCTTCCACACAGCCCTATATCCCAGAATAACAAAGTAGAAAATCCCACAATACCTTCTTTGAACTGGGTTATCTGAGTCCACACTGCCATATATCCCAGTTCAAAGCAGAAAATGTGGGATTTTATTCAGCTGTGTGGAAGGGTCCTAAGTGTGTTGTGATGTTCATTAGCTAATTTCAGGTTATTGTTACGTTTGCCCATCTGCATGTTAATTGCTGTAACAATCAAATCTTTACATCACTATGTTCTCATTGCCTTCCCTTAAAACAACCTTGGTTCCCATCCCTTGATAGTTTCCTCCTCCCAACTGCTTATCAATCCAGATGCAAGCAGGCTTCTTCATTGTTTCTCACACTCCGACAGCACTTTAACTCCCAACTAACATATATTTAGTAAAAAGTATACATACTATGCTCTATACTTATACTTTATGTCCCACATTCCAACAGACACATTCCAACAGACACCCCAATTGTGATGTTTATGGCAAGACCACTAGGCAGTCTTGACAACGAGTTTTTCTGCTACTGTTTTCTTTTATTCCTGCTTAGCACTACTTTTTCTCTCTTCTTTGTGAAAAAAAAGATTTCTCTAATAAAAGCAACCATATTTCCAACATATGTTGGATAATGGAGCATACTGAAGAATTTCAGAATCAGTTGGTGCAGTATAAATTATACTGAAGTCTTTGATTGAGTAAATCACGAAAGATGCTATAGATCATCCCACTTAGAAAACTGCTTTATATTGTGTCAGAACATTTGATATTTTATGTGGTCTTGTTCTGTATCGACTGACTGTAACTCTTCAAGATTTGAGTACCAACTGGCCACAGACTGAACCTGAATTCTTCTTTATAGAAACATGCCCCCTACAACTGAACCATGTCACCCCTCCCCAAAATGTTTTTTTTCCCCCACGGTTAGGCTTTATTTGGAAACTTAACCCAAGATCTTTTCAGGATCATATCAGTAGATCAACAATACAGATAACACATCACTTTCCATGCTCTGTTGATTGGAGGGGTCAATTCAGCTAATCTTTGTAATAGTCTGTTGGCCTTGGAACTTAGACCTTGTTACAAATCAAGGCTAACTCTATTTGTTTTGCAAGATTATTTCAAGTGAAAACTTTTAAGTGAGAGTACAAGCTTTTTGGTTTAAGATAGAGAATCCCTCAAATGTCATGTTTTCCAATGTATTTTAAAATGCAATACTGCAAACAGATAGGTTAACTTATTTTGTATTTAGAAAGTATGTTTCCAATTAATTTCATATACAAAAAGCAACAGCCAAACAAAGATGATGCCACACACAGGAATCTTTAAAGGAGAGAAAGATTTCAGTATTACTAAATTGTATCACAGAAGTAACTATTACATTAGAAAAAAAAAAACCTACATGGAAAATGTCTGACAAAGCCAAAAAAATGAACTGTTTGCAAACCAGGAACAGGTAATCTGTCACTCAAGATGTTTGTTGAGTTGATGGTCACTATGTCCAATAGTCAGGGATGACATACGTTGCAGTTAATCATCATCGGGAAGGCTAACACTATTCCACCATACTATGAATAATTCAGTGTGATAGATAAATATACTACATACTGACCGCATAGGGAAGTTGATGAAGAAATACAACATACAAACTATCTACAGACCCACTAAGAAAATTCAACAAATACTACATTCAGCAAAGGACAAAAAAAATCCTCTCACCTCTGTGAAAGTCTACCGTATACCATGCAGCTGTGGACAAGACTACATAGGGAAGCCATCAAAACCCACAAGCATGTGGACAATTTCAACAAAAAGGAGAAAACCATGAATATGAAAAAAAAAATCTGGCTACTAGTGTTAAAGAATTCTAAAATCGGGACAACACTCAAAAACAGGGGAATTCCTAACATGAAACAATCAGGGCCAGCTAACCCTTCCCAACAAAGGATTCCCCCAGGCAGGAAGCAGCCAGGCTTTGAAGCTGCAAGGCTATTCAATGCTGATCAAGGTGGCCAATTGCAACATTCACACTTGCCTCAAACAGTCAAGAATTCCTTTCCCCACCCTGAATATTCCAAAAATTTATAAACCTCACTTGCCTAGTTTCCAACAGACCTCACAACCTGTGAGGATGCCTGCCATAGTTGTGGGTGAAACATCAGGAGAGAATGCTTCTGGAAGATGGCCACACAGACCAGAAACTTCACAGCAACCTATACTACATATTTATTGCCTCAACTCTAAGACACACAATTCCCCCCATGTTAACATAGAAACAAGGAACATCTTAGAATCAAGGGGGCTTTTTATAGATATAAAGTCTTTTCTGTGGTGGTACTGAACAAATGCTCCTTGGTAGTGAAATTAGTGTGCGTCTTGCAATCGATAAATACGGCATGTGTATACCATATTTCATTTAATCTAAGGCACACTTTTTATTTAAGGGACTTGAAAAACAGGGTGCACCTTAGATTCAATGGCATATTTAGATACAGTGTGTGTGTGTGGTAATCAACTGCAATTTCCCAATGCTTTGCTTGTTGCACTTATTTTTCCCCCATGGATACGTTTTTTAATATGTTGATAGTTTAATTACATAATCATAGAATCAAAGAGTTGGAAGAGACCTCATGGGCCATCCAGTCCAATCCCTTGCCAAGAAGCAGGAATATTGCATTCAAATCACCCCTGACAGATGGCCATCCAGCCTCTGTTTAAAAGCTTCCAAAGAAGGAGCCTCCACCACACTCCGGTGCAGAGAGTTCCACTGCTGAACGGCTCTCACAGTCAGGAAGTTCTTCCTCATGTTCAGATGGAATCTCCTACATAGCTCCTGTGTATTTTTAGTTGTGTGAGCTTTTATCCATTTTAATTGTGTAAATCACCTTAAGTCCCCAAAAGACAAGATATAGATAAGTGTTGCCACTTCGCATGATAATTCGAAGGCAGGTTAAATGTTTTCACTTTTTAATGTACGAAATTTCTCCAGGCAATCATCTACAGATCTAAAAGCTTTCTTCCTCAAATCGCTGACTTGACTTTTTGTCCTTTTCCCAAAGATGAAGGACAATACATGTTGAGCTACATTCCTTTGCAATGTATACATTTGAAAAGGAGGATGTGTGATTTGCCAGGTTGGTTCCCAGAAATGGCTGGTTCAGTTGCGTATTTTGCTGCTCTTTGATTTAATCAGTCACTGATCAACTGCATTTTGGTAAATACAGCTCAAAGATGTTGAAACAGACAGAATCACATAGAAAAGAATCCAATCATTATCCTTACCAATTCGCACTCTCCAGGTGCAGGAGCTTCTAAAGTAAGTATAGAGGAGTGGCTACAAAGAGGAAAAAACATGGGAAAATTAAAGTTGGGATTACATTAGAAACCAAAATCCAAATAAATTAAAATTTAAACATGTTTTCTTCTGAAAAAAAGAAGTACAAACAGCAACATTTCCATCTATTGTATTGAAAATCGAATTGACTTACGAAGATTGAACTTTTCAGTTTCATGCATTCCTGTTATCAGCCTGTGCAATTTCTAATTCTAATTTTTCCTATTGCTCTCTTTTTTCAGCCGTATCTCCCACAGGTATTAATAGAAAGTTTGCTCTCAACACTTTCAGTGACAGAAGGTGACCCAAAGAGAAGCGTTTTCTAAGAACAGTAGCTGATTCTTCATGTAAACACAATGGGAAAGACAATCAGAAATCCAGTGATAGGAAGGCACCTTCCCAGTTACTATAAACCTGTTTTGATCTCACCTTTGTGGAGGTCTCCATGCTTTCTACATGCAGGTATCCTCAGAATGAAAGCTAACTCAAGAGTGAATTGAAAAAGTGAGGAAGAGGGAGGAACAAACTTCTTTTGCAACATTTGGAGCAAATTTCACAACCCCACCATTTAACTTTCAGACTGAAGCAGAGAGAAAGCCATTAAGATCCCTTATTCCTGTATGTTAAGTCTCCAAAATTAACAAGAAGCTGTCAGCTGTATTGGTGTTTATTGTGCACAATATTTTTAATGCAAAAACAGGAAAGCAATGCTTATATGCCTGCTACGTTATACAGTTGGTTCCAGCAGTAATATCTGAGATTTTATAGAATTCAGAATATGTTATGCAGTGATTGAAATACTGAAGACATCTACACCAGAAATGGGCAAACTTAGGCCCTCCAGGTGTTTTGGACTTCAACTCCCACTGGTTGTTAAGAATTGTGGGAGCTGAAGTCCAAAATACCTGAAGGGCCTAAGTTTGCCCATGCATGATCAATACTGTAGAACAAATGCAGTTTGATACCACTTTAACTGCCATGGTTCAATGCTATGGAATCATGGAAGTTGAAGTTTTACAACATCTGCCAAAGCATGCTGGTTTCTCATCAAACTATAGCTCCCATGATTTCACAGCATTGGACCAAGGCAGTTAAAGTGGTGTCAAACTGCATGTGTAGATACATTTAGGAAGAAACCAGTATTAGAATCCGCAGATTTTATGCACTGTGGCATGCCTCTGCAGCATGCTTTAAGATTGTCAGATGTTGTAATTAAAAGACAGACTCAACCCACTACTTTGCATTTCTCTATTTGGTTGTTGCTGTGGTGAGAAATATGGCCTGTGGCTAGGGATATTTACATTACAATTATTCTTATCCACAGTGAATGAAATATTGGTGTCAGGAAATGTTAGATACAAAATACAGACGGGCTAAAAAATGATGGCTATGTCTTTCAGTGATTTTATAGGAAATTTCTGAGAACTGACTCCAAAAGGCTCTGGTGTGAACTATATCCAGTATTCTATCAGATAATGGGAAAAGATCTGTTGCAGAAATGATTCAATACTTGGGTTGCTGTGAGTTTTTTGGGCTATATGGCCATGTTCTCTCCTGTGGCTGGTATCCTCAAAGGTTTGTTCAGAGGTCTGTTGGAAATGAGGCAAGTGGAGTGTAGATATGTGTGTAATGATCTGTGGAATAAACTATTTGCTTAAAAACATGCACCAGCCATATTTATTGCCATTTTATTGGCGATAAGAAAATACTGGAATTTCATAGAATCATAGAGCTGGAAGAGACCTCATTGGCCATCCAGTTCAACCCCCTGCCAAGAAGCAGGAATATTGCATTCAAAGCACTCCTGACAGATGGCCATCCAGCCTCTGTTTAAAAGCTTCCAAAGAAGGAGCCTCCACCACACTCCGGGGCAGACAGTTCCACTGCTGAACGGCTGTCACAGTCAGGAAGTTCTTCCTAATGTTCGGATGGAATCTCCTTTCTTGTAGTTTGAAGCCATTGTTCCGTGTCCTAGTCTCCAGAGAAGCAGAAAACAAGCTTGCTCCCTCCTCCCTGTGACTTCCTCTCACATATTTATACATGGCTATCATGTCTCCTCTCAACCTCGTGGTTATCTATCCAATTCCAGAATCTAAGGATTAATCTAATCCAGGTATGGGCAAACTTCGGCCCTCCAGGTGTTTTCGACTTCAACTCCCATAATTCCTGTTACAGTAAGTTGCAGCAGGATCGTATGTGTGTTAAAGAAAAACCTTATGATGGTAATAATTATGTGCAGCTGGTAATGTGGGTCAGCCAGCATGTTTGGGCCGTACCCGGTGGGGTATAACTGTATGGATTTTAAAATACAGTTCAGCTTTTGCTTTGAAGAGCTCTAAGCTCAAATGCTTTGCTCTGGGGAGCGGTTTGGAGAAGCTACTCTGAAGGAGGCTATGGTGGAGTAAATAGATATTTACTCAAGGTTTATGTTTTGCTTCCTCATTTGATTGAAGATGAAGATGCCTTATTCTGTGTTACTTACAAGGACTATGTAAGTTTGTTGCACTGTTTGATTTTTGTATGCAACACTGTAAGTTTATGTTTCATTTCTGCTAATAAAGAGTAACGTTTTTCCTCTTGCCTGTGTGTCTTTTGCATGGGACGTGGCTAGAATCCGCTTGCTGTGCAACAATTCCTAACAGCTGGTGGGCTGTTATGAATTGTGGAAGTTGAAGTCCAAAAAACACTTGGAGGGCCCAAGTTTGCCCAGCCTGATCTACACTGTAGAATTAATGCAGTTTTACACTACTTTGATGGCTCAATGCCATTGAATCATGGAAGTTGTAGTTTGATGAGGTCTTGATGAGGACACTTTGTCAGAGGAGACTTACTAAAACTTACTTAGACGATCCCTCGTTGGACGAGTAGGATAGTCTTCCATGATCAGTATTTTTGTGGATCTGTAGGTGGCCGTGGAGCCCTATTCTTGACCTGCATCTTCTCCCACAGTGAGGGCATTGGTTTCCAGGTGGAAGGCGGTCTCGGTCGGGGTTGGCTTGACACACCTTCCTCCTGGCATGTTTCTCTCTTTCACCCTCCATTAGTGCTCTTCAAATTCTGCAGCACTGCTGGTCACAGCTGACCTCCAGCTGGAGCACTCAAGGGCCAGGGCTTCCCAGTTCTCAGTGCCTATGCCAGAGATTTTAAGGTTGGCTTTGAGCTCATCTTTAGTAAAACTACAACTCCCATGACTCTATAGAATTGAGCCACAGCAGTTAAAGCGGTGTCAAAATGCACTCATTCTACAGTGTAGTAGATGCACCCGGAGAAAGTGCTATTTGTGAGATAGTGAGTCCAATACCTTGGCTAGCGCGGCACACATCTTCCGCACCCTGCTTTTGTTTCGCTTCTGTCCCGCTGGAGGTTAAAGTTCGTTCCCTTTTATAACTTGACCCTGGCTGTGTTTCGAGGTCGCTTTGAGGCAGCCAATTCCCGAAGACAGACTTTCCTTAGAAGGAGGTAACTGGAAGTAATTGGAAGCCTGGGAATTGTAGTTTCGGCTCTGCATAGGCCAACTTCGGCCCTCCGGGTGTTTTGGACTTCAACTCCCACAATTCCTAACAGCCGGTAGGCTGTTAGGAATTGTGGGAGATGAAGTCCAAAACACCCGGAGGGCCGAAGTTGGCTGTTAAAGAGACACTTCTGGAGGACTGCATTTCCCACAATTCCCGGCGGCGCTTCTCAGTCACGTGGTTTATGTAGCGCCCACGACGATTGGCTGAAGAGGCCTCCACTTCCCGTGGTGCACCGCGCGGGCGCCGGCCTGCTCCTCAGGGCGCGGATGCCGGCGGCGGCGAAGGAGAGCTGCCCGGCCGCGCTGGGCCTGAGGCCGCGGAGGACGCTCAGGCTGGCGAGCGGCCGCCCCGCGTTGCCCTCTCCCGCCCCGCGGAGCCCTGCCGGCTGGTTCTGGAGCCCGCTCGGCCTCGTCATGTCGCTCAGCTTCGCCACCCGCTTTTACCGTCTGAGGGAGCCGCCGCACATCTGGTATGGATTGATGGGGACGGGGTTGCCATGGCGACGGGGGGGGCGGGGCTTAGCTGGGACGGCAAGATGAGGAGACAGGCTTCACAGGCATGAGCCAACTTCGGCCCCCGCTTGCTGAGGAACACCTCAGCAAGCGAGAGTCCAAAAGTGGCAGGCTCAAACCCAGAACCTCAACCAATGGCTGATACCAAATGAGAGACTTCAACTCCCACACTGTTAGGAATTGTGGGAGTTAAAGTCCAAAACATCTGGAAGGCCGAAGTTGGCCCATGCCTAGTCTTCCCTATTTCGGATTTTTAAAATAGATTTTTATTTATTTCCGATAAAAAAATCGGAAATAAATAAAAAAATTATTTATTTCCGATGGCCGTGCACTGCCTGAATATCATGCAAAAAGTGGGTGCCAGAAACAATATCATACGAAAGCTGACTGGCACAACCTGGGGATCACAATCAGATACAGTGAAGACATCTGCCCTTGCGCTGTGCTACTCTGCTGCTGAGTATGCATGCCCAGTGTGGAACACATCTCACCACACTAAAACAGTGGATGTGACTCTTAATGAGACATCGCATGTCGTGGATTCCACTTTGTGGCCCCATTTCTCAAGGTTGGCTCTGCATCTCGTGGTGCCAGAGCGCAGTCTGTTCAGCGCCTTCCAAGTCGCCCAGTCCTCTGTGTGCCCAGGGGGGAGTCTCTCATTTGGTATCAGCCATTGGTTGAGGTTCTGGGTTTGAGCCTGCCACTTTTGGAGTCTCGCTTGCTGAGGTGTTCCAGCAAGTGTCTCTGTAGATCTTAGAAAACTATTTCTAGATTTAAGTTATTGACGTGCTGGCTGATACCCAAACAGGGGATGAGCTGGAGATGTCTCTGCCTTGGTCCTTTCACTATTGGCTGCTACTTCCTGGCGGATGTCAGGTGATGCAAATAAATAATAATAAATAATAAAACAATAAATAGAACATTAATTAAAACAATGAAAACAGTATTAACAGCCATATCACCATTTCAGTCAAATTCCATATCCAAAGTGCTATTTATGCCTGCTGTCCAAAAGCCTGGTCCCAGAACCACGACTTCAACTTCTTCTTAAAAAGACAAGAGGGATGAAGCTGAGCTTACCTTAGTGGGAAGCGAGTTCCACAACCGAGAAGGCCCTGTCCCTTGTCCCCACCAGACATATTTGCGACGCTGGCGGGAGCAAGAGCAGGGCCTCCCCGGATGATCTTAAACTGCGAGGCAAGACGTAGAGGGAGATGTGTTTGGACAAGTAAGCTGCGCCAGAACAGTATAGGGTTTTAAAGGTCAAAACCAGCACTTTGAATTGAGTTTGGAAGTGGATCGGCAGCCAGTGGAGCTGACACAACAAGGAGGTGGTGTGCTCCCTGTATGTCGCAGTTAGTAATCTGGCTGCAGCCCGTTGGACTAGTTCTAATTTCCGAACAGTCTTCAAAGGCAACCCCACATAGAGCGCGTTGCAGTAATCTGTTCGGGATGTAACAAGAGCATGGACCGCCATAGCCAGATCAGACATCCCAAGGTATGGACGCAGCTGGCGCACAAGCTTTAACTGTGCAGAAGCTCCCCTGGCTACCGCCGAAACCTGGGGTTCCAGGCTCAGCGATGAATCCAGGATCACTTCCAAGCTGCGAACCTGCATCTGCGATTTTGGAATACTTGTTTAATACATTCATAACACTATGTGACAAAAATTGAAAAATGTTCTGTTCCAGTTTTGGTATTTCCTGTTTAGTTGTGCGGCACTTATTTTGAAAGTAGTTGTTTTGCCATACTGTTGTCAATGGCTTTTGTGGCCAGAATCAATGGATTGCTGTGACTTTTCCGGGCTGTATGGCCATGTTCCAGAAGCATCCTTTCCTGATGTTTCGCCCACCTCTATGGTAGGCATCCTCAGAGGTTGTGAGATCTTTTGGAAACTATGCAAGCGGGGTTTATATATCTGTGGAATGTCCAGGTTTGGAGAAAGAACTCTTGCCTGTTTGAGGCAGGCGTGAATGTTGCAAATGGTCAGCTTGATTAGCAGCAGCATGGAAGACTCACAACAACCCAGTTGTCCTACTCCAGAAACTTTGTTTTTTTGGCTGCCACAAACTATGCTGGATTAGTTGAGACTCAATGAGATACTCATTGAAAAAATACAGTAAAATGGGCTACAGGATGTCCCGCAAAAACAAAACTTTTGCAGTTCTGATGTTTAACGATAGAACCAACTAGGAAATGACACTTATGAACCAGGAATAAAAAACTTGTTACATAGTGTCATGAGATACCTTGGAGGTGGGACCCTAATTTAAACATGAAATAAATGTGTATGTTTCATATACATCTTTTACATATAGCTTGAAGGTAATTTTATATGTTTTTATTTTTAGTTGGGATGAAACACATTTTGGAAAGATGGGAAGTTACTACATTAACCAGACCTTTTTCTTTGATGTCCATCCACCTCTTGGAAAGGTAAACTGCTGTCATTCAGTTTTCAATGCTTCAGAACTCAGTCAAGTTACTTGGCTATAAATCATTCTCATGCCATCTATGCCAGGTGTCATGAGCAATCCATTCTAGCGTCTAGCCATATTTTAAAGATCTTTCTGAATCCTAACTCAGGTTATCTGTGCTGGTAGATCAGTTGTCCTTTAGCCTTTGATTTAACATAAGAAACACTCCATTGTGCAGCAGAAAGATCTATCTGACCCAATCTTCCTATTCTTGACTGGTCAGATATTTATAAAAATTGTAAGGAGATCCATGATAATGGTAATAGCGATATCCCCTTTTTGTTGTCTGCTGTCTGATAACTAAAGTTATATTACTTCTAAAAATAGAAATTTCATTTCTCACAGCAAATGTTGGACCTATCCTTTCTAAACATATCTAATTACCTATCCAAATTATAACAGCCTCAATTTAATCATCCATATAGTCATATACATATTCTAAGGTTATTCTGTACCAATTGCACCTCTAGTGGAACAGTTATGGTAGAGCTACATTTACTTTTGCCACTGTGATGGCTTGTTTGATTATTGTAATTGGCACTATCTTTGAAACTGTAGTTGTTGCAAACAGCCCAACAGTTTTCTGACTGGTGCTAGGTAGTGTGATCACCCGGGATGATGAAGTTTTCTAGATGAAGTTTCTAGGATTTTAAATTGACTCTATCCCCCCCCCCCCTTTTTTCAGATCACCTGTTATTAGAGATAAGATTGAGACTACTGGAGATGAAATTGTATCAGATGTAGGATTGAGTAACTTTCCTCAAAAATATTTGCTTAGTGTTTAGTAAGTTTTCACGGGGTAAAAATGTTCGAAATAAATAATAAATAAATAAATATTGCTAGTCAACAGTTCTGAGATATGTCGGGATGCCATTGGAAGATGGGACTCCCAGGTCGGAAGATGGCCAAAATGCTACTGGGGAGGAGCAGAGGATAAGTTCAACTAGCCCCAGATGTGATGACGCAGCTAGCTCAAAGCCAAAAGGAAATCTAGCGGCCGACGGTACTGGAGGTGAACGACGAATCCGATGCTCTAAAGATCAACACACCATAGGAACCTGGAATGAGGCTATAATGGAGAAAGGCAGGGAGTTTCAGAAAAACATCTACTTCTGCTTCATTGACTACTCTAAAGCCTTTGACTGTGTGGATCATAATAAACTGTGGCAAGTCCTTGGTGGGATGGGCATCCCAAGCCCCCTTCCCTCTCTCCTGAGGAATCTGTACAAGGACCAAGTAGCAACAGTCAGAACTGACCACGGAACAACAGACTGGTTCAAGATTGGGAAAGGCGTACGGCAAGGCTGCATCCTCTCACCCAACCTTTTTAACTTGTATGCAGAACACATCATGCGATGTGCGCGGCTTGATGAATGCAAAGCTGGGGTGAAAATTGCTGGAAGAAACATTAACAACCTCAGATATGCAGATGGCACCACTCTGATGGCCGAAAGTGAGGAGGAGCTGAGGAGCCTTCTAATCAAGGTGAAAGAAGAAAGCAAAAGCTGGGTTGCAGCTAAACATAAAAAAAAACCAAGATTATGGCAACAAGAATGATTGATAACTGGAAATAGAGGGAGAAAACGTGGCGGCAGTGACAGACTTTGTATTTCTAGGTGCAAAGATTCTGCAGATGCAGACTGTAGCCAGGATATCAGAAGACGCTTACTTCTTGGGAGGAGAGCAATGTCCAATCTCGATAAAATAGTAAAGAGTAGAGACATCATACTGGCAACAAAGATCCGCCTAGTCAAAGCCATGGTATTCCCTGTAGTAACCTACGGATGTGAGAGCTGGACCTTAGGGAAGGCTGATCGAAGGAAGATCGATGCTTTTGAGCTGTGGTGCTGGAGGAAAGTTCTGAGAGTGCCTTGGACTGCGAGAAGATCCAACCAGTCCATCCTCCAGGAAATAAAGCCTGACTGCTCATTGGAGGGAAGGATACTAGAGACAAAGTTGAAGTACTTTGGCCACATCATGAGGAGACAGCAAAGCCTAGAGAAGACAATTATGCTGGGGAAAGTGGAAGGTAAAAGGAAGAGGGGCCGACCAAGGGCAAGATGGATGGATGGCATCCTTGAAGTGACTGGACTGACCTTGAAGGAGCTGCGGGTGGTGACGGCCGACAGGGAGCTCTGGTGTGGGCTGGTCCATGACGTCACGAAGAGTCGGAGACGACTGAACGAATGAACAACAACAACAGTTCTGATTTGAAGCAAACATCTCTCCTTCTCCCACACTTCACCTTTGAGTTTACCTAGTTTGAAATTGGAGTTGCACATCATCTTTATCAATATTTGTCACTGTGGATGTCTTCTGGGCTATGTTGTAGCACCCAATTTTACATTTGGAAATGCAGTAGTTTTTCTCAGCTCTTGCCCAACTCAGGGCTAGATGTTTGTTTGACTGTCATCTCCTGTATCAATGTGCCTTTTCACTGAGAGTTTCATCTGAGTTCTTTCTCCTAAATGTCACTGTCATGACATGCATGGCAAGGATGACCAGGGAAAGAGTTTGTTTTGTGGTGCTTTCTTGCAACTGCAGTGGTCTCATAAGAGGAGAATTCTCTGTTGCCTACATTTTATTATGTAAATTTGTTATTTTGTGCCATCAAGTTGTTTCTGAATTATGGCAACTCTAAAGTGAACCTATAATGATTTTCTCGTGGCATGATTTGTTCAGAGGGAGCTTCCTCTGAGAGGATGCAATTTTTCAAAGGGCAGTCAATTTGTTCCCATGGCCAAACAGACCCTGGTCTCTAGAATTATAGTCCAGTGCTCAAACTACTGTACCACACTGGCTCTCATTATATAAATACCAGGCGGGCATAATTGTTTTCATGATCTTTTAGTCCTAAGTCTAGAATATGTATTTTACAGTACTGTTTTGACCAGTTAAATTCATTGCTTTCTGGTTCACTAAACCTGACTACCTTCTTTCTTCTTTCTCTAGATGTTGATAGGACTTGCTGGCTACCTGAGTGGCTATGATGGAACATTTCCTTTCCAAAAACCAGGGGACAAATATGAACAACATAACTACATAGGAATGAGAGGGGTATGACATTTTAACTTCTGTAAAAAGTCAGGATTCCTATCCAGAGAAGAATATTGGACTGAATTTAAAACTTGTAAAAACTTCTCCCTTATGTCCTGTGCTTTGTGACTCTGGGAATTTTATGAGCAGAACCCTGCTGTACCATTAAGGGGCAGAAATGCTAAAGCAACCCAACAAAGTTTTCAGAACACATTTTGATTATTTGGAATATGACATGCCTACTATCCTATAGGGCATACCTGTATCAGCAAGTAGAGTCTCTTCCACATGCCCCTCAAAATATTACTACCACAGTTTTGATTTGTAAACAATTAGAGTATTAATAGTACATTAATAGGCTGTGTTGGGAATAAGAAAATGGAGCTAAGAAAGGAAATTCAGTGTCAGAAGAGCCAGGAAATGTAAAGATAAGGAAAGAAAAAAGAATCTTACAGAAAGATGCAAATGAACTTGGAGCCATTGTGGTTGAAGGGGAAAAAATCCAAATCTCTATGTAAAGGTCTTGAGACCAAGCCAAAAGAATATATCTGGAATTCCATTCATTAATTTATTAGATTTGTCAGTTGGACAGTGGAACATCTACATCTACATGCTTGAATTTATTTCTGTTCAGTTTGCAGAATGTGCTTTCTGTAGAAGTTAGTTGAGTGGGTGTGAGATTAATCAGATGTGTGACTTCTGTCAATTTTTTTTTGTAAGAACAACTTTTTTGTCTTTTGTGTGGAAATGCTTTTTAACTAACGTAACCTACTGTTATGACAGTGTAGAACGTAAAATGATTATATAGGATACATATTTTTTTCATTGCCTTGTAAAAAAGAGTTTCTTTTTTCTTTATCAGTTCTGTGCATTCCTTGGTTCATGCCTGATTCCCTTCTGTTACCTCACAGTTCTGGAGCTGTCTAAATCATTGCATGCAGCAATGCTCACAGCTGCCTTCCTGATCTTTGGTAAGCAACTTCTTTGTGTGATAGCTCTCTTCTTTTCTAAAAGAAATAAAGATTTTTAAAGGAACTGGTCTTGAGGGAAGGTTAGTTGTCAATTATACTAAATTCTATGTGTTTTATTTCATATATTGCTTTGGATCTTTACCTATGATCAGATTACTTGGTCACATCTGGATTCACAGAGAGAACTAGGGCAAATTTGAAAAGTTCTGTCTTGAGAACTTTTCATTGGTGATCACTTGACAAATACCTTCCCCAGAGGATTTCACTTATCACGAAGTATAAGTTGAACTTATGTGCAAGGTTTTGATGACAGGTTTTAGCGCCAAAATTATGGATTTAGATGTGATCCATGAACAAGTCGATGGTCATTTTGTGGAAAAGGAGAAGAGTCCAAGCTGCTCTGGGGCAGAGGCAGCTGCTCTTTGTCATCTCCAGGCCTTTCCACATGTAAGCCAGAGGAGAATCAGGCGACAGAGTAACATTTTGTGAGTTTTGTATTTCTGATTTTAATTTTTTTTTAAACATTGCTTGGGTAACATATTCTTAATGCTTAATATAAAGCTATTTTAAAATAAATATAAAGCACATCAGCAGTATGGGTTTTATCCTGCCAGTTCATGGACATCTTAGCTGGGACTGAAGGCCATTTCACCAAATATTCTTTTTTTGTTTGTCATATATTCATTGTAGAGGTAGGGAAAGAAAGTGGTTGTAAAAATTTAAGTAGAGTCTGAAATATTTGGAAATATGGCCCTAGAAAAATTGAGCACAGAACATCTGTGTTCAAGTGTAGAAGGAAAGGAGCGGTTCTTAGATAAGCTGAAGCAGTGACAAATAGCAAAAATGTCTTAGGTTTTAGAGCAGGGGTCCTCAGACGTTTTAAACAGAGGGCCAGGTCACAGTCCCTCAAACTGTTAGACAGCCGGATTATAATTTAAAAAAAAAAACATGAATGAATTCCTATGCACACTGTACATCTCTTATTTGTAGTGCAAAAAACACTTTAAAACAATACAATAATTAAAATGAAGAACAATTTTAACAAATATAAGCTGATTAGTATTTCAATGGGAAGTGTGGGTCTGCTTTTGGCTGATGAGATAGGATTGTTGTTGTTGTTGTTGTTGTTGTTGTGTGCTTTCAAGTCGTTTCAGACTTAGGTTGACCATGAGTGAGGGCCGGGTAAATGACCTTGGAGGGCTGTATCTGGCCCCCAGGCCTTAGTTTGAGGACCCCTGTTTTAGAAAGAAGAGCATGGGTAACTGTTTATTTCATTACATGCCTAGGTAATAGTCTCTGTGATAAGTGAATGATATCACTAAGAATGAAAAAAACTGTGTTTAGTGGGATGCAATTTAGGTGGAATAACTGTAGGTGCTTTTGAATTTAAATTTCAGAATGGAAACAATGAGGAAATGCTGATATTTGTAGAAGGCACTGTATCTGAAATGAATAATACCTGAAACTGCACATTTTGGTTGCAGTTTATAAACAATGCATTCACCTCTGTCATCTTATGCAAGCAATATCATAGGCGTCTTCTACGAAATCATTGACATAAGAAGGGGCTTACTTTGGGAACAACTGAGGCTTCAGTGTCAGAATTTACTTTGGTGGAATGTGACAAGTACCTAGCTCTTTAGAGTCACAGTGGACTCTATGAACATTCTGTTCTGATGTAGTTTGTCTTTCTGTTATACTCAAAAAGATTTACATCTGGATTCACAGAGATAACTTTTGGAAGCACTATAATGTTTTCTCTTTTGAATTGAATAATTTTGAAGTAGCCTTTGTTCTACTCTTAAATAGTGTTATGCTTGATAATTGCTGAAGGTCAGAGCTGGTAATTTCTAGAACAGCAGCTCATGCAGTCTTTTCTTATTTTTCAGACACAGGGTTCATCACTCTCTCTCAATACATTCTGCTTGACCCCATTCTGATGTTCTTCCTCATGGGAGCTGTTCTCAGTATGGTCAAGTATAATTCCTGTGCAAACAGGTAAGGTATCAGCAATTGACTGTCTCATGGTTTGAACATGTGGCCCTTGACTCCTTTTTGAGAATATTTTTGTCTGAATGAGCACTCAAGGCAAATTCTATCATAAAACAATGAAGAAAGCATTGAAATCTATCATCAAAACCAACAGAATAAAGTGTTCCCTTGCTGTTTCACGGTTTGCTTTCTATGGACTCGCTGTTTTGCTTTTAGGGGGTTGAATTAATATATTTTTTATGTTTATTTTGTGGTTTAAAAATCAGGGTCATTGCGGCAGTGGGCACCTCTGCAGGGCTCCGTGGCCCTGGCACTCCTATAAAGGCTGCTGGGGCCACGGAGCTCTGCAGAGTCTCAGCCCTGCGGAGCCCCAGGGCAGCCCTACAAAGTCTGCTGGGGCGAGGTGAGGAAGCCGCCCCTGGCCAATCTGGCAATCTGGGGGGGGGGGGGCTGCCGCTGGTCAGCCAGCCAGCCAAGTGGTAGGACACTTCCTGTCGTACAGGGGGCTTCTGGGAAGAAGAAGCCCCCTGCAAGCAGCATGGCCGGCGGAAGGGCACTCACCGCCGCAACGGCCCTTGCCCGGTAAGTCGGGCAAGGCATTTCTGATTTTAAAACCACAAAATGTATAAAAAATATTCATTATCGCAGGTGGTCCTGGAACGTAACACCAGCGATAAATGAGGGAACACTGTACACATAATTGGCAGTATGTGAAACCGATACCAAAAGGGCAGTTATAATAAGCAATAGAATACATTGCTCTCCAAACACATTTTATTTAAATTGTGGCAACTACCCAATCGTATGAGCAATAGACATTTATAGGCGTGGGGAGGCAGCTGCTTCTGACAGCATTAGTGAATTGTTCCACTCCCCCCATCTAGGAGGGCACTTTTGCATAGGATTCATACTATGTGCATTGCCCCTACTTTTTTGCATCATCCATGTGATCTTTATTTAAAGAAGCACTGACTACTAAAAGCAGTTTGTACTTCTTTACATAGAGCTCACACAACAGATGTTTGACAGGACAAGGAAAGTCAGGGCTGCAAAAATTGTGACAGCAACAATGCTTTTACTTTTCAGCTAGCTGGAGAGTTTAGGCCACCATTATTTCAGGTGTTAATCTATCCTTTCTGCAGACTTGGAGTTGCAGAACACTTCTTTATCTCTATTATTATTATTATTATTATTATTATTATTATTATTATTATTATGTTTATTTATATCCTGCTTTTTCTCTCCATACGGAGACTCAAAGCAGCTCACAACTAAAAGCATTGCAATACAGCTTAAAATATACAAATATACAAGTATTAAAACAGTATTAAACATCATTAAGATCACATTTTATTAATGGTTATATGTGAAATGGATGAAGACTACAAAGGCTTGATCCTCTCTGCTTTAGCCTAACATATGGACCTTTTGGCCAAAGTGGAAAAAATAATTCTAGGTGTTCCTCTCTAAATATCTGAATGGATAGCCTTGTGGAAGGCTCTTCTAGGCCCCAGTTTTCTTCTTTTTGAGTCATTGATAGTTGTTCTTTAAGGTTTATGCATATTCTTATGTCCAAAAGTGTAGCTCCCGGTGGCGCAGTGAGTTAAACACGGGCTGACTAAAAGGTTGGTGCTTTGAATTCAGGGAACAGGGTGAGCTCCTGTCTGACAGTTCCAGTTTCTCATGTGGAGACATGGGAGAAGCCTCCCACAGGATGGTAGAACATCTGGGTGTCCCCTGGGCAACATCTTTGCATACGGCCAATTCTCTCACACCAGAAGCAACTTGCCGTTTCTCAAGTCACTCCTGACACAAAAAAAGCCCAAAAGTAATTGTTAGTAACTTGGTCTTTAATTGAAGTGTAGTCTGTTGCCAGAGTGTTTTGTTTCTTCATCAGAGATGTCTTAGGTATAGAATACAGGATGCCTTGGATTTGTTTGATGCAGCTTTGTTCAAAGTTTATGATTGCTTTAGGACTGTGATTCTCAACCTGTGGGTCCCCAGGTGTTTTGGCCTACAACACCCAGAAAGGCCAGCCAGTTTACCAGCTGTTAGAATTTCTGTGAGTTGAAGGCCAAACCATCTGGGGACCTACAGGTTGAGAACCATTGCTTTAGGGCATTTTAAAACATCTTTTACAGGTCATTTTCTGCCCCCTGGTGGTTCTGGCTTGCAATGACTGGAATAAACCTTGCAGGTGCAATGGGAGTGAAATTTGTTGGCCTTTTTGTAGTTCTCTTGGTTGGACTGAACACTATCAGTGATCTTTGGGAGTTGCTGGGAGACCTCAATTTGTCATTGGTAAGTGTCTGAAATTCTAGTCCTTAAGTGTTTCCAAGAACAAAAGATTACTAAAACATTCCATCTGCTTCAGCCAGTGGTTACTTTATTTGAACCTGAAAACGAGTATGGTAGTGAATAATATGCATCTCAAAGTGGTTTGCCTGACTGTGTAATGTCCCTATCTACAATACATATTTATAGGTGCTAAAGTTCACAGACGGACACAGTTGCCCTGGGTAATTTTTTTTTCCATTTCTCCATGGATATACAACATGTATTTATTTTTAATTTTGCTATTTTAATGTTTTAGTCTAACATGGAATATGATGTTTTTAATGATTGTTTGTAATATTGTTGTTGGAAACCGACCTGAGTCCCTCGATGGAGGTGAGAAGACCAGTATACAAAACTTCTAAATAATAAATAAATAAATAAAATTAATGTAGCCTTTGCTGCTGAAATTATGAGGAAGGGTGTTTTGAATGTCATTGCCTGTACTTTTATATTTTAATAATGTTTTAAACTGTTTTAGTTTTAAAATAGCCATGCTGTATAGTTACTTTCTTTTTTATTTTTGTAAATTTTAGCTGGACATTTTACATTTTTGTAAGATGCTTTGAGTCCTTTGTTGGGAGAAAGGGAGTATAACATAAATTAAGAAATGTATGCCATTGTCAGCTGAGTTGCTTGATATTAATCCTATACAATGGATATTATGAGTAGTTTTTGTATGACTGCACACTACTGGTTAGAGGCATTTCTCTCATCTAATGTCACATGACCTACAGTTGTATTGATGTCTTAGTTATATAACTATATGGCTAGAAGGCTTCAAATTGGATTTTGACACAGAATGCATAATTTAATAGATTACAGCTGTGTTTGAAAAGATTGATCTATTTTTAAAAAATGAATAAAACTGCAATTCAAAGGATCCACCCTTGGTACATCAAATAACTTGTCAGGGTAGCTGTTGACTGTAACGGTCTTACATTTTTCTACTCTTTATTTAGGTGACACCAATACAATTCATGCTGATCTTGGCAGTAAAGTTCTTGAATACATACCTCATTAACAGTAAAGAAAAAGGCTTTATAGCCAGATATAATGATCATTCTTCAAACCAGTGGCTGACTTCTCAGTCTATTCGAAATTTCAGAATTCAGTGTATTCCACATACCGTTTCTATTTCTTTTCTATTTGATAAACATACCTTTCTTCTTTCTGTTATGTAATTTGTTATTCGTTATTAAAGCAAGTATAGTGGCAATGTGTAGAGTGCCGGCTTCTGCAAAAGAGTGCTTTCAATGTGGAGTCAGTAAATTGCATTGTAAATATGGAACATCCATTTTCCTTAAACTTCTTGCCAAAGGATGGCTACAAAATAATTTCAGTTGCACTATTGCCAGCAGAATTGTTTTCATCTTCAAATATGAAATGAAACATATAAAGTATTAATCCAGAAGAGGCATTGGTAGAATAACTTGTTTCACTGAAGAAGAAAAACTAAATGGAATGTGTTCTATTTTGCATATTATCTCCTTTCTACAAGATAGTCAATATTTTGGCTTTTTCCTCAAGTCTTCATTTGTTTTGGGTGAGAACACTGGGAGAATGTTTACAATAAAAACAGTTTCAAAGATTTGAAAGTTGAATGCAGACAGGATAGGCATAGACTTTTTGTAAATCTTACTGAACAAACCTTTTACACAGTGGTCCATTGCACAAGCAGTTCAACATTTTCTTTGCTCATTTAAAGAGATATTCATGATTTCTTTGTGAGGAACAGCAGCCCCAAAATCAATGGCATTCACATGTCAGTGCCAAGGATCAAGCTGCATACTACCAAGCAGTAGCAAGGACTTCTAAAATCTACTTCTTTATTCAATGCTTGACTCATTTAGGTCATTGGATCCCAAGTGCTATGGGAGGGATAGCTTGAAAAACGGCATTAAACATGGTCAGATTATTTACTAAGGCCCTTTGTGTCTTGGCTCCAAGGGCCCCCCAGAGCAGATACAGAAGAAACAGAAAGAGGCAGCCTCCATTGGAAAGTGCATGCCAGGCAATCCAATAGAGCAGCAGTATCAGAATATTGCCTTACAAACAATATAGGGTTAAACACACTGCATTGTATCTTAGGTTAAGAGATCATGGAGGTGAAAGCCTAATCCATTTGGTAGTTGCAATTGGATTAGATTAATTAAAACAGTGAGAATTCATTAAATTAGGATTTATGTAATTTTCAATGATTCACTCGATCCTCTGTTTGGGATTAGCATCTGGATTTAGGCTACTGTCACTGATTCCAACCTGAAAAATGTTGCAGTTATCGTCAATGTTTGTTAAATATTGCTTGTCTTCTCATATTTGTTGTATTCTCATGTGACATTATAGTGAGCCACTTGGGCATAGAAAGACAATTTATAAGAAAATAGGTGATGATCCAGAAAGATTTTGTTTTGACTTCCTTTGTTTGACTGTTGTTTCATCTTGCTTAAACATTTAAGCAATGAGTATGTGTTCTTTATGCTTTTTTGGGGGTAAAGTATGTACTCTGGCCATTCTTATAAAGTATTTATTTAGCTAAAACAATCCTTAGAAGTTGCTGCTACTGTTCTGAATTGTTTGCTGCAGGTCACTCTGGGGAAGCACTTTCTGGCACGTGTATTCTGCCTCATTCTGCTGCCACTTGCCCTCTACACAGCTCTGTTTGCTGTTCATTTTGCAGTCTTAAATAGAAGGTATTTCTTTCCACTTCCCTCTCAAAAAGAGATATGCATTTGGGCAATTATTATACCTTGATGTTTAACTGACAAACCAAAATATACTTAAGAAGGCTAATTGCAGCTTAGGGCCTTGTTTGGGTGCCTATGATGGGCTCTTAGCCAGTCAGTTCTAATTGCCAACTTGGGTTTGAGGTATTTGTAACTCATGATTATTCCTACCTATGTAATTGAGTTGTATTTCAAAGATGAAAGCACATTAGCAGCTATGAACCATGGCATAGTTTGGTGTGGTAGCTAAATAGAGCCATATATTTCATCATTGATCTGTTTAGGCAAGGTAAACAAATCAAAGCAGTAGCCCAATTTATGGACACTATTTCTATCAGCAGTAGCCAGTCTGGTGTAAGGACTTGGGCATTAGACTGCAACACTGGTGATTTGTCTTGAATCCCTGATAAGTCATCAAAACTCATTGGGTAACTTTAGGTAAGTCACACACCCTCAGCCTCAGAGAAAGGCAAAGTCCTTCTGAACAAATTTGTATTGTCAAGAAAATACAGTGAGAGGGTTGCCTTGGGACTCCCGAAAGTCAGAAATGACTTAAAGGTGCATTGCCACAACCACACTAACATCACTAGCATCACCATAGTTTCAAGTAACTGTTTTAGCCAGTTTAGGGACATTATTTCCAGAAGCTCTGTTAAAGCAGCCACTTTTATACGAATTGCTTATGATTTATGTAGTATTCTCAGCTATAGCATAGGCCTATGTAATGTTGAAATTTAGCTAGATAGTTCAGGAAAATAACTTTCTCAATTAGGGTTTAATCCTGTAGAAATGAGCAGCCAAGCTTGTATTGTATGTATCTGCATAAGGGATTTCTCAGGAAATTTCAAATGAAAGGCTGGAGGCTTCCTCAGTGCAGTCAAGGCTTATGCCAGGGCTGTTTATTTGTCTTCTGTGTGGATATAAATGATCATTTAGCTGATATAAATCTGAGGGCTGCTAAAGATTGTTTGTGTGCGTCAGTCAAACAGGCCAAATCCTTGTAGCTATTTGAATAAATTGAGCGCATCCTTCCTGTGCGTGAACAAACCAGTGCTATTATGTTTCACCTTATTAAATTAAAACGTTAGACCTCTGCCCATTTGTCTCTATATACTCGTAATTTGCATATATTTTTCTTTTTTTGTCAGTGGACCTGGCGATGGGTTTTTCAGCTCTGGATTTCAGTCTCGGTTGATTGGGAACAATCTTCATAATGTCTCTGTTCCGGAATGTGAGTATCTCGATCCTTGTGGAATAAAAACAATAATGAGGATTATCAGCACATCCTATATCTAAACAAAAGCTCTTCCTTGTATTTAAGAACATCTCTGAGAGTGGAAACATTTTAAAAAGCAAAGCTTTATCACTTTTTGTTCCTTTTAGGAGAGGTTGCTTTTGTTCGTTGATATATTTTGAGCAGGATAGAATGTTTGTAATGTTGATAGAGATGGACTCAGATTTATTTCTAAAATTTTGATCCTTTTCACTTCTGTGTTGAGAGTATGCTGTATAAAACTGTGAAGAAAACATATAGTATGCCTCACACACAAACACATTTGCTAGCTGTAACCATGACACATTGCTGTGGCCAACCTTCCCTCCCTCTTTCTCTCCTTCCTCTCCCTCCCTCCTTCCTTCCTTTCTTTCTCTCCCCTCCCTCCTTCCTTCCTTTCTTTCTCTCCCTCCTTCCTTCCTTTCTTTCTCTCCCTCCTTCCTTCCTCCCTCCCTCCCTTCCCCTCCCTTTTTATTTCTCTCCTTTCTTCCTACTCTACCTATTCTTGGACTGTAACTCCTATTAGTCCTCCTGATTGATCTATCTACCTACTATCTATCACTATCTAATCTATATATCTTATCTTATCTGGCGTATTGCTGGGAGTTGCAGTCCATGAATAGGAAATAGGAAATATTTACAGATTGCTCTCAAAGACATCCAAGGAGAAGCAACCTTACAGCTTAGAAGCAGTGCATTTGGAGCATCCTCCTCCCCTAAAGGGGATGCTGGGAGCTATCATTTTAGCACATGTGTTGTATAATCATTTAGCTTTTGGGGTTTTTTAAGTACTTTCTGCTATATTTTGAGAGGGGTTTATGAGTGATGGTCACTCATTGGCCTGTTAGGGGTGTAGTGTCCAAATTTCGTGTCAACTCGTCCAGTGGTTTTTGAGATATGTTAATCCCACAAACGAACATGACATCTTTATTTATATAGATGTAGCAGGCAACAGAAGATGGGGCCAAAATTGATTAGTTCAAATTATATGTTTTTGTATCATCTTCCTCCAGCAAAGGATCACCGCCTTGTTGTGGCACTGGAGCTACAATTAGTGGAAAATGGGTTTCATTTTTCATGAATCATGGCCACAATTTAGCAGCAGGAGTTTAGCAAGTTTCCAACTTCTTCTATAGTGTAGTAGAGAGAGATACTGTGAGTTTGTTCTCACAAGGCTTTTACTAATAGATGTTCTGCTTGTTGAATTCTTTTCAGCATCTGGTCATATTGAAGTAATGCTTGGTTAGTTAACTAGAGGCAGCTTGGAACTCTTATCTTGTAACATACTTAACAGAGTGCTGAGGAAAGGATCCCTACTGAATTGAGAAAGTAGATATGGGAGTGCAGAGAAGCAGGGTTGATGCTTTGGAGGGAATAGCATGTTTTCACTGCACCTCCCACACTTCAGTCTGTGAGCTGAGGATTTGTGGTCAGAGTGTTTTTTCTGTAGCTGTCTGGTTTCTTCTCACAGCAGGAAGGAAAAACAAATCATAAAAGGAATAAGAGACATGCAATTTGAAATTGTTTCAATCAACAGGGCTATTCAAGGGCAGGTACAGTGTGTGGGTTTCTGGCATTTTTTCCAAGAAGATTTGGCCGCATTTATTAGAACACATGCTGGTGTTATTTCAGTTAGCAAATGTACAGACATGTAATTTCACTAATCTGAACCTAAATAGTGGGCTATTACAAAATGGCTATTCTTTGGATTTTTTCTAGCTTCCTCTCCTTCTTTGAATCTCTACCACACTTTTAGAATTCTGATTTAGAAGTAGTTGTAGTTATTAAATCATGATGGTTTGGTGCAACCATTCAGCACCAGTTTCAGATCACAATGGAATCTTAGTCATAATTAGGATTGACTATCTTATACACAGGGGTTGCCTTTGTGGGCTGGCTTTGTTTACAAGTATACGTTTTTGTTCAGAATGCAGGGTTGTTAGATTATGATGTGGCCTAGCAAAATAAGCTCTTTTAAGCTATTGTTCTCTTCCTTCAGACTTGGCGTATGGCTCTATAGTTACAGTAAAGAACCTTCGTATGGCAGGGGGATATCTTCACTCTCATTGGCATTTGTATCCTGAGGGAGTTGGAGCACGGCAGCAACAGGTTGGTGAACTGTTAGAATGCCATGTTTTGGTGAGGTTCTCATACGTTATTATTATGAGTTGAAAATGGGGAAAACATGTATGTACTTCTTTTGGGGGCATTTATCAGGTGTAGAATATCTTCTGTGTTATATTTTGTGAACATGGGGGTTATTGTGTTGTCTCAGGCTTTCATGACCAGAATCACTGGGTTGATGTGTGTTTTCTGGACTATATGGCCATGTTCCAGAAGGTTTATGTATCTGTGGAAGGTCCAGGGTGGGAGAAAGAACTCTTGTCTGTTGGAGGCAAGTGTGAATGTTGCAATTAATCACCTTGATTAGCATTGTAAAGCCTTGTAGCTTCAAGGCCTGGCTGCTTCCTGCCTGGAGGAATCCTTTGTTGGAAGGTGTTAGCTGTCCCTGATTGTTTAATAGGGGTTATTCGTAGAATCATTCCTAGGAAACATGAAAGATAAAGCCTGTCTGATTTCTGATTGGTTTTAATTTGCCAGATATTTTCCATTTGCAACAACAAATGTTTTGTTTTCACGAATTATTTTCTCACTACTGTAGATACAGGAGGCCCTCCACTTTTACTTAGTTGAGGGGTGCAGAACCCCCACAATAGTGGAAAACACAGTTTAAAAAATCCGAGATAAACCTAGCTAGGAGTTTCTACAGTCTCCAGCATGAATCTTTGACCAGCTTTCAGTAGAAAGTGTTCTTGGAGTCACCCTGAAGGACTTAGAGATTTCTAGAGACAACATACTAATCAAATCTGCAAATAGCCAAATGAGAATATCAGTGGCTGGGGAACAATAGTGGGAAACGGCTATTACACAAATACTGTTAGCAGAGTAAACCTACAACAGTGAAGGTGTGAGATGCTGTTCAAGGAGCAAAGTACCCCATTAGCTAAATTTTAAAGTTATCCTTATTAAGAGAACTCCATTACTGATAGAGAAAAGGAGTTGTTTAGGCCTCCAACTCCCAGAATTCCTGACTATTGAACAAGCTAGCTAGGGCTTCTTGGAGTTGGGGGACCAAACAGTTGGAGAGCCACAGGTTGAGGAGGCCTGCTCTAAAGAAACAAAGAAATGCAACGTTCCAGGGACGGGGCTGAAAACTGAGAAATTGCAGAGAAGCCTAAGAGTATTAGTCTGTGTTACTCATAGTCTATGCAGGACAGATAGGCAAAGAAGAAAAGAGAGATCCAGGGCACTCTAGATTTTCCTATTGATTAATTTTCCCATCACCAAAATGAGGCACTGTTACTTGTGTAGAGCATTGTTGAACTCCAACAAATACAGCTTCCCATAGCTTGTTATAGGATTCTAGTTGGCTCCTGTGGGGAATAGTAGTGGTCTTTGGTTCATACCAATTGCTTTTATGCAATATTGACTGCTGGGGAGGTAGTTCTTATGTATGGCCTCAAGTCCATAAGGTTGACGTTTTGTAAATACAGTATTAAACATTCATTATAACAGCCCATTACTACACTGTAGGGTGAGGAGAAGCAAAAAACACAGTTATCTCTTTAAAACTATGTGTAGATAGTTAATTCTGTATCTTGATTAATTTAAGTATATGAGATGTTAGAAAAAGTGTAGGTTGGGTATCACTTATCTAAAAGGTTTGGGCCAGAAATGTTTTGGATTTCAGTTTTTTTTTTATTTTGCAAAATATATTTGCATAATGAGATAACTTGGAGATGGGACACAAAATTCATTTATGTCTAATATACATCTTGTACACATAGCCTGAAGGTAATTTAATATGTTTTAAATAATTGTGTGTGTACAACAAAATTTGGATTTTGGAGTATTTTAGATAAAGGATGCTCAACTATATTATAAATACTGTTTTGTGGCATACTTATATGTATAGCATGCTAACTTGGAATAGCTACGGTCCAGTAGAAGGCCATCTGCTTTTACCATTTACCTGTGTTCTGCTACGTTTTAATTCTTACTATAATACAGAATTTATTTTACATTGAAAATAAAGGCAGTTCATGTATTTTGTATTCATTAGTGGACTCTGTCTTATTTTTTGTATTAGAAAAATTCAGAGGCTCAAGAGTAGATAAAACTAGGTAAAATTATTGATACTTATTGAATAGTGTAGGAGCATCTTTGTTCCTATAAAGTAGCAATATGTGTGGAGAAGGAAGCTTTATTCTCTGTATCTGAATTCACATCCATTTGAACTATTCAGGATAATGAGAGATCAAACTCAGGTACCCCCCCCCCCCCAAATCAATTCTAGCGCCTTTTGTAGTTTTCTGTGATGCTTCACAGATGAAATCCCTTGAATAAGAGCAGAATTAGATGCTATCATTATAGAAGAAGCTGACAGTGGGGTGTACAGCAACTCTTTGAGAAAGATCATACTGGATCAGTTTCAGGTCATAAGCACTGCAGGTGTGACAAACTGCTAGTATGAGTAAGAAAGACCACCTGTCCTATCAATACCTGTTCATCTAAACTGATCATCCAGGAAAAGAAGCTGTTAGATTTCAGCTGTAGTATATTATTAATGCATCTTTCAGGGTAAGGAACTTTCCATGTTGTTTAAAAGAAGCAGTGGTATGTTCTTCTTTTTTTAAAAAAGCCCTCCCTTTACCTTCTGAATGTATACTTTTTAACTTTATTATTTTTCAATTTGATGCTGTATTTTAATCAGTTTTCCTCATCCTCGATCCACAGAGAGAGATGGGTAAGAAATAAATGATAACATTTGAGATATTCATTATTTCTATATGGAAGAGTTCTTTGGAAAACACCAATATACATTTTTTTGAAACTTATGAAAAACATTTAAAAATAATATAGAGTAGCAACTGTGTTTCAATTCCTTGAGCAGTGTGTGGCATCTTGTTTGTTTTGCTGTTTATTGATTTTGTACAAAGAATGTGTGACTTGCTAATATGTAGACATGAAAATGCTTGAAGAGATGAAGTTCAATGATCCCTGTCTCTTCCTAGGTCACTGCATATTTACACAAGGACTTGAATAACTTATGGATTATGAAGAAACACAATGTAAATACAGGTAAAGTGAAAAAGGGTAATGTAAATTCTGCCATTAATTTGTTCTTTTTTCAAGGAATTCTGTCCCTTTTCCAAGGATATTTATTTAGATACTTGTGTGTCACTGGATACCATATTTTAAGAAGGACATTGACAAGCTGGAATAGGGTCAGAAGGAAAGCAGTCACTATGATGATGGGGATGATGATGGTAGAAATCACTCTAAGAAAGGATGTGTGCGTTTAACCTCTGAAAGAGAAGATCAAGGGAAGAGATAGTAACAGATTTCTGGTATCTTTAAGCTTCTCGGCTACTTATTTGTTCTTCCAGTTAACAGAACTAGAACCAGAGTGTTAGCATTATGCATTATTCACTGGTCTTGTCTTTCTCTGCCTCCTTAAAATATTTTGTGGTAAAAAAATGTTTTGAAGTACTGCAGGAGAGTTACAAATGAAATCCAGTGATATCCCACCCATACCCCTTCCAGCCATCCCCTCAAAATTCAAGTAAATGAATGAGTGCAATGCTACAATAAAAGATTGTTCTCCAAATTGCATCTAGAGTGAAAGCCTGGTATTATTATTATTATTATTATTATTATTATTATTATTATTATTAAGCCTGTACCTTGGGAAGTCTGACTTGGCCACAGTAGTCCATGCTCTGGTTACATCCCATATAGACTACTGCAACACACTCTGCGTAGGGTTGCCTTTGAAGACTGTTCAGAAGCTTCAAATGGTCCAACGGGTGGCAGCTAGATTGCTCACCGGAGAGGCGTTCAATGAGCATACAACTCCCTTGTTAAACCAGTTCCACTGCTACCGAGCACAATTCAAAGTCCTAAGCGGTTCCGTCCCAGCTTACCTGTCCAAACGTATCTCTCCCTATGAACCATCTAGGAGTTTAAGATCATTTGGGAGGCCCTGCTTTCGTTCTCACCTTTTTTGTAGCCACAACTGGCGGGGACGAGAGACAGGGCCTTCTCAGTGGTGGGCCCTCAGCTGTGGAACTCCCTCCCTAGGGATATTAGATCAGCCCTTTTCCTCCTGACCTTCCACAGAAAAGTGAAAATATGACTCTTTGAACAAGCCTTTGGGAACCTAATGCAATATAAACATGTTACTATGTGAAATCGAATAGTGGAACGGCTTCGACAATGTTTTTGTACAACGAGGCTAATAGTGAAGGTAGTGGTTTTATATATTTTTAAAGGTTTAAATGTATGTATTTTCTAATTCTGTTTTAAATGTTTATTATAATTTTTACATTGTTTTAATGGCATCATATAACTGCTTATGTTGTAAAGCTGCCCTGAGTCACCTTCGGGTTTGAGAAAAGCGGGGAAGAAATATCGTAAATAAATAAATAAATAAATAAATATTATTATTATTATCTTTATTTAAACCATGCTTTCTCCCTGTGGGAACTCAAGGTGGCTAGGATTGTTAGTAGCTAACAATCCCTATTCTTCTTTATCTTACTTCTACATATTTTATTTTTGTGCTACCAACTCAGTTGTCTGTTGAAATTGATGTTAGTATTAAAAATACTTCTCCCAAGCTTGAATGCCTTTGCATTTTTTCTCTATCCCAGTGGCAATACATCCTGTTCACTTTAAAGAAGTTTTTCAGTGCCACCCTCTGAGTCACCTTCGGGGTTGAGAAGAGCGGGGTATAAATACAGTAAATAAATAAATAAATAAATAAATAAATAATTATGAAATTCCAAAATAGTATTTCTACTTCAATTAGATCTTAGGTCTAGAAAAATATTCCATTGTATATATCAGTGGTTCTCAACTTTTGGGTCCCCAGATGTTTTGGACTTCAACTCCCAGAAATCCTAACAGCTGGTAAACTGGGAATTCTGGGAGTTGTAGGCCAAAACAGCTGGGTACTGACAGGTTGAGAACCACTGAAATAAATATCAATGGTTCCCAAAATCTGGTCCTCTAGGTGTTTTGGGCTTCAGCTCCCAACTGTCTCATTCACTTTGGCCAACAGCCAAATGCCCTAGGCCAGGGGTAGGGAACCTTTGGCCCTCCAGCTGTGGTGGACTTCAACTCCCACAATTCCTTGAGGCTCGGCATTTGCCCCAAAGGCTTACCTTGGCCCAATGCCGAGCCTCAAGGAATTGTGGGAGTTGAAGTCCACCACAGCTGGAGGGCCAAAGGTTCCCTACCCCTGCCCTAGGCGTTGAAGTCCAAGACTCTTGGAAGGGCCAGGGTTTGAGATTCACAGGTGTGTATGTATATGCATATATTAATAAGGTATTCCTAGTTTATTTGGTACCAGCATTCCTAAATCTTCTCCATGTTCCTCTGATCTCATGCTATGACCTCTTCTGTTTCACCAGATCATTCAGACCCATCCTCCCCTATGGAGTTTGTGAGGCATGGAGATATAATTCGCCTGGAACATAAAGAGTAAGTTGTTCAGGAAATGGAAGGAGTCATGAAGGTGTTTTAAATTTGGAGTTCAAAAAAGTTCCTTTTGGATTTTAAAACTTAGGAACCTCCCCCATCCCGGATTTGTAGCCCTCCCCACCCAGTCTTCAATGTCCTGGATTTAACTTGAATTGAACAGGACTCCTTGCCTGACTATAACCAGTAGTGCAGTTGTGTGGAGGAGGATAAGGGTATTGCACCCAAACAAAATTTTCTTTCAATCATTCTATATTACTAGGTAATTCTACCTTATCCTTTTTGTTTGGATGCCTAAACTGTATTTTTAAAAGTTGATCTGATGTTTTTTACATTAATGCAATGCTACCAAACACAATTCAAAGTGCTGGCTTTAGCCTATAAAGCTCTAAACAGTTATGGCCAAGGTTACCTATCCGAACATATCTCCCTCTATGAGCCAACAGGTTAAGATCTTCTGGAAAGGCCTTGCTCTCGATTCCGCTTCCTTTGCAAGCATGACCGGTGGGGATGAGACATAGCCTTCTCAGTGGTGGCTCTCGACTATAGAGCTCACTCCCTAGTGAAATTAGATCATCCCCCTCCCCCCTGACTTTTAGGAAAAGGTTAAAGACATGGATGTTGTGACCAAGTATTCAGTGAGTAATTTATCAGTACAAAAAGATGGAATAGTGCAATTACAAATTGGAATGGCCGTGGACTATGATTTAAATAAGTGGTTTTAAGTTTTTTTATGTTTTTAAAGTGAAATAAGACTTTAGCCTTCTTGAGATCCAGTAATGAGTTTCCTTTATCCTTTTTCAAGCATCCCAATGTCATGACATGGGACTTTGCAAGGCCATACTCTTCAACCACAGTGTTTATGGGCAAAATATGAAGAGGAAATGTGGAGGTTGATAGCTGTAATTGCATTTGATTACACATGGTTACATTTCTGCCTCAGATATCTACTATAAATACAGGAGTCCATAGATAATGGGGTAACATGACAGTTCATATTGCAGTTGTCCTTCAAACATGCCATTGTGGAATACTTGAATAAGTGCTACATTTCATGATTGAATCTCCTACTCGTTTTTAAAGTGGCGCAGAATTCTATATTTGGTGAAAAGAGATTAATTTGAAAGAAGAGGAAATTATGCACCTTATTGTAAATAGTAGTCATAACATTTTGCCTCTTGGTTAATATACAAAGTATAATTGTATTGCTGTCATATTCATCTCAGTTTAAGATAATACTAAACCTTGTCAAAAAATATCAAATCAAACAGATTTTGTTTTAACTTCAGGACTTCTAGAAACCTACATAGTCATCAACATGAAGCTCCCTTGACAAGAAAACATCTTCAGGTCACTGGATATGGCATAGTAAGTGAATAATGCTTGATTCTGATTGCCATCTGGAATATATTGTAGTCCAAAAATAAACGTCTGTTTTTTCTCTTTATTTTCCTTCTAGAACAGGGAGACTGTAGCAGAGTTACTGATCAATTCACCAATAAGAAAGAAAACAAAAGCATCTATTATTTAAAACCTGGCTTGGCATCATCTCAAAAACCAGTTGTGTTTTGGAATAAATATGTTTTGTTGAATTTCTGCCCAAAGTAATAAGCTAGTCTCACTTTTTTTGACCAGGTGTTCTGGATTCTGGGAGCAGCCACTAGAAACTCCATCTTTTGTGATGGTGAGAAGCGTAGTGCAGGTTCATGTGACCTTACTTGGGAGCATCCTATAAGAATGATTTTGTTTAAGGTGGCACTCTTAGTTTCTGTAACATTAGCAAGAAGGGTGCCAAGGTAGGCAGCTTTGTTGGTGAAACATAATTTCTGTCATTTGAACATGACAGATTAAAATTAATAGTGGATCTGGATTTTCTGCCTAAGTGCTTAAAGAGAAAGAGTGCCATGGAAGTAGTTTATCTTCAAAAATGTTGCCTAAAATCATGTCATCTAGAAAAACAGATGGCACACTTTGGATGAGAAGAGAGCTGTGAATTTATTGGAAGAGAACATCTCAAATTTAGTTTCACAGGGACTTTGTTTATATTACACAATCATAGAATTGTAAAACGAAAGGTACTTAGATTGGTTATTGGAAGATGAATTGATGCATACATATTGAAATACTATAACTATAAGAATAAATCCCACCCAAAATGTGTTTGGCAACATTTGACAAGATCACATGCATCATCGATGGTTTTTTTTCTGCTTAAGTGTCTTTACAGAATATTTAAATTTCTGCAGGATAGGTTGAGGCTTTAGTGTTTGGCACAGTGTAAGTCAGCAGAAGCAGCTTTTTAAACACCATGCTGCAATCTGTAGTATCAAAGTGGTTCTTCCACCCAGAGGAATTGCTTGGGTAGGCCCCAGTTGTAGTGGATTACTTCTCCTGGCCATCCCAAGAATGAGAAATTGTACTTACCATGAAGGTTTGTTCTGGGATGGCAAGAGGAGCAACCACGCCCTCCCTCAAATGAACAAACAAACAAAAATTAGTTGACAAGTGGAAGTGGTTCTCAGAATTTACATTAGTTAAAGCTTGATAATAAAACTGTTGGAGAAGGAGGCGGCATCTTAATAGCTCAACTGAAAATGAATCTTGGATCCTGCCATTCTGGTTGGAGTGTGCGGGTGAAACCCAGTTTTAGTGGATTGCTCTTCCTGCCATCCCAGAATGAACCTTCATGGTAATTAAAATTTTTCAATTTCCCTTGTAATGTTTATTTCATAGAATGGAACAGGAGACTCCAATGATTTCTGGCGAATTGAGGTTGCAGGAAGAAGAGCTGGGAAGCGTATCAAAGTCCTGCGTAGTCAAATCCGACTAATTCACCTGGCTACTGGTTGCATCTTGGGTTCAACTGGAAAGACACTGCCCAAATGGTAATTGTGTGAAAGCATGTGGGTGTTCGAGTAGAACTCTGGGAGACCAGGCTTCAAATCCCTGTTTGGTCATGGAAACTTGTGGAGAGACCTGGACAAAGTCACAATCTTTCAGTGTCAGAGGAAAGCAATTGAAACTCTCCTCTGAACAAATCTTGCTAAGAATACTTCAAGTCAAGTTTGCCTGAGGGTTGACATAAGTCTGATGACTAGAAGGCATACAACAAGTAACATTTATATCCTTGTTTTCCTCAAAAGGACACAAGACAGCATACATGGCTCTCGTCATCTCTATTTTAGGGTCGTAACACCCGTGTGAGATTGCCATGCTGAGAGTGTGACTCGCCCAATTAATTCAATTAATTTAATGAGGGTGAGAACCAGATCTTAAATTTCAGTCCAACATGCTAACTATTACACCATATTGTATCTAGATTTTAAGGTATTGAAGTTCTGTGTAAATCCAGGATTAAAGAAGACTTCTTTTTGTTCTCAGCAACATACATCTGTGCACATACAAGTATACACATGTGAACAAATGCTTTTGGGGGTGCAATGTGTCAAACGTATACTTTCCTCTCCTAAGGGTAGTTCTACTCAGAGAGCAGATACACTGCTGGAAGGTTCTTATTTCTGTAAGACTTGTCTTTCAAGTAAAATTAAAAGCAAGCGACTAAAGAAGGGAAGAAGAAGATAATAATTATAGTAATAATTATTCATTTCTTACCTGCTTCTCTCCATTGATCAAGGTGGGGAACAACGCATTAAATGTAACATTTACAAACAATGAAATCTAGTTTTAAATTAGTTTGAAAGGCTTAGAAACCAAGGAATCAGCATATTTGTTTCCGAGAACAGATTTCTCAAATGGGAAGGTGAGTGATATGTGATTTATTTTTTAATACAACACATGGGGAGTGTGGTTACTTAATTGTTGCAGTTGCTGGATATTGAAAATATTACTTTCAATTTGAAGCAAATTGTTCTTTTCAGTGAGGTTACATTGATGTGGGCTACCCTATTGCAAGGTATGTGTGTCATGCCCATCCTTTTAAAATACAATGCATTTTTCCTTTGGATTACATAGAGCAGGGGTTCTCAACCTGGGGTCCCCAGATGTTTTTGGCCTACATTTCCAGAAATCCCAGCCAGTTTACCAGCTGTTAGGATTTCTGGGAGTTGAAGGCCAAAAACATCTGAGGACTCCAGGTTGAGAACCACTGACATAGAGCATATCTTTGGCCCCTTACTAGATAAATAGAGAGCCCGGATGCATTTGGGAGAGATTTTGAAGTTCCTTTGTGAAAGACCTGGTGTTTGTTTTCTCTTCCGGTCAGACTCGTGCTGCTGCAACTGCTTCTTTTTAAATGGCATTCTAAGAGTAAAGCTACTATTTGTACTTGGATGCAGAGGGGCCTTTTTCATCTTGATTCCCTTTAAGCATGAGGAAATATAACTCCCATTATTTTCAGCCACTCCATATGAACAGAAATAATAATGTGTTATAAATTTCAATGTGTAGCTGCATTATTCGCAGCTACACATTACCTGTACTGGCTGGGAATAATGGGAGTAATAGTCCAGTACAACTGAAGAGTACTAGAAAACTTCTAAGTCATCTGGAAATATGGGTTAGAAGTTTCAAAAACAGCTAGAACCCTGGTGCATGTGTGCTCTTTTGACTTATTGGACATGTATTTTTGATTCTCTTTACAGTGTGGCTTTTTGTGAATTCTGAAAGGCCATGTTTTCTGGAAGTATTTTTGACAGAAAATAATACTCCATACGGTCATAGACTATGAATGCCCACAGGGATGACGTTTTGTTTATGACTAAAGATGCTGTCCTTTTTTGCAGGGGCTGGGAGCAAGTGGAGGTCACTTGTACTCCATATCAGAAAGAGAGTCCTAATACTCTCTGGAATGTTGAAGATCACATCAATCCCAGGTGTAAGTGGCTGAATGCATGTTTTTATTGCAAAAGTGTTTAGATCTTTCTCTTTTTGAATGTATGTTCCATGTCCATGTTAAAGACAGAGCTTCTATAAAGCAGTCAAGGCAAAAGAATTAGAATTGGAATTCTGTACAATTAGGTTCAAGACTGTATTTATTTATTATTTATTTGCTTCATTTATACCCTGCCTTTCTCACCCCAGAGGGGATTCAAGGCGTCTTACAACTCCGGCAAAATCAAATGACATATACAACATAATAAAAATCTCCTTTATAAATTTATTCAAGTCTTAAGATTCTTAGGAGGGCTTTCTTTTGGTCCCACCACACTCACAGACCCATGTGTTAGAGATACATAAGATGATCTTCTCAGTGTCTCTTGTAGTCTGTAGAGTTCATTCTATGGGGAATCAGGTTGATCTCCATTCTGCCATTGGATTATATTAATAGATTATGCAGAGGGCTCTTTTATTGGGATGTATGCTGCATGTATATTGTAATGTTTTGAAATTAATTTTATAGTTTAATTTTGTTTGCTCTATTTGGTTTTAATGTTGCAATCTGGGTCCCATATTTGCTTTTAATGTTGTAACTAATGTATTGTCGGTTTTTTCGGGCTATATGGCCATGTTCTAAAGGCATTCTCTCCTGACGTTTCGCCTGCATCTATGGCAATCATCCTCAGAGGATGCTTGCCCTACAACAACATCCCACAACAACCCAATGTTGTAATTCTTTAGGGTCTCCAAGGAAAGGGTTGGGTACAGAGAAGATTGAAAATACTGTGTTTGGTGTGTGTTTTTCTCATTACACCATTTGGACTATGGCACCCACATTGATTTACATCTAAGGGTACATCTAAATTATAGAATTAATGTAGTTTGGCACCACTTCAAATGTCATTCTGCAATGCTATGGAATCATGGGAGTTGTGGTTTGGTATTTTGCAGCATTCTTTGTAAAATAAGGCTAAAGACCTTGTAAAACTGCAACTCTCTTTATTTAATAGCATCAAGTTATAGCTGTTAAAGTGGTGTCAAACAGATGAATTCTGTGTTGTCAAAGGCAAGTGTGAATGTTGCAAGTAATCACCTTGATTAGCATTGCAAAGCCTTGCAGCTTGAAGTTAATCAAGGTGATTAATTGCAACATTCACACTTGCCTCCAACAGACAAGAGTTCTTTCTCCCACCCTGGACCTTCAACAGATATATAAACCTCCCTTGTCTAGTTTCCAACTCACCTCACAACCTTTGTGGGCAAAATGTCAGGATATAATGCTTCTGGAAACGTGTCCATACAGCCCCGGAAAACTCACAGTAACCCAACATTAATTCTATAGTGTAGATGCACCCTAAATATGATTTAATACAAATGGAAATATTCTGCCTAAGTAAACAACCGGATACATTCTGTTTCAATGTATTTTCCTTTCTGTAGTGCCGAATATCAGTCTGGATGTTCTGAAACCGTCCTTTCCAGAGATTCTTCTGGAGTCTCACATGGTTATGATCCGAGTAGGTAGAATTTTCATGTTGATTGTGATATCTGCCTTTTAAAGCTGCCTCCAGTAGAGAACAAGATGAATATATTTGGCAAGGAAGAGCAGTATAAATATAGTTGAAAGTGTATGTGTGTACTCTTCTGCAGGCATATGTGTGCATGTGCCTTCAAGTTGCCTGTCAGCTTACAGCAATCTCATAAATTTCATGAGGTTTTCTTAGGCAAGTAATACTCAGAGGTAATTTTGCCAGTTCCTCCGTAGCCTACAGCACCTAGTAGTCGTTGATGGTCTCCCATAGAATCACAGAGTCAAAGAGTTGGAAGAGACCACAAGGACCATCCAGTCCAACCTCAGGAGCTTCCACTACACTCTGAGGCAGAGAGTTTCACTGTTGAACAGCTCTTACGGTCAGAAAAATTCTTCCTAATGTTCAGGTGGAATCTCCTTTCTTGTAATTTGAAATCATTTCTCCTAGGTCCTAGTCTCCAGAGCAGCAGAAAACAAGCCTGCTCCATCTTACTTATAATACCGTTTCAAAAATTTAAACATGGTGATCATGTCTTCTCTTAACCTTCTCTTGTGCAGGCTAAACATAGTTATTTAGGCTGCTCCTCATAGGACATGGTTTGCAGACCTTTGATCATTTTAGTCATCCTCCTCTATACAGAGCATCTGTAGCTTCCCTGATGAGATGAGATCTGGTGCCTTTAGGATATTTAGGCCATTCTACTATAGGGAGTTTAACCTTTCTCTACATTGTTCCATCTGCCATGGCCCACATAACAAGTAGGAAATTTTATCATTATAGTCCCATAAGTTCATGTAGCCCAAGCACATGTTACTCTAAGCTATAATGCCACACAGAGCAGCAAAAAGCCTTTTCTAATTGTAATACTGATAGTAATTTTTGATTTTGTGGGATGTAGACTATATCTTCTTTGCTAAGTAATTACTTGAAAACTGCTTTCATGGTTCAGAACAAAAATCCATTGTCTCCTGCAATCTTGTCTCCACTGGTGGTCTGAAAGTGTTCCTCCCTGGGAAGCTCACAAGCCAGATTATGAGGCAGATAACCATCTTTTGCCCTGTTGTTTGTTTCCTGTAAGAAAGAGAGGACATGCACTTGAAGATTTTTTTCTCAAAAAGGAGTATTAATGAAAATCCTGTTGTTTTCTGTAGCGGTGTACTCCAGAAACACTGTGCCTAACTTTTTTTTCTGATTTGAAAGTCTCTAGTATTCTTAAAGTGTTGAGATTTTTGACTGGTTCTTTTTTCTTGGCTGGTTTTATTTTAGCCAATTTTGTTTTGTACAATATATTAAGTACTGCAGCGTTCTTACAGGGCGTGGAAGCTAAACCTCTTTGTTTTTGTAGTGGTTCTGAGATGTCTTGGTGAAAAAATGCTTTTTAAAAAAGGGAGCTGGATCTAGTCAATTCAGGAGCTGCAGAAAAAGGTTTTGCTAGTTGTACATGGCCAACAGGCTGCACTTTCCTCACACTGGCTTTAGATGTCAAACAAAGTCAGGTTGAATTTGACATGTTTAGCTTTGATTGTTGTGTAATATATGTTCTCCTCTGTTCCCATGTGAATTCATATTCTAATGTTTATCTGTCTCTGATTTGGCCAGAAAGCCTCATAGATCTAAACTAGCATAATATAAGGCCTTCCAGAAACATAAGGCATTCCAGATTGTTGGTCTAGAGTTCCTATCATCTTTGACTATTGGGCATGTTGCTTCTGGCAGTTAGGAGCCCAGTAATATTTAGGGGGCTACAGGTGTTGCTTCCCAGATGTAAACGTTTAAAAGGGTATGCATGTGTCTTCAGGAAGATAATCTAAGAAGTGAGGTATACCTTGGGAGAAGCTACAGGGATTCCCAAACTAAGGCCCACAGGCTGGATGCGGCCCTCCAAGGTAGTTTACGTGACCCCGCCCTAAACTTTAGACTTAGAGTCTCCCTTAGTTGGAAACGACTTGAAGGCACACAATAACAATAATCTTTATTAACTTGACTATCTCATCAGCCAAAAGCAGGCTCACACTTCCCACTGAAATACTGTTAAGTTTATGTTGGTTAAAGTTGTTCTTCATTTAAAATATTGCATTGTTCATTTTTTTCCAAACTATAATCTGTCCCCCCCCCCCCCCCCCCCCAGTAGTCTGCGTGACCGTGAACTGGCTGTCTGTTTAAAAAGTTTGAGGACCGTATAATAGGAGAAGACTGTTGATTTCATATACTGGATGGTGGATTGCCAGAGTATCTCCAGATGGATCTACACTGTATATGAGTCTACACTCATATCTGACAGTGCTTCTCTTACGTTCCTAAATGCAAGATATGAAACTGTCTGTAGAATATATTAAGGATAATATTAAAAACAGAAGTGGTGAGTGCTGGGTTTTCCAGATATTGTTGGACTGCAACTCCCAGGTGCAGTAGTCAACATAAACAATGGATAGTTACAATCTAGCAAATACTTGAAGAATTGTAGGTGCCAATTATGATTTAAAGGGAGTTAATGAAGCTCTGACAACATAGAAGTGAGTATAGCTTTTCTTTTTATTGCAGGGAAACAGTGGTCTCAAGCCAAAGGAGAATGAAGTCACATCCAAGCCCTGGCATTGGCCCATCAATTATCAAGTAAGTGGACAAAAACGACTCTTGAGTGTTGAGGCTTTTGCACTTGTATTCACATTTTTAATACTACAGATTGAAAATCTGCTTTTTACAGGATGTGTATTTAAATGTCTTCTGCATAAAACCAATCCTCATGACGCATATTTTTATCAGTTGTTTCTGACAAAACCATCATTGTTTCCATAGGGCCTCCGTTTTTCTGGAGTCAATGAAACAGACTATAGAGTTTATTTGCTAGGAAACCCGGTAAGTTTACTGTGTTCTTTTTTTACCATTAGGGTGGGATATTGTTTGACTCCTAGAATAGGTGATTTCTATCCCTTGTCCAACTCTGACTTCCACTTCCTCCTCATTATTCAAAGTAGTTTGTCAGTATAGACAGAGATTCCACTAGCATTTTCAGACTTAAAGGTTGGGGGGTGGGGGTGAGGGAGAAAGATCTTCTTTCTAACGCATCTCGAAGGAGTTACTGGATTCCTTTGTGTCTTTTTATTCCTTCTCAATAGTTTCTGTATAGTTTTATGGTACCTTCTGTGCATCTTTGTCTACCTGCAAGGCTTTTCCTCACAGGTGATCTGGTGGATGAACTTACTCACAATCGGATTATATCTCATAATGGCAATATTTGTATCTGTGGCCATGAAGAGAGGAGTTCAGTTGACAGCTGAGCACAAAGGTAATGCAAATTTCTCCACATGCTCTGCCCCTTTGTCCATTGGACAGAGTGCGGGAAATGTTGTGTATGATGTCAAAAGGGTATAATAAAAATGTTGGGAGTCATAGATATTGAGAAATGTTGAGGAATCTTCTGTAGTTATTTCCAGTTGAGTAATAAGATACAAATTGGAAGAGGAGATCAATTTGGACATGACAATATTTACACATGTGCTCTTTGGATTTCGGCTTGAGATTTAATCATAGATAAATATCTATAAAAGGGAAATTTCTGTATGATAAATGTTAGACCTCATTTCCTTTGGAGAGACAATTCTGGATACAAAGAAAAACAGAAGTGATTACCTCTGATGTTAAGATTCTGCAATGAGAAACTTGCAAGTCTTATGCATTCAGTAGGTGTTTCTACTGCTATTGCAGTGGTATTCCAGAACATTCTATGGGTTGAGGCAAAGAATGCAGCCTGAGATATTAGTTCTTGGAGTTTATATTCTTGGAATTTGAGCATTCTTGATGGGGATGCTTCTCGGGAAGCTTTGTGGTCTTTCAGAGCTCCAGCTAAAGGGTAATCTTCTACTTGGCTAGCAAAAGCTATTCACTGAGTCTACCTATTGGATACATTGATATCTTTATACATGTACACAGTGGTATCACAAATATAGAATTGTCTCATAGTCAGAAAGAGTTAAGAGAAGAAAACCTAATCTTGCTGTTTCTGTAGGGAATCATCAGTTGAAAGAAGGGGTCTCTTCCATAGGTTTTCATGAATGTGGATTCATAACTTGGACTGCCTTGGATTTGTAGCAATAGCTAAAAAGCATAGTAGGAACAGACATGTTTACTTGGCAGATTTTTACTAATACATTACTTGATGCCTCCATTAGCAATGCTCTTCTCTCCCAAACCCTTAACTAGTGGTTCCCAACTTTTTTTTGATGAGGGACCACTTGAACAGGGACAACCCTCCAACATTAGTACCAAAAGGATTACGAATCAGTTTTTGGTCAACTTTAGATTTGGTTAGGTTATTTGGGGCACTGATTCAGAAAATTGCATTGGATAGACCACATCAGCTCTAGTTTCAGATATAGAACATATACCATCCAGTAGTTGCCATCTGCTTGCCCATAGAAAACCATGTTTAATAATCTAGAGCTGATGTGGTCTATCCAATGCAATTTTCTGAACCAGCACCCCAAATAACCCCAGTAACAGGCCTAAAAAACATAGACACCAAGTCGCCCCTTGTTCCAGGTGCCACATGGACTGTCTCCTCTCAGGGAGGGAGGGAGGTGGAGAAGCAGCTGTCTGGAGGCTTGTTTTCACGGGTAGTCAGCCTCTCTCCTTTGGACATCTTCGTTGCCCTGCACTATAAGAGGGTTTCGTGAGACCAGTCATTCTCGTGACATTAAAACAGATTGTTATACTATATACACTCTATGAAACTAGATTTCTGCAGGCAACTAAAAAAAAAATGTTTCAGTTTTGATGTGAGAAGAAGACAAGAAATGTAGTTTGTGTGTAAAACCTTAACTTTTTGTATGCATATGTGTGGTATTCTAGAGCTTTCTCAAGTCTTGCTGAATGGCGGAGGAATAATTATGTTAGGATGGCTTCTTCATTATCTTCCTTTCTTCATGATGGGACGAGTGCTCTATTTTCACCATTATTTTCCTGCTATGCTTTTCTCCACCATGTTGACAGGTATGTTTCACAAATCTTTACACAGCACAAATGTAATGCCATGTAATGCCATGGTAAACTAGATCACAGAGAGCCTTCGAAATTCTGAGTGAAATAGATTTTTTATTTCTTGTGTCAGAAATGAATTGAGATTACAGTTATAATGTATAGAAAAACCACAAAGTTAATAACTTGGCATTATACTAAATTTCCTTTGACCAGAAGCTGTCCACTTGGAGTGCCTCTGGTGTCACTGTAAGAAGGTCCTCCATTGTGCATGTGGCAAAGCTCAGACTGCATTGTAATAGGTGGTCTGTGGTTTTCTCTTCTCCACACTCGCATGTTGTGGACTCCACTTTGTAGGCCTATTTCTTAAGGTTAACTCTGCCTCTCGTGGTGCTAGAGCACAGTCTGTTCAGCGCCTACCAAGTCACCCAGTCTTCTGTGTGCCTAGGTGGGATTTTCTCATCTGGTATCAGTCACTGATTGAGGTTCCTGGTTTTAACCTGCCACTTTTAGACTCTCACTTGCTGAGGTGTTCCATCGAGTATCTGGACCAAGGCATTGATTTCTCCTGCCCATCCTTTGTTTGGATATCAGTCAGCAAGCCAACACCTTAAATTAAATGCAATAAATGACTGTATTTTTTGTTGTTGTTGTTAAACAATATTTGGATTAGAGCTAGAAACATTTTCCAGTAAATTGCATCTTTATCAGTCATTAGATCAGTATGTTCTGCTCCTTGCTATGGGAGACTTGGATGTAGAATTCCAGCTATTATTTACTATCTTTGAACAACTTACTTCATCCATCTTCATTTCCCTATTTTGACATTGATAAAAAGATGAATTAGCTACATAGTTGCTGTGAAAGTGAATTCTAAAAACCCGCCCCAGAAGTGGAATAATGATCACCTTCATTTTCAAATGTATTATATTTGACTGTTTGTGTTAATATTGGTTAACATTTTTTAAAAGTAGCCTCGTTCAGAAGTATTCTTGTATCTGGTACCAGGGTAGAGTGTTCAACAGCTGTATATATATATATATTTAAAAATCATTTTTACTTTGCATTGTATTAGGTACTGTCAGTATATAATAAAATATATTGCTAACCTGAGCTGGAAAATTCCTTTTAGAGAGAGGTTGGGGAAGGAGAAGAGTTCAGGAGAGTATGTTAGTATCAGCATGGTAGTGAAAATTTGTGACTATAGCATTGTACTGGACTTATTGTTTTACTGGAATTAGTGCAAATTTCAATAAAAAATGGGGTATTGGCCAGTAGAAATTATTTTGAAGGCCAACTATGAGAAAACTGTTTTGGACAGTTGGATAGAATTGTGTTCTGCCACTTGCCTCAGAGTTAGATTTTCATGCTTTCAATTGATATTAACAGTGCTAGTAAAAGTATGATTACACAATAGCTACAGGTATTGATTGATTGATAAGCTGCATCTTCTTGCCTTGGCATAATGACTAAAGTTTTCAAGTTCCATTATACCTGCCCAACCTTCCTTTATCTCTCATTCCCTCAGGCATTACATGGGATGTGTTCCTGAAATTCTGGGCTGGGCCCCAGTCATCTGGCATCCAGAGGAGAAAGGTTTACCAGTATGGGATAATGATGTTGATCCTACTCAGTATGTACAGGTGAGAATTGGTTTGTGAGCTTTTAACATATACCTAAAGGCATTTTTGTTGTTGGAAGAGTTGCTGTGCCATGACTACTTCTTAGTATTCATATGTTCCAGTGATTGTGAGAAAAGGGCCTTGCTGAGTAGCCAGAACCTGAAAAATAAGTTCAACAAGTATCAGGAAACTATTGTGCAATGTTTTCACAATAGATGGGAACTGGACGATTTTTCTGTTGCATGAATAGCATTAGATATTGAATAGTGCTAATTTTCATTTACCCTTCAGAAGCTACCTCTTCTGAATTGCTTAGGTCAGAGATGTTAAACTTGTGGCCCTCCAGATGTTTGGGCCTACAACTCCCAGAAGCCATAGCCAGCTTGTCCAATGGCCAGAAATTCTGGGAGTTGAAGTCCAAAACATGTTTGACACCACTGGCTTAGATAGCAGCAGTCTTATTTTATTAAAGGGTCGTTATTACCTTTCTCTCCAAACAGCCTTGCACTCTTTAATAGAGCTATAGAATAATTAGTTCTCTATGGGTCATGGAACTTCTTTCCAACTTTATGTTCTGATTTTGATGTAGAATTTCAAGGAATTGGATTCACATATAGATCTTTCCCCACAGCTTCTACCTCTTCCATCCTCTCTCCTATGGGATGGTAGGACCTCTGGCTTCTGATCCCAACAGCCCAATGGCAGGGCTTAGGTGGCTGGAAACATGGGAATTCTAGATCCAGTGTGAAATAAGAAGAAGGGAGTAGAAAACAAGTAATGATGAAAATGTCCTCCTCATTCCACAAGAGATATGAAGGATCTTTCTCAACAGTGTTTTTGTGCTGATATAGAAAACAGACTGAGCACTTCAGGCACTGAGAAAAGCTGGTAGCCGTGAAGGAAAATATTGGCCATGTGGCCTGTCTTTCCAGTTACTTGATCGAGTGGCTGCATTCAAGATCGAACCATCCAAGCAATATATTCTGAATCTGGCCTCTATAGCAGGGGTCCTTTGTGTGAGAGTTTGGGGATGCATATGTGTTTCTTTGTTTTGACAAGAGTGTAGCTTTTATCTACCTGTCTTTGCTCATGTGTGATTTTCCAGAGCACAGGAAGTATCAAATATGCACAGAGAAGAGAGAGTCTTTGGTATCAGGGTAGTTTCCACCCAATAACATTTTATCATAATGTTTTAAAATCTACATGAGGGCAAGTGGGTGTGCGCACAAAGACACATGTCTGTCTTCTCATAACAGTTCTCTTGACTGCTCCTCTGGACCTCAAAAACTGGGGCTAAATGTCACACTAGCATTAAGCCTTTGGAAACTCTGTGCCTTGCTTATCCAAAGGCAGTGTGTTGTTTGCACAGCCTTTTGCTCTCAGAGAACAGCATAAAAACTGCAAGGATGTAATATGGGAATGACATCATGGCATGCTAGTTGCCATATGACAGTTTGTTTAGAAAACTCCAAACCAGAGAAATCAATAACTTCTTACATTTGTATAAGGTTTCCTGCTCTAAATTCCTCTGGTGGTGAGGAATGGTGCCTTGAGGGAGATGCAAAAGTTGTACAGATAGTTTGAGATAGTGATAGGAACATCACTTATTCTGCTAGTTCCATTGCTTATTAGTACTTCATTTTATGAAGAAGCTGTTTTTTAATTAACTCCATATACAGAATAGGGTGCTAACAATAGGCTGTTGAAACACTGTTTCTTTGTAAGAGGCATATAACCTTTGAGGAGATGTTAGTCTCTGTCCTGTGATGAACTAATTAGAAAAGGTTATAGAGAAGTTATAGATTGAAGGCAGAAGTCATCACCTGGTTACTGGAGAAAGCTTTTCTTCATTTACTTCTAAGAGAATGTGAGAGAAGGTACTGAGTGTTCCAGAGTTTTCCTTAGCCAATTTAGCTTTGGCTGTAATTGCACAGCTTCCTTGAAGCCTTCTTTTGCATACATGTCAGGAAAATTGAGGCCATCCAATCATTCATTTCAGCATCTGTATTAAAGCTTGAAGCCTGCCACTTCCTATTCCCTTGTACTATCCATCATCAAAGGGCTGCTTCTGTTGGCATGGTGACTAAATGCCAGCATCCCCAGGAGAGATTTGATGGTGAAGGAGCGTGTTGATTGCTGGAGACTGCTAGATCTGTTGAGAGAGAGAAAAAGCTTAACTAGTTAAAGAATGCCATCATGACCAACTCTTTAATGTCTGTAGGTTTAGGTTTTTTTTATATATATAATGCGGGGATCATCCTACAATGGAGCTCTTTTGGCAGAACAGTAAAATTTAGTAGAATTGAGTGATCCCATTCAACCCCTCCATCTTAAAACAAAAACCAAAATCAATAACGTTCCAAAACTTCTGCAGTTGAAAGTTCGCTTTAGCTATGTAACCGTTACATTAAGAGACCCAATCTTTTATTTACTAACTTTAAAAAAAAACTGCAGGGAATCACTGCAATAAGTTTTTGGTTTTGATAACCATTCTATTTCCTGAAACATGAACTGCGATCCTTTGGCTGGCCTGAGAATGAGAAATCTCAGAATGAGAATGAGGAAGATGTGGCAGGCATGAGATCACAAAAACCTCCCATGATTGTGCTACTAGAAGAGGCAGCAGCTTGCTACTACTTATACAATAATGTATAAGTAGTTAGCAATAGTCGATGAACATAGGAAAGCAATGAATTCTGTTTTTTAGTGAAGTGCTCAAATGTAACCCTTGACTAAATTCCTCAGGATTAGGACCCCATCTGTTTGTCACTCAGTATTCAATTTTGTATTTATTTCTCATGAAGGTTCCCCTTAACTGAATGATGCTGCTGTGAATATGGATTCTATGGACAGCTTTCTTTTTTCTGAAATGTGTCTGATGAAACTGCTTTGCTATTTGGAAAGAAGTTTGAACAATAAAAATTGAATCAGGATGTTAGAATATAATGAGCAAGCTTCAGACTTGTCCTTCCTAATCACTCTCATTGACAGATGAATGTTGAGCATGCTAATCTTAGGAGAGTTGGTTGACTTCTTGTCCATGTGGTGCTGAGTTCTAGTAAAATTCATTGAAGTGTTTTTCCTATCCCTTTAAATATTAGTTATGGAGTAAAAATCTGGATTTTCTTGGAAAAAACGTTTGGTCTGACCTCTTTTGAGATACTGTGCTTTAGTTGGTTAGTTGAATGTAGCTGGGAAGAGGGTGCTAATTGATTATGGTATTTCTGGTCTATTAGCACATTCCCATCTCTTCCTGGCTTAGATAAATCGTAGTTTTATCATTCACTACAAAGTAAATTAACAACATTCACCAGTATTTCGGAGCGTTCATCTTCTCTTAGTACTTGTGAATGTTTGATTCAGAAGAGGGTAAATTATTTTTGAGTCTACATTTCATTTTTTATATTTTACAAAAGTTTGCCTTTATGCGATCATTTGCTTTCTTCCCAGTGACTATATCTGTGGGGTCTGAGCTCTGGATTCAAAAGTCAGAACTACATAGTTAAAGATACTCTGGAATTGCCTTCTTCCTCTCCAGTCATTGTATTGAAACAGAGCGAAGTCTATCATGATGGGATGTGTTCCTAAATAAAACCTTTGTCTTGAGGAATTTAGAGACTTATACAGCCTTAATCTTCCATTCTAGTGTGAAACTAAAAAGTGTGATTCCACAACATTTCTTCTAAGAGATAAGGAAGGTAAAGCCAGAGATTAAAAACAATAAAATAAAATAAAACCCTAACCCACCCCTTGTGAAATGGCCCCCTGGCAGCTTATACCTTAGATCGGATCTTTAGGCTCTGAAGTGAAATCTGGTCCTCTGGTATTGTGTCCCCTTTCCACACCACTATGATTTGGTGGTTTTCCAGGTTTTGTGTGGGTATTTTTCCCACAAAAAAGGGTTAAAATGCCTCTCCTGCTTGGTAGTAAGATACTTTTAAACTGAAACAATTCTGCTATATCTGATCTATACATTTGATCAGCATCTTTCCTGCCTTTTTTTTTTTTTAAAAAAAATTGAATTTGGGTTGGAAGAAGTCCCTACTTTCTTGCCCGGGATAATAGTATATCATAAACAATTTTCTCATTCTTTGTGTTGGTTAGATTATTATATCCAGAGTGACACAGATGTTTATCAGACCCCCACCCCTGATGTTTTTATTTATACATGGCTGTAACTGTTTGGTAGACAGGGCAAAACTACTCACTTGGAAGCAGCAAATGGCACAGAGCTTTCTGAATTACAGGCTGCAATAGAAAATCATGTTCATTCATTTCTGGCAAACAAGTGCCCAAATACACAACTAGCTTATCAGGTAGGCTTGGCTAAAGCCTTTCTCCATAGCAGGGTGGCTTTTCATATGCAGAGAACTGATGAAGTAGAAAAACATTCAAACAATTCCCTGCTTAGTACTGTGTCCTAAATTATTTTCAAATCTGTATTTCATCTGTAACTTGTGCTCTGCCTTAGATAACAGTAAGTCAGTAGCCGGTATGATAGTTGTCTGCTAACTATAGGCAGCCTTCTGCATTATGAATTTCTCTTATTAATGCTGCTAATTCTGAACATATGTGTGTTTTGTTCATGAACATTGTATTTTTAAGTGAGCATATTTCATTGTTATGAAGTGTAGATAGTTCTGAATAAAAATGCCTTTGGATTGATAAACTTTTTATAAAGGAAGTAACAAAAGATAGAATTTACATTTCATTTTTGAAAAAAATAAACAGGCTTTTAAAAAATCCCTTCTTGATTTTTAAATGTTTCCCTCTTTCTTGTTCATAGCGTCAACCTGATGACAAAGGATGTATGGACAGAAGGGTGTGTAATACCTTCCTGATTGCCACCAACAGTAGTTTTGTTTAGATAAAATATGACAGGAGATGTGTGTGTGTGTGTATATGTGCGCGCATGCTTCAAATACCCCATAGCAGTGGTGTTTCAGTTTTGAGAGATCTCAGTATCCACTATTAGATGTTATATTTTAATTCAGTAGTCACAGTTAGATGATAAAGGAAAAGAGCAGCTGTTCTTAGATGTAATCTTATAGTCTGATCTGTTTGGGGATTGGGACAGTTCTCTCCTTATTGGTCTTCTCTTTTTTCTTAATACTATTATCCATGTCACACAATCAATGAATCAACAAAATCAAATCTGTATCCAAATTACAACATTCAATGTAAAGCAACTGCAACTATTTTTGAGGACCTTTTGAACTGAGAGGATTTTATCTTGTCATCCTAAAGCAGTGGTTCCCAAAGTTTTTTTTGACTAGGAACCACTTGACCAGGGAGGGACCAACATTAGTACCAAAAGGGTTACGAATCAGTTTTTGGTCAACTTTAGATTCGGTTTGGTTATTAGGGGTGCTGATTCAGAAAATTGCATTGGATAGACCACATCAGCTCTAGTTTCTGATACAGAACATATGCCGTCCAGTAGTTGGCATCTACTCGCCCACAGAAAACCATATCTAATAATCATCGGCACTATAAGAGGGTTTCGTGAGACCAGTCGCTCTCATTGCAATGGTGTAGTAACGGTGAGACCGCTGGCCATATTTTAGTTCTTGCTGACCACTGGTGGTCCACGGACCACTGTCCTAAAGGAAAATGATTTGATCCATTTGCTAAAATGTGCTGTATTTCTAAAATCTATAGTGGGATTTCTGTGTTCCATTCATTCAAACCTGGCAAGATTGCCAAGCAAAATCTGTATTCAGTGGGAATGAATGTATATTGATTATGGAGTGAGATTGGCTAGCAGTTCAGAAATGCAGCAGCTTGAACTGTCTTTTGTGGCTGTGTGAAAAAAAAAATCATCTTCTGAAGCTAAAAAGTATAATGGTTTATGTGAAATAAATCCCATCCAGATTCTAAATAAACATGTCCAAATAATATAAGTAATCATCAACAAATCAACTGTTGACAGTTTCCTTAAGAATACCTGGGACATCATTTAGTAAGGCTGTGTGTCTCCCTCACTCTATTTCTTGTTAAAATGGTGAAGAAACTGAGAGAAGATTAACAGAGAGAAGGCGGACAGACAAATAAAATATAAAGAATTCTGTCATGATGAGTTGTTTGAAATTGAAGACAGAAATGTCTAGTGTATGCTAGTAGAATGTAGATTATGAAGTGAGCCCTTGCTGTATTTATATTTTTCAAAGTCATAACAGCAGCAAAAAAACACCCTGAGAAGTCATTTGGTGAGAAAAGTCGGGAATTAGTTAAGCTTCAGGTTAGTTGGTGGGAAGGGAAAATCTGATATCAAAAGACTTAGCCCCCTTCCACACAACTACCTAAAATCCTAATTGAAATGGGTTATATAGCCGTGTGCAGTCCAAAGCAGATATTGTGGATTATCTGCCTTAATAATCTGGTTTATATGACTGTGTGGAAGGGTCCTCAGTTGTATTTTTGTCACTAATACAGAAATACATTAAACAAACTTTGGAACAAAAAACATTTTCTCATGGAAACCAGCATAATTTTGTTGTGCTACAAGCAAGAGATAGTTTGAAGGTAAGTCAGCTCCTATAGTAATTGTTTGGTTTGGGAATGAGATTCTGCTCAGCTGCATTACCTGAAATGGGCAACTTTGGTCATCAAAATGTTCTGTTAGATACTTATTGTTGCAGTTTAGCAACATCTGTAAGGTCACACATACCTTACTGCAAATTCCGTGAAGGCTTTTTTGAAAAGGCCAACTTTTCACATAAATCAATTTCTATTTGAAAAAGAAGGAAATTCCAGGTGTCTGTGAATGTGGGAAATCTCTCTATAGCACAACTTCAGACAAGATTGTACCAGAAAAGTAAGCCTTGAGAAACACAGTTAATCCAGAGTGTGGGTGGCTGAAGACACGTTCCCTGAAATGCCACAGTTTCCTGCTATAATTTAAATGCACCTTGGTAAGTCATACCAAACCATCAGGAAGTGACTTTTGTTTTCATGTTGACATTTAAATTGTTTTTGACACAACACTGTTAATAAAGTGGTTCCTTTGTATTTACAGAGATTCGATTCCAGGATATGAAAAAGTGTGGATGATCATGTCCCATATTACATGGCATGGGTGTGTTGGTTAAAATTGCGAATTTGGAGGGACCACTGTACAATTGATTTTTGTACAATGTTAGAAGTAATTAAAAGGTTGGAATATGCCATGTCTGTGTATCAGAGAAATAATATCTGTTCTCCTGATGCCTCAGCTGAAACCTACAGCTCTCCATTCAATTCCTCTTGGTTTCTTTGGCTGAAACATGCACTGTTGCCCTTTTGATTTTTTGTTTTCTATAGCAATCTCTAGTTGCCAATGCACAGCGTGATTGTAGGTTCTGCCTTTGGGTATTTTGCTGCAAAGGAAAGTGGAACATGTTCTCATTCCTGATGGTAATCTTGCATGGCTCAGAACCTTCAAGGGAATTATCACTGCCCTACTGCTTCCTCTTTTGGCCTGGTCAAAGAGGGAAATGGTCCAGCTGTTACCCTTATCTTTTATGTACAAGATTGTTAACTGTAAGGAGCCAGTCTGCTGGTTGTTAAGCAACTGCATGTGAGTGTAGCTTTCCTATATTGTGGACTGTAGAGGATAAACAGAGAGATTTCATTTGGAGATTGTGGGTGGGGAGAAAATGTGGGGAACAGTTGTCATGGTCTTTACTTCTTACCACAAGGAAGTTCCTTGGACCATGGAGAAGGGCTGGGGGTGAATCCAACCCATGAAAGAAGCTCACAAGTGAGCAAGAAGCCTAAGGAAGCTCAATCAGATCTGCATTATTCATGACATTCAGGAGTTGAATTTTTGAAATGGAAAATAAGCCTGGAAGGGGTTTGTTTTAATTACTCTGTATGCAGTTGCAAAGATGAAAATCAGAAATTGTCATAGTACAGTGAGGTCAAGAATTTTGAGAAGGGAAAAGTAACACTGAGTGTAAAAGCAAAGCCCATAGAATTAGACTTGACCATTGATTGTCATAGAAGTAAGAATTCTCTCCATCCACTTTCCTCTGCTTTACAGTGTGTGGATAGATCAATGTGCAGTTGTCAGGAGGAGATACTAAAGACATCTATGGATTTCAGAGACTTGTGACATGTTACATTACAGGTGGCTAGAGAATTCTTAAAGCTTGTAAAAATGGTCAATCAGACACAGATTTCAAGGCCATTCCAAATGAGAAAAAAAATCAGTTTACATTCTTAGGAGAGAGCAGCACTGAGCAACACATGTTTTCAAGGCTTAAGTCCAACTTACATGATTCTTCCCTTTCAGAGAAGAGTGAAAATGGGCCAACTTTGCATGAATATCTCTATACGAAGAACTTGTGGAAATAGATTATGATATCCCATGGAGGAGGTTTTGGTGGTTTATAAGTGCTGAGAATCATACACGTTTCCAGCCATTTTATAGTAAAAACATTAAAGCTACTCTACAGAAGCATCACATTCTATCTTTGGAAGCTGGGCATATCTCCACCTTGTTGTTGTTGTGTGCCTTCAAGTCATTTCCTATGTATGGTGATGTCTTCAAGGGATTTCCTATGTATAGTAACCCTAAGGCATTTTTTAGGGATGAGAGTGTGTTTTCATGGGGTTGTCTGGGGCTTAGAGTATGTGACTTGCCCAAGGTCATCTGGTTTTTTCCCCCATGATGGAGTGAGGAATCAAATGCTAGTCTCTGGAGTCATAGTCCCTCAAATCACTATGCCACACTGGATATCCTCTGCCTTCCTACAGCTACTGCCCTAAACAGTTCCGGCCTAGCTTACCTGTCTGAACGTATCTTTCCTTATGAACCATCTAGGAATTTAAGATCGTCTGGGGAGCCCCTGCTCTTGAACCCGCCTTCCTCTCAAGCGCATCTTCTTGGGGCCTTCTCAGTGGTGGCCCCTCAGCTGTAGAATTCCCTCCCTAGGGATATTAGATTGGTCCCCTCCCTCCTGACCTTCAGAAAAAGAGTAAAAACTTGGCTTTGTGAACAGGTGTTTGGAAAGCAGTGGA